TTTCTTCTGCGGCCATGTAGACTCCAATACGGTCAGCACTGATCTTTGCCTCCAGCCCATCCGCTATGATCTCAGGCAGAATGGCAAGTGACAATTCCAGGGCCCCAAAAACAGACATGGCCGTGAAGGCGACCGAAGCAGAAAGGCCACCATGAGTCAGGGCGTAGACCGTTAGGGACACCGCGGACAGACCCAGTGGGCCTAGAATCCAAATAGCCATTAGGACAACATCAAAGAGAAAGGAAATCCATAGGGCGTTAAGTTCCGACTCTCGTGCTTGTCCGATCTTTTTCTGCCACTGTTCCTCTAGAGCCGAGAATTTGATCTGGCGAATACCCTGGAGCACTTCGGTGACAATAGCCATTTTTGAATCTCGCAATTTCATCAACCTGTCCTGGGCGTTGGTAAACCTCTTGGCGGCGTAAATGTTCAATGGAGTAATGAGCACCGAGACGGCCATTCCAGAAAAGGCAGGTTTCCATCCCAAAATCTGTACCAAGAAAGTACAGCCAATGATTACCTTCATGACAGATAGGGGGATGAGGTAGGAGAAAGAGGTGAAATCCGAAATTCGACGCGCGTCAACAGCGGCAAGGTTGATAATACTTTGTCGGCTTTTCTTCAGGCTCGCCTCATCGTCCTCATCTTCATCCTCTTGGTCTGCAAGCAATCCTTTGGTCGATTCACGGGAATCGTTAGTTTTCTTTGCCTTCTTGGCATGCTTTGCATCCTTTCTGCGCATCGACTTGGCAAAGACAGTAGCCGACAGCTCTGCATAAATAGGAACAAACAATTTTGAGCATACAGACCAGAATACCCATGCTTCGATACTGGATTGTAAAAGCATCAAGCCTCCAAGCGCAAAGACCCAAGTCAAAGCTTGCACTGGGTGCCACGAGTCGAGGCCACGGGCTTCAAGAGATTTGAGAATATTAAACAGAGCTGTTTGGGGCCCAAAACTGAGCAAACAGAGGACGAATGTCAGAAAAAGCTGGAACAAAAGAGACCTCCAGTGCGCGACAACAAGAGCTTTCCAAATCTTGCGATCTCCTCGCGAATTCTCGAAATGCTCCCGGAGACGATCGGTACGCTTCTCTGCTCGGAGCTTTGGCAAATCAGTAAGCGCGAGTGTTTTGTTCTTGCCGGCAAATTTCAGGAGGCTGTTGGCCCAGGAGAATGTGAATCGACCGAGCGCTGAGACTGAGCGTTCTCGATCTACGAGTTTTCCATTGAGAAAGAGATCCGGTTTCCGTGGCAAGAGGATGCTAAATAGTCCACGAAGTAACCCACTGGCAGCCTGAGTAATTACAAGACCGACCCAAATTTGTCGTAGAAATAGAACACTCATGGCTCGCGAAGACGATGCAAGTTGCACCTCTATTCCGGTGACGGCGAGCGCAACAAGACTACCGACAAAGGCATATTGGCCTAGGTCAAATCGCCGGACTGGCCGGGGTTCCGTGAAGAAAGCAATAGCTTGAATAGAAAGCAGAATCTATTTTGCATGTCAATCAAATGATACAAGTAGGTATCCAGTGTCTGCTGGCCATATCCAACTTCACTTCTACATACCCAAATTCCAACCTGCAGCCAGTTTAGGATGAGAAAGTCGGTATAGTCGAACGTCGTGAACACGGCGAGGCCCAACGTGGCCAGAAATCCAGTTGCTGAAAATATTGTAATCGCAATTCTTTGCCATCTATCGGAGAATGCACGGAGAGACTCCTCTGACGCCTCGCCATCCTCATCATGATACGCGGTTCTGGCTAGGGTATGCTCCTCCGCCGGGGGCGATTTGCGACAGATCCGATCGGTGATACTCCGAAGAGCAGGGATGCTGTCTAAGCCGACTATGAATAGGGCGACCGACCCCGTCACGATGCTGACGACCTGGGTGGTTGGGGGCATTCCTCGTGTGCGACCTCAACGTCACTTTTGAGAGATAGGTGACAAGAGATGAAGGAGTGAAGAGATCCGAGAGGCAGAAGAAAAGCAGTGGATCTGCAACTCCATAATACATGCACTTCGGGCTTATCTCAATCCTAGTCGCAAAAGTAGTTCGGTCAGAGCGGGTCTCATACTAAGAGCAAGGTCACATCGAGGCGTGCCGAGCGGGGAAATGAATAATTTACCTGCCAGAACTCGGTGACTCAGTACCGATTTCGCAGGACTTGCGAATCACGAGCCTCGTATGGACGCGGAAGCATAAATCCATTGGCAGTGGAGAAGAACAAGAGAAGATCGACCTAAAGAACATCCGATCCGATCACCCCGAAAGACCTAAACAAAACAAGATTTGCTCTGATATGCGCGCCGGGAGGCATCTAGACGTGGAGTCATTCGGCGGTCTGTGAGTCCGAGTCTCGAATCTGTACGGGATGGCGGAGGAACGATCAAGAAACGGTGAAGCGCCATCGGTGCCCATTGGTCATTCTCAGTGGTCATCATGACTCACGCTTCCGACTGGTTAGAACTCCCATTTTATTTTGCTTATGGCGGGCACCTTTCTAGGAAGTCGGGGACGCATGCGCCAATGTGCCTGAGCCTGCAGTGGACCTGGTGGAGGTGGTGGGGGCCCTTTCGTACTTTCATGTCGCAAGCTTCGTTTTCCGTATTCCGTACGGAGTACAGGATGAAATAGTATTCTCGGAGTCCACTAGCCAAGGTGGGGAGTAGTTTGATGCAGAAAGTAAGGCCTGAGTGGGCCGGGCCTTGGAGAAGCTTCAAGGGGTAAAGTGGTTGTCGCGGCCTTGATCATTTGCTGCCAAGATTGGATTTGCGACAATGATACAACAATCTGCACAATCCTCCTCAGCCCATTGGCCATATCGACAAGACTCGATCTTCACTTTCAGATACTCACTTCGTAAACGGCCGTTTTAACCAGCAACGCTCGGATTCTTACGTTGTGAAACCTTGGGCTGCAGGCTATTCTCATCTCGGAGTATTACGCATCTCGGATTGTAGAGCACCCAATAAACACCAGCGATGACGGAATTAGATGGGATACTTGATCAACTCATCTTCCAAGGTTATTGGCCATTTTAGATATTATATATACGAGTAGCCAAATAACAAGTCCCGTTTTCATCCGCTAAATGGCCTCGAACATAAGATGGGAACAAAAACTTGAGGGATGACACAAATTCAAATCAACATCGTGATACAAAGTCATAGTTACAGCACACGAACAGTTATATTCATCAAATGGCATGTTTTTTCTCACCACATTGCTATATTTCAAACGCTTAGATCATTCTCACAACTTCTGTTACATAAGTCAGTATCATCCGATAGTGTGTTCACCACAATATCCAGGTCAAACCTTTTGGTTTGAAAATTTGAAGCGGCAGAAGACGTCCTCGTATTTTCTCATTTCATAAGGTTCGGTTCGCAGTAGCACCATCTTATGTTTATTGCTCCATCCCTTGCAACTCCTCAAAGTTGGTGAACTGTGAACTGCCCCTCCGATCATCGGATCTAATATGAGGCTCACGTCAAGATTTGCTGGGCTAACAAGCAACGGATCGTGGATGTCTCCTTCAGATAAATACTCGGCTCTTAGAGCGGACACCTCTTTATCGACGGCTGTATTGGACCCATCGTAAGGAGATTTGTGATGTCCGACTTCGTCATCTGTTCCTGATTGACATGTCTCCGCCCTATCTGGTCTGAGGAGTTGTCTGTCAAGAATCCACTGCTCGTAACTCGGTTCTATCGACGTCTGTATCGATCGTGTCGAAGTTGAGGGGAGTACCGCTTTAGAGCAAAGAAGCAGCCCGATCGGACGGTGTTTCAGGAGGTGGACACAGTTCATCGTCAGATTCGATCTGAAATATGCTATAGAGGTGATGTTGGAGATATTATTGGGTTATCTTGAAGCTCCTTTAACTTGAGGAATAAATCATGTTGTTGAAGTCGCAAAGAAGCTTGGTGCTACAAGATGACATCACCATTTCTTAGGATGTCATGTGCCGAACCAAGTAGACGGTGTTTTGTCTTTTTGACAATCGATTTGTACTTATTAGAGGTATTACTGAGTACGACCTCTAAACATGCAGCTGATTCTACTCCTTTCTAGCCCGCGGGTATTTTTGCTCGTCACAATGACACAAAGTCAGAATTGAGTACCGAAGTAGACCACCTTTAGAAATTCGGATAGAAATTTGCCAAAAGAATATAGTACATTTATTGATCAGATTGGAATCGCTGCGGTCAACTTTTATAGCGGAAGAACCACCAATTCTCCATCAATATTGGCAATATGTTCAGCCAGATCAATGTCACTAGTTGTATATTTGCCATCCGGTCCAGCAAGATCGACGTGGAGGATGGGGTCATGATTAGGTCCTTCGGAAGAGACACTCATGTTTCGAGCTTTCTGACTGAAACCGTGCCCGCCCCAGGTTAAGTGACCTGACGTTGATGAGACCATGAAGCTAGATTTCACCGACTAGCTGTGTTACAACTTACCGTCTTCATTTCCCAGGTAGTCATCTAGGACCAGAGCAGTTTCCAGTCCAGACCCTTCATCATTGTTGCAAGTCGCAATTAAAGTTGTCGCCCCGGGTTGGGCGTCAAGATGAACACCGCATGCTGTTTTTTGGAATGCCATATTTGATGCTGAATATCTGAATATATGAAGATTTCGGATCCGTTGACCATTGCCCACATGGATGATGCGGGGTATTTTGTACTTTTACTTTGTCGTGGCAAACACATGTTAATTGGATTGTTCTTCATTCTTCACCCACGGAAATATTTCAACGATGACGCATAGTTACTGGGGGTTCCCTGGTTACTTAATCTTGAATTTCCCCTTTTGAAATCTATATTCACCCGTCGGGTGTTTCAAGAGCTTTATAGCTTCTAGTTTATTTCCTACTGGTTTACGAAGGAAACGGAAGAAGTAAAATAGATAGTAAGGAATATCAGAGAGTATCAATTGATCGTTTACTCGTGAAGCATAAGAAAAATCGCTAGGTATCGTACAAAACTTCTTAGTAACGCTGAGTCTGAGCACCAGTCTGGTTACCACCGATGGTCTTGGAGCCATCGAGGTCCGAGTCAACACGAGGGTCGATCTTGTTCAGAGTGTCGCTCTTGTGGGGACCGGCGGTGGTAGGGCCACCGGTGCTGTAGCTGCTACCGGCAGCGCTCTCCTGCTGAGACTGGTCAAAGTTCTTGGTGGTGGTAGGGCCCTTGCTGCCGTGGAGGCCGATAACCTGGTTTCCGCCCGCAATGCTGCCCTTGTGAACGTCCTGGTCAAAGCGGTCGACGCCAGAGTACTGGCCAGGAATGTGCTCCTTCTTCGCCTTGCTCTGGTCGCTGTCGACACGGGGGTCGGCCTCGTTAGCGATGTTGCTGCTGTGGGGGCCTGCGGTAGAGCTGGCAGGTCCAGAGGCAGCAGAGTGGGCAGAGGGAACGGAGCCAAAACCTCCGGTGGTACCAGTAGCACCGGTCGTACCGTAAGCGCCAGTGGTACCAGCAGTGCCGGTGTTACTGTAAGAAGCACGGCCATCGCGGTCGCTGTCGAGGCGAGGATCAGCCTTGTTGGCAATGTTGCTATCGTGGTGACCGTGGTTGGTGGATCGGTTCAGGTCGTAAGCGTCAGCAGTGCTGCCAGTGCCAGTGGTGCCAGTAGTTCCATATGTGCCAGTCGAGCCAGCACCGGTGGAGATAGGCTGAGTAGAGGAGTGGGCAGTAGGAGCGAAGCCAGTAGAGCCAGTCGAGCCAGTAGTGCCATATGCGCCAGTGGTACCAGTAGCGCCAGTGGTACCATAGGAGGCACGTCCATCGCGGTCGCTGTCGAGGCGAGGATCGGCCTTGTTGGCGATGTTGCTATCGTGGTGACCGTGGTTGGTGGATCGGTTCAGGTCGTAAGCGTCAGCAGTGCTGCCAGTGCCAGTGGTGCCAGTAGTTCCATAAGCGCCAGTAGATCCAGTCACACCGGAGGTACCATATGAGCTGCGGTCGCTATCGACGCGAGGGTCAACAGTGTTGGCAGTGTTGGTATCATGAGGACCGTAGTTGGTAGAAGTGGAAGTGTTGTAGGCTGAGCGGTCGCTGTCGATCCGGGGGTCGGCAGCGTTGGCAGTGTTGGTATCATGAGGACCATAGTTGGATGATCGGGTAGAGTCATAGGCATTGGCATCAGTAGTACCAGTGGACTTGTGGTCTTTGTCACCGTGATGGGCGACGGCGTCCTTGACCTTGTTGATGATGTTAGACATGTTGGCTGATGGAGAAAAGGCTTGAAGAGAAAAGGTTTTTGAAGGAAGTAGATGAGTAGGAGATTGATGAGAGGATATTGATGAGAGATTGTTGATGAGAAAGAATGATCCCTCTGCTTCATGAAGGAGGTTTATATACTAGTGTTAGTAGGTACTATCAACAGGTGTTGGCTTATGACGCCATGTGTACAAACGCGCCAACGCCAATGCCAACAAAGACATTGCATGACGTGCTATCCCCGCAGTGTCAGTTTCGAACGTGGATATCAATCTAAATCATACTAGTAGTTACTGGTTACGGAGTACGGAGTACTCGTACTGGTGAGTTGCTAAGTCAACCTGCTGAAGGTGGGAGAATCCCAAACCGGGCAGCATGACGATCGGCAACGTCATACTAAATACGCCACCGACAGCGTTGGTCCCCCATCAGCCTTATGCTATGCATGGAATAAGAATAGAACCCCCCCCGATCGATCGTATCATAGGGGAGTATAGGCTTATCACTGCATCCATTTGGAGGTAAACAGTGGGTTGGGAGTCGATCTCAATCCTTTTGCGTCATCTACAAAACGTCCGGAAACCGGCTGATCGCTGATCGCCAGGCATCAGAGTACTACCACCATGTCGATCAGGGTTTTCGATTAATCTAGAGAAAATTCCATCTGGATCAGGCACGTAATTGGGAGCTGCCAGTGAAGATCGTAATAGCAATGGTGGGATGTGAGAGGGCGAGATCTCTACCAAACAGCTCGATGTCTTGGTATGAGCTCCATGTGGGATCCCCAAGCTCCTAATTAGAGCTTCCTTCTCGTAGCTTACACCTTCCAGCCAAGAATGATGAAAGATCACATCTTACTTCTGAATTCCTTGTTCAATGGCTTGCAAGTTTCAGCTATCCTGCACGCTACCGTCATTCCAGAATCTAGCCAGTGATCGAATAGTGATATTCCTTGAATCCCTGTCGACTGTGGCGGTCGCGGTCTGAACCCAGTATTGCCTTGGATTATACAGCCCCGGGAGCCAATAACTGTTACGGCTGGGATGCACGGTATTCTTGATTTATGTAAGTATGAGACTCTTGCCACCAACAGGCAGTCCCGTTTCGGCAAGCAGTGCATCAGCCACAATGTTTACTTGCCACATTTAAAAATAAATTAATGGTTCATGACTTTTTGCATTCTCCTTCCCTTTAAGTGCTTACCATTCGTCATAGTTTGACGATCCTCTCCTATGTAAAACTTGGCTCAGGCTGTCTTGCCGATTTGGTCTACTTAGTGCCCAGGTGGCTTCTCACTTGCGCCGAGGCCGCCAGGATGAACTCTCTCCACCAAGGTATCACTATTAGTTATTTTCTGGTAGCATGTCATTTCAAAATTCAGTATACATATGGTGCATCGTGGATAGATGGCTTATATTTCAGGGCCAGGTTGAAAATGCACTTGTGACGAAGGCGTTACATTCCCGTTTCGCCCCTCCGTCGAAGGATCAATGATGTGTTCCGACTTGCATCGCTGAGTTTTATTTTTGCACTCAAAATGACTAGTTAAGGTCAGAAATTCAAGTTTTGGGGTATTAAAATTAATTGTCTATATTGAGATATAATTGCCAGTGGCTGTCTTTGAATGATGTGACTAGTATTTGAAGATAAACAAAATTTTCAGACTTACTTCCATCATACAGGATAGTAAGCGGCATCCGATGACATACAACCATTATTTCACAGACAAATGGCAAAATATCAAGCAACAACGGTTACATACCATCGTCAAGGACTCAGCCAACGCAGCAACGGTAACTGTTCGTGAGAAGGGCTATGGCAATAGGGAATATATTAGCTCCGAGATGTTCCACAGGAAGATCGACAACCATCTCGAGCAAAACATGGACAAGTACTCTGCTCAACAAGCTCTCGATGTTCTCGATGCCTATTACAGCGAATATGCTCCCCATTCCTGGACCTCGGGATATGGAGCCTTCATCTTGTTTCAAAATACACCGGCTAACCTCACTTTGCAGTCAGAGCGGAAATACTTCACCGATGTCGTGGTAAAGCAGGTCATTGAGCGTCATCTTGTGGCCTCGTTGTCCGAAGTCTTCTCGCCGATAGTTCTGACTCGTTACAATGACCAAGAGATTCACTTCTTGGCCTTTGAACAGCCAGAGATGATCCAGACGCGGGAGAATCTACAGAGCAATGACAAGACGCTGCAGGAGAGTCAAAAGCCATTTCGCATTGCCTTGGGTCATAGTATGTGAATAAATATTATTAACTGGCATCGTGCCCCTTATAGGCAGAAACCCGAACTTGAAGTGAACATTCTCCAGCTGCCGGATTTTCTGTCCTTCTCATCCAGCAACTTTCCCACTTGGTCACTCATATTCTATCAGTTTGCGTCAATTACTAGTAGCTCTACGAGAAATACCAACAGTATTTTGAAGTCTTTTTCCGTACTAAATTACGCAAATATAGCTAATATTGTAAAAATATGCTAAGGGTATCGAGTATCATTAAATCATAAGTGAAACCCCCAGCCTTGGAACCTGACTTTCAATTCCGCCATGGAGTCAAGATTCCATGCCTCTTCAGAGTTTGAGACCGACCCGAACACTCTGCGGGTTGTGAAAAATATCATTGGAATCAACTTCCGCCTTGATAGCCTCCAACCGAGGCAGATTGCTTCCCCAGTAAGCGAGCTGAGCATTCTCTATGTACGGATCCACGTAGCCGGGGTATGCTCCAAAGCGTGCGGCAGGGGCCTCCGAGCCAAGGATAACGTCGTTCATGCCCTGAAGAAAGTTCTTTGTCTCTAGTGAAACTGGACCAAAAAGGCTTATCGCGTAGGATTGCATCCACATGAATGCATCCCGGTGAGCATACGCAGTAGCCTCAGTGGGAACATCGTTGGTCGCGCCACCCTCCAAATCAAAAATAACGAACCACGCAAGAGTACCCTTGTTCGTCTTGTCAATGTATTCGAACAATGCATCCACCACATGGTCCGGAATGATTGTCTCGTTGGTGAAAGGCATGGACTTGGCGTAGAAGTGAGCAGGAATACCACCAACCACGCGCTCGATGAGTTCTTCAACTTGACTCCCAACCATGCCGAGCCAGTTACTTAAGGTCAATCCAAAGGAGGAAGTGCTTCCTGGGAAATGGTTCTCAAACTTGAATGACTCAAATTCCTCTCGGGATCCAAAATAGGTACCAGAGACAATTACCCCAGCGTCTGAGACTAGGAGCTGCGAAGAAAACTTCCGAGTCAAAGTTTCGCTGGAGATCAGTTTCTGCCACTGTCTGAAAACCGCAGCCTTGGCCTGCGAATCTCCCATACTCCAAGTGAACGAATATTGGTAGGCCTCAGTCGGTGCAGGATGAGTGTGAAGCTTGAACTCCGTGACGATGCCAAAGCTCGCTGCGGCACCCTTGATAGCAAAGAACAAATCTTGATTCTCGTCCTTGGAGGCTTTGACGACGGAAGAGTTGGCCAATACAACGGTTGCTTCTTCGACATGATCCAAGGCCATACCCCATTCTCGGGATTTGGGACCAAGACCACCAATTGTTAGATGACCACCAGTACCAACTTGCGGACAAGTGCCGTGGGCGACAGCACGTCCACCAGCATCATACAGACGGGTTGTCAGGTCTCCAAGGAGAGTCCCCGTGCCAATGGTCGCGATGTGAGTATACGGGTGCATCGAGAAATGCTGAAAGTGCTGCATATCAACGACGATAGCACCATCCACGCCACCAAGCCCTGATAAAACGAAGGTTAGATTTTATTTGAAACAAGAAGCGGCAGGAACCATAACTGATGATATACCATGGTTAGCATAGCTGTGGCCGCCACTGCGACCTTGGACTTTGTAGTCGTGCTGCACGGCGCAACGTACAATATCCGCAACTTCATCGGTGCTTTTTGGATATATAATCGCAGCTGGAGTTACTGGGATGTTCAGATTATAGACGGGGGGTAGCGGAATTGAACCTCGAAAGGCGACTCTGCTGGCATCATTGCCGACAGCTGCGAGGAAGCAGCCGTGACCAGCGACGCTCTGGGAGTTTCCCATGATGAAAGGAGTGGAGGTCCGATCAGGAAGAGTAGAAGAGGAATGGAAGAAAAGAGGAAAAGGAGGAAGAAGAAGTTGGCGCGGCGAGTTTAAGATGACCAGACTAGGCAGGCACGAGTGTGGTACATCGCGAGGAAGGCGCGACTGAAAGATCCGGAATGCTGGAAAACCTAAACTGAACCCCTGGGACCGTTGCTATTAATACTAGTAGTACTGCAAGTACAAGTACTAGTATAGACAGAGATCCTTCAACAGAGATATTCTAATTGAATACAACAATGATGCATAGATGAGCATTATACTTGGCACAATACTTGACACTAATCAGTACTAGCATTTTCAGTGGTCACGTAAGCCCTAAGTGGGATTCATTCCCCTTCACTAACAACATCCCTTGAATAACTGCATAAATCCAACTCGGTCTATCTATATGGATAACTTAGAATCTGCTTAGAAATGACTCAAATGAGCAAGGAACCCCGATCTGGATCCGGCCTCGGGCAATTTCCTCCTTTCGCACTCCACTCGGGGACACTATGAGTCGGGGACCTGTAGGTCCCCGAACTTCTTTCATGAATTTGAGTCTGCAATAATCGTCAGGAACATGACTATTCTTCCATTTTACAATTGCAATTTCACATTCTCAACTTCATAGGCCCTCAGTTCTTTCTTATTCCTCCTCCAGTCTTATCAATTCCACCCCACGCCTTGTGCCCTTTCGACTATCAATTTCATCCCATATCCGGGTACGATATTCATGACATCAAATAAACTTTCATGTCCTCATCACCCGCAACTTCAAAAAGAATCGACCTTTCCCCCTCGTCCTCTTCCTCCCTGTCATCCATCACCTTATAAATAGCCATGTTCACACCCATTCAAACTTCCCTCGGAGCCTGGCTTCTATTCCAGGGCTCCTCGGGTCTACTCGTCCATAACGGTGCTGTCTTCGGCATATCCTCCCTTATTTCGGGCTCCGTCTTTAGTCCATCAAGGGATAATGTGCCTATCATTGCTGGCTTGGTATCGAGTATTCTCCCAGTCTACCTGCTCGCCCCATCTTTACTCCCGAGCTACCCTGCAGCTCCGGATTCATTGGCTACGGCGGCGACAACCTTTGGAGTCGGACTTCTCCTAGGTTGGGGTACAAAGGTGCGTGATATACTAGGAGTATTAGCGGTGTTGAAACCCCTCTCTCGCTTAACGGAGGGAACATTTATACGGAGAAAATATGCAATACCGAACTAGACAAGCTAACACTCTACAACGCCACAGAATGGCCGAGGATGCACTTCCGGACATATGCTCTGCGGCATATCGCGACTATCCGCACGCTCAATAATCTCAACAGCCATATTCTTCACGACAGCCCTTATAACTGCTAATGTGGTTGGGGGAGGCTCTAACATTCCACCCTGCGGCCCATCAACACCATGCTACACAGCCATGTCTCCATCAACACCCGAGCTAGCCTTTATATCTGGCGCGGTTATATTATCAACGATCACGAATTTCTTCATTATTCCGAAGACATTTACCCGGACCGAAACATGCCGAATTGCCTTCGCCTACATCGCCGGACTCGAGTTTGGCCTCGGCCTATTGATTTCGGGAATGGCGGACTCGGCTAAGGTCTTGCGGTTCTTTGCTCTACCCACCGATCCGTCCCGTTTTGATCCCTCCTTGGCTCTCATCATGGCATTTGGTCTTGGCCCTTCACTCGTGACATACTTGTCATTGGAACCGGGTCAGTCGTTGGACAAGGATAAGCCCGCCGCGAACCCGACGCTAGCTGAGCGTTGGAGACTCCCTACGGCGACGGTGGCAGATATCGACTGGCGCTTTGTGGCTGGTGCGTTGGCGTTTGGCGTGGCGTGGGGTTTAAAAGGAGTCTGTCCTGGCCCGGCTCTTTTGAGGTCCTTTCTCCAGCCTAGTTGGGGGTTGGTGACGGTGAGTGGATATTTTGTTGGTAATCTCTTCTAAATTGAGGGGGTAGATGATGGGACAGGATAGACATTGGACACTAGTATGTATTATTAAAGCCCCATAGAAGATAGACATGTATTGTAGCTGGAGGTTAGGTGAAACTAGTAATAACGAAGAGTACTTCGTCGCGGAAAACAAACGTGAATCGTTCTAATCATATGCTGTGCGATGCGAAATCAGCATGGGTATGCGGATAAAATAGTAAACAAATGCAGTGCTAACAGGTCGAAAAGATTTACTGGGTATACAACACAACACGAAATTGGAATGTGAAACCCCGCAGAGCAGCGAGGGGACATGGCAATGGAAATACGGGAAAGGCTTACAATTCGGTCTTTTTGTTGAGACGAATAGCCTCCGCCTCGAACTCAAGCTCTTCATCCCGGCGCGACTTCGACTGTGACTCCGTCTGTGACTTCGTCTGCTGCTCAAAATCCAAGTACCCCTCCAACTCCATCCACTCGGCCGCAAAAGCAGTGATGACCAGACCCCAATCTTCCACCGTGGCCATATCAAGGTGCTCCCCGTCATCTTCAATGGTATGCCAAACAGGCGGGAAGCCCTTGAACGGAGTAAAGTCAATGAGATGTAGAATTTCCACGCCGCGCGCCAAAAATGGAAGATGGTCATCCGAGATTCCACCTAGGGGGATAACATCATGCGAGTTCTTCTTTGAATCAGGGAACCAATGCTGATCCGAAGCCGATTTCATCCGACCCAGGGAACGCAAACGCTCCTCAGCTGCGGCGAGACTTTGATATGCCCAATGTGTGGTCTGGTAATATGATTGGATATGGGGGGGCTTTGGCACCGAGGAGGTCAAGGAGGACGAAGAGTTCGATAGATGAGAGAGGTGTTTTGTAGGTTGACATTGCCGGGTAGAACTCCGAACTCCAGCTCGCAGCCAGAGAACGCGCACCGTATAGGGAGTCTGTATCGGTCCAGTGATCGAAAGCTTCTTCGCCGTCCAGGAAGAGAATCTGGATGCCATGTTCGTCCTCAAGAGACGGGTCCAATCCCTCGGTACGCATCGCGGTCCATTTCGCATCCAGGGCCGCATCAATGGTGCGCATGGCGTGCATGATGATCGCGCATGGGGCTGCGCTATCAATAGCACCGATGAAACCCGTCGGTGTGAGCTTGCTATCGTAGTGCGCGACCAATGTTAAGCGCCCGACATCTCCAACTGGGGCGCCTGGCGGATCGCGCGAGGCAATGAAATTGACAAAGGGAACTTCCTTGCCCTTGGATATGGGGGTGGTGGAAGTCGAGTTCTGCAGTTCAATATTCCATTTCGGTAATGTTGTTCGAAAGAAGTTGGCGAAGTGCTCGAGGACGGCTTCGTGGCCTTCTGTTCCTGGGACGCGAGTGCGGAGGATCGGAGAGAGGAGGGAGCCCGTGTGGATGTCGTAATCTTCACTGGCCCGAGGAAGAGAATTTAAAGAGTCATCGGAGAGTATCTCATAAGCATATCCTGGGAGCAGCAAGAGGAACAAGCTGAGGGCGAGGAAGAAGTGGCCGACAAAGCCACGATAAGCCGGAGACATGGCGTCAATGACGGGGAGAAGACAAGCTCGCCTAGCTGTTCATGACTTCATTGGGAGGTCATGGAAAAACCAGACCGGCTGGGATAGGAATTATAAGAACAGAATTGAAACCCAAAACAAGAAACAAGAGACAAGAGAGACTCGAAAAGTAGAACAAGAAGACTAAAAGAGAAGAGAGGCAAGCGGAGAGAAGCAACAAAGCCAAAGCGGACCCCCGGGGAGATCGGCGGGCGGTGAAGGAGATCAACTGAACTGCCATCTCATCCTATGGGAACAACCACAACTCAATCTCCAATTGTTTCACCTCAATTCATTCCAGCTCATTCAATGCGCATTCTTCTACATCCCACGCTGCGCACATTGCCCAGATCAGCTCAGCGCGATCTGCGCAGTCGAGTCTGGCTGCGCTTCAAGACTCAAGTCCCACTTCCATCCCAGCGCAATGCCCCCAAAGCGCCTCCTCCGAGGACCGTCACAGGAACTAGCCCCGAACCACCCACAATAACATCCTCCGCGGAGTCCGTGAAGACAACCATTCGAAAAGGTGGGACATAAAAGTGTCCGCGGCGTCGAGACATGGTCCATATGCTGACTCTGGGGTTACAGGGCCACCGGAACGTATTTTAATTTACTTTGGAGGAACCGGCCGATCCATGTTTTTGGGAATGCTTCGAGTAACCACGATTTTCCTCTTCGGTGCCGCATGCTTTATTGTAGCCCCGACTTGCTGGGCCGATGAGAGCCAGCAATGGATGACCCCGCTAGGTGAGTGTTGAGTGCTGTCTACACTACACACCTCTTCCCGAGCTCGGTACTGGGACTGGTACTAACAATAGTCAAAGTGATAATTGGCGGCGCAATCCCAATGCTCTCATTCGCATACGTCGCCGCTCCCTATGTCAACTTCGTCCACCTGGCCCTCCCCGCCTTCGCCCGGAAATCACGAGAAATGGCCGTGCACTATGCGAAGGATCTCCCGCCCAATGCAATCCTGTACATGAACACAATGCGATGGAACACCATCCCGCGCCAAACAACCGTCCGTCTGGGCGATCTGGTCACGGACAAACACCCCGTTCGACCAGTTACTTTCCTCAACACAAAATTCACCCCATCACCCTGGTATCGAACGAAGTCTCCGACCCAGTTCTTTACAGCGGAGCAGAGTCAACCCGGACGACAGACCACGGCTTTTTACCCTGAGTTGTGGCCGACTATCTATAAGCGGATTCAGAGCCAGAAGCCAAGACGCTAGGATTGTGTGGTGGGGGTTGGGAGAGTCAACCGCCCGGAGATTTGATTTGGTTGTTTCTATGATTGTATGATACCTTGCATCTACCTCACCTTTGTACTATTAGAGATCTCAATATATATAGGCCTTTCTTCTGGGCTTCTTACTTCAACTCTTGGAGTCGGTTAGTATGAATAGTAGGGCTGTAACCTCCCCTCGTATCCGTTAAAAATGGGAATTTTTGACTAATATTCAATTGAACCACTTGGTCAATATTCAATACTATCGACTAAAATTTAACTTCCGAAATAGGTTCTGCACAGGTGTTCAGAAGAGCAGAAGAGAGTCGGGCCTCTCTAAAAAATTCCTAGTTCCTAATTCGCCACTCATATGCGAAGCTGTATTCAATCCATCATCCCCGGGCCTGACTGAGAAGTCATTTGTACAGACAAATGCTGCGTATCAATAGATCAAATTGTATGGATATTCCGAGTTGAAAATTATTTTATCATTGTAAGAGATAAACGCCATTGAAAACGCCATTTGACCGAGATATCTGACAAGAAAGAAATAGAGTGTGACATATCGTAAAACAGGAACAACAACAACACAGCTTGAAATGAATCACGAAGCCCCTCACAATGCCTCGATAGCTTTACGCAGCACCTCCAGACCATGATCGGCAACATCAGCATCACCCTCGCCCGAAGACTCACGCAGAGCCCAGGCAACATCACTCCACCACCCGAGACCAACATACCCACCGCCCTTCCGGCGTTCGAGACTTTCCTTAAGTCGACTGGTATGCTCCCACTGCTTAGCCGCCTGCTCGGCACACTCAATGACCTTATTCGAAATTCCACACATGGCCGCGCAGTGCATTCCGAAACTACCCTCCGCAACACCATCCTCGAGCTTGTAGAGGAACGTCACGCGACGCTCGGCGTCATCGACATGGATGGCCATACGCTTCGGGGTGATTTCGGGGTGGCCCTCGAACTCGGTTGCGAGGGAGTGGTAGTGTGTTGCAAAGAAGCCCATCGCGCCGATGTGGGTGGCGATGTGGTGCAGGACGGCCTGTGCGACTGCGACGCCGTCGTAGGAGCTGGTGCCACGTCCGAGCTCGTCGAGGATAACCAGCGAGCGCGGAGTCGCTTCGGAGAGAATCTTCTTCGTCTCCGAGAGCTCGACGAAGAAGGTTGATTGAGCAGCGAAAATGTTATCGTTGGCCCCAAGGCGGGACATGATTCGATCCACTGGGGTCAGTCGGGCGGATTGGCAGGGGAGGTAGCAGCCAATCTGGGCCATGATTACGGCGACGCAAGTCTGGAGGTTTGTTTTGTTAGTTTTTTTTCATCGGAATAAATAGGGTAGGGGGCCAATATTTACCATTCGGAGAAGAGTTGACTTTCCGGCAGCGTTGGCTCCGGTCAATAAGTCGATATTGGCACGGTTGCCGCCGAGCTGGACATCATTGGGAATGAAGTCTTCAACGGAGGAAAGAAGGCACGGGTGGCGCAACTCTTCGAATTCCAGGACGCTTCGCTCTTCATCGACGAAAACTGGACGGCAGCTTGGTTGCCCCAGAGATGCAGACGCCTTGGCCAAGCTGATCAGACAGTCTAGTTGGGAAACAACGCGAACAGCAGCTAGCCATGTACCGTAGTGTTCATCGAATCGGGCATGGAAGCGGCCGGCAACCTCTTTCACGATTTGGCCGTGCGTTTCCTGGGCTTCCTGGAGTTTACGGATGGAACTCCGAAGCTCGGGGAAATAGTACCGCTTGACCTGCTTGGTAGCAGACATCTGATTCCAGTCCTTCGGGATATTCTTCACCTTGATCGGGACCTCAAGCTGGTAGATCTCCTTGCCATTGTCACGGTAGCATATGGCAGTTGATCCTAGCTCACGGCGTGATTTCTTCAGAATATTATCGAGGTCCTTATGAAGCTGATCAATCGTCTCTTGTGATTGATCGAAATCGCTTTCCACACCAGTCTCCGGAACAAGGACCCCATTCTCCTTGGCCTTGGAACGATCGAATGCAGTCTTCCAGTATGCCAGGAGCTCGGTCATGTCGGGCATAGCCGAGATCAACTGTCCGATGATTCCCTCGCCAGAACCACTATCTTTTAGGAGACCCATGGTATAATCAATTTGTTCGAATCCTTCAAGAACACGAACGAAATCTTGAGCCTTGCAAACGCCTGCATGAACACGAGAAATCAACCGCTCCAGGTCAGGCATCTTAGTCAGTTGCCCGGAGAACTGATCCCGGACGCTGGGATCAGCGTTCAGAGAGTCGACAGCATCCAATCTTGCATTGATTCTTTGCGAGTCCATCAATGGGTGGCAGACCCATTGTTTGAACAAACGCTTGCCAAATGGTGTGATACACTTGTTGAGGAGTTGGAATAGTGTACCATCCACACCCCCATCGAAAGAATTGGCAAAAATCTCCATGTTGATCAACGTTTGACCGTCCAACACCAGGCTGGAAGACTTCTTGATCGGATCATACCATGTAAAGTTGCCAATGGTAATCAGGTCTCGTTCGATCTTCAGGAGGCGCAGGTATTGGGTCAGAGCACCAAATGCAGACATGAGAAGCTCTTTCTCCCGTGCCTGACGTAAAGTCTCAGGCCAAGCTTTAATATTATCATCATCTTCAGAAACGAAATAATCGCTAGCATCCAGCTCCTTCAGTGTAATATCCGCCTCCCAAAACTCTCTGCCGGGTTTCATGTAGTTCCATAGGGTGGTGGGACCGGTGTTGTTCTTCAGAATACGCATCATCTTGTGCGAAACGCAGCCCTTCTCAAGCAATAATTCTTGCGGGCGAGTCTGTGCAACGAAGGTCTCGAATTTGGTCATGTCGATATCGTCAACAAACTCGGAGATGAAAAACTGACCCGTCGCCGTGTCGACAAAAGACAGGCCGAATGCAGGGAGATCGTCAACGATAGCTTCCTTGATGGCAACACAGTATGTGGACATATCGTCCTGAAGCATGGACCCTTCAACAAGTGTACCAGCAGTGAGGACACATGCGAGTTCACGCTTGATGATCTTGTCTTCCTTGCCAGGTTTCTTTCCATCCCGCTCACGCATTTCTTTGCCCAGTGCGGACTCGGACTGATCCACACGAGCAATCTTGTAACCTTTAGCGACAAATTGGTTCGCCCAGTGAGCCAAGCTCATTTCGGGCACGCCGACCATGCGCATGTTCACTCTGTCCGTAAGTTTCAGATCAAACAATTGATGACCAATGGTAGCATCATTCTCGTAAAGCTCGTAAAACTTTCCCTTCTTGAAAAACACAACAGTATCCCAGAACTTCTGCTTAATTTCCCAGTATTGCTTTTCGAATGGTGAGAAGCGGGACCAGGCGAGAGGAGGAATATAGATCGTTCGAGGATCGAAATCGGGGTGGCCCGGGGGGTTCTTGTCGATATCCATGGGGTTGGCAAGCCAAGGGTAGCGCTCCTCGGGGTCTCTGACATGAGCCTTTTCCTTCTTCGTACTCGCGGGGGCTTTGGTGTTCGTTTGACGCTCTTTCCGAGGCTCTGTACTTTCGGGGTCAAACGTCCACTTAAGAGCAGTCCCCCCCGAGCTCTCGGGGAGCTCAACGTCAAGGTCTTCGTCGGTCGGTGGAGGTGGTGGAAGCGAGGAGGACTGGTTGGAGCTCTTGCGGGCAGATTGAGGAGCCGATCTTTTTCGCTTCTTCGCGGGTGCAACGTCCTCGTCGGAGTCATCGGCAACGACAAAGTCGTCCATTTCTGGTCAGGGTCAGTACTACACACGAGATATTCCAGGGCAGCGTTGAAACAAACCATCGTCCGAATATCCGTCATCCTCTGCACCAGCTTCGAAATCGTCTTCGCTTTCTACCACGGTCTTCTGGCGCTTCGCGGCACGACCTCCGGCGCGGCTTTTCCGGCTGGGACGGAAGATAGCTTCATCATCGTCTTCGCCTTCAGAGTCAGATTCCTTATAGCTGACCTGTTTCTTCTTGGACTATTTGAACATGATTGTCAGTATAAGGAGAATTATGTTAACGAAACTGAGAAATAGACATACTCGACGTGAAGGTGTCATTTCTGTATCCGGGGCTGCGTCGCCTCCAGTCTAGTAGGAACAATTGTCAGTGGTGCGGAGGATGAAGGAGCGGATGCAAAATGCAAACAAACACACCTTTACAGCATTCACATTTTCCTCGTCCTCATCCGGGATAGGCAGATCACTACTAGGCACAGGGGTCAAGTCCTGTGCAAAGCTAGAGAAACTTCTCTTTTCCTTGGGTTTCGTAGCACTAGCACTAGCATTACGTTGTTCGGAGGCTCGTTGGGCTGGAGAGGAGGCGGGCTCGCGGGGTTTCGCTTTAACACTAGAGGGTGTCGCGGGAGATGACTTCTGGAAAAATCCCAGAATGGACTTCTGGCTCTTCATGTTCTGGGCACTCGAGGTGGTTCGTTTTAACGCGGAGGAAGGTGTGCCGGTTGGCGAGGAGGCATCTCCTTTGGCCATTGTGGTCAATTGGAGGCGATTTGGTATAAGGAAAGACTTGTCGGTATAAAGAGAGGCTCAGGGCATGCTGGTATAGGTCAAATTCAAGGGGAATGGCTGGGACTAAAACATTAGAAGGGCGACAGGGGATACCCAAGGGCAGTGGATGCGATGGGAAGTTGACCGGAGACGATAAGATCGCGCGCGTCGACGCGTAAAGTACCCGCGGTCCTTAGTCAGCGGCTATCAGCTCAGCTGTGATCTATCACTTCACATCACTTCACATCACTTCACATCGCAGAATTCGAGTAAAAGAATAGTGATGGTGCTTATGGGAATATACGGTTACAATTTGATCTGCTCACTTTTCATATATTTTCTATTTCCCATGAACCCTTGCAATGAGTGGTGACTTCAAGCATAGTAACGAGAACAATACAATACTTCGGACTACAGTTATAGCCTAGTAGATGCTAAAACAGCACTTCAATTGAGAGGAATCATTTCCGAGGTTTGGAATGAACAAGTGCTGATATTCTTTCGAACTAGTATCATCCCAGCTCGTGGTATACCAAAAATGGAAACAAGTTGAATTGCCGACTTGTAGTAGTCACGCGATCTACAAATATATGTCGATCGAGCCCGATCCTTCTCAGCGGGTAGCTGATGTGGATAATCCAGAAGAAAGTGTAATAATGCGTGACTTGGATGATAATTTCCTTCTTGCCCAGGCGAGAAGTAAGAATACTATACAAAATGCAATCGGAGAGCATCCATGGTGAGAACTGGTGGCGAAGTGAGTGGTGGAGTGAGACGGTGGAGTGGTGGAGTGGCGGAGTGGTGGAGCTCATTTTCGAGACCCTCCAGGCCCCGGTCGACGGAACTAATTAGATCTAGTGACTTGGATACTAGTATGGGTGCAATAATGGAATATTTAGTACGAATAATCACTCATTTCCCGAGTTTGCTGACAGGAACTTGAAGAGATTGACTAATATCACCCGACATCAACATTTTCTAACTAACGAAGCCTACGACCACAATGGCTTCCAAACCAAAGGTGGCCTTCATCGGGCTGGGTGCTATGGGGATGGGGATGGCCATACACCTGCTCGAAGACAGTTTCGCTGTGACCGGGTTTGATGTCAATCCCATGGCCCTTGAGAAACTGCTCGCCATGGGTGGCGCCTCTGCTACTAGTCCAAAGGAATGCGCCCAAGGTGCATCATTCGTTATCTGCATGGTTGCGAATTCTACGCAGACCGAGGATGCATTTTTCGCTGACTCAACGGGCGCAGTATTTGGCATGGAACAGAACGCTACTGTCATGTTGTGCTCAACTGTTGCTCCAGGGTTTCCAGGGGAAATTTTGGATCGTATCCACCAGGTCTTCCAAAGACCTGATATTCGGTTGTTGGATTGTCCAGTGTCTGGTGGAACGATACGCGCCGCTCGCGGAATGCTGACCATTCTGTCATCGGGCCCAACGGATGTTTTGAATACCGCTCAGCCAATCCTAAAGTCAATGAGCGAGAATTTATATGAGATTGAGGGCGGACTAGGTGCAGCGAACAAGGTCAAACTTATCAATCAACACCTTGCTGGTGTTCATATTGCGGTTTCAGCAGAAGCAATGGGGCTAGCTGCAACATTGAAATTGAACACAAAAGAATTCTATGAAACGGTCCTCAAAAGCCCAGCGTGTAGTTGGATGTTTGAAAATCGAGTGCCTCACATGCTCTCCAATGATTGGACGCCTCACTCTGCCATCAGTATCTTTGTCAAGGATATGGTAAGCCTTCTATCCCTACCTAATTGGAATCCCGTGAGAAACATTGAAAATATCCCACTAACATCTGTATCAGCGAATTGTGACATCGGAAGGCCTCCTTCAAGATTTCCCTCTTTATATTGCATCTGCAACGGAACGACTTTATCAATATGCCGCGTGCATGGGATATGAAAAGGACGACGATGCGAGTCTTGTTCGAACCTTTCTAGCACAAAATCCATCTCTGGTTTCGGAATCAACACGTATCCAAAGCCCCGATAGTTCGCGCCCATCTGAGCTGATATGCCGGTTATTGGAGACTGTCCACACTTTAGCAGCAGTTGAAGCTCTGGCCCTCGGAAACAAACTCGGCATTTCGACCAGCACCCTCGCACCAATCATTTCAAATGCTGCTGGTGCCAGTGAGTCCTTCAAGAAGGTTGCACCCTGTATTGTGGCCGGTGATCCTTTATCTGGGTATACGATCACACAGACCCGGGACATGCTGGTAAGTGCATCCTCTTCAAAGCTTACATCTACACGACTAACCAAATCGACAGAAAGAAGTCATCACCCTTGCTCAAGTGCACAACTATCCCCTGCAACTCGCAGCTACTACATTCCAACTCTTGCAACAGGCTGTGACTTACGGCCTGGGTGGGGAAGGCCAAGCAGCACTTCTCAAGTTATGGACAACGTCAGATATTTCTGCCAGACCCTTGTATATCACCTAATATGACCCAAACAACTGTGAATCTTGCATCTGAGGACCTAAAGGATAGAAAAGATGTGCTGGTGATGACCAGTCGAGACCTTATGACACTTAATTCTGTAAATTCTTTGGTATCTACGACCTGAAATAAAGCACAAACTGGGGTATCGACAAAATAGCCGCCAATGCCTTGGTACACTTGTGCGCCATTTGAGGGTTTGCCCTAGATACCTGCTAGCAAAAGGAGACATGGTTTACTCCAGTATAGCGCCAGCCGGTAGACCTATTAAACGCGCAAGAGGACTGAGGTTGCGCTTGGACTTCCGGTCTTGAGGTGCCAGATAGATGAAGATTTAAAGAGTCAATATCAAGGAAGAACGGGGGTCAAACGGACTGAGATATCATTCATCATCTCCCCTGGTGATGTTGGAGATGTAGATAGCTTGGCTTCCGTGGTTGAGCAGTGAGCAGTGAGCAGTGACATGAACTTTTGTATCTAGGTCATGAATACAATGTACTATATGGAGGTAATATAAAGCAGCTTAAAGTCGTTTCATAGTTACCATTTGCGTCCCCATTACTAGAACTCAAGGTCAATATCTGGAATCAATTTACATGCCGGTGATTTCTGCCTTCAGGTTTGATCAAGCCAATAAAGTTAGGCCAATAAAGCTCCCCAGGTTTAGGAGGTAAATGGGCACTTGTAGATCTACCTCTAAAGTAAACATCGATTCCATTTTTCTAAATCATGTCATCCGGGATAGAGTTACAGTCTAACAGTTCTTGTAACTGAATAATTGAATCTAGAATTAATCGGCTCCATCGACAATAGAGAGCAGAAATACACTCTCCTCATCCCAGCACACCCATAAAAGAAATAGCTATAAAGGACATGCAATAAGCTTATCAGGGAGACCTTCAGACCCCGTTGCCAGATTTCTTACTCTTGATTTTCCTGAATTGTTCAATTTGCGAATCTAATAATGTTCAAATATGTGTATGTATTTAAATCTAGTCCGGTTTTCCTGTTTCCGAGCTGACTAGACCATGAATGCCTCGAAGTCCTCGTCAGGAAGATGTGCCTCTTCATTTCCCTCGATTGTACCAAGATACCATGACAGGTCGCTTCCATCAAACTCGCGTGCGGCAAAGCCGTTGCCAAGATAGCCAAACCGGTTGGAGGTTGTATAATCGAGATTGTAGTCTTCCCAACGGGGCTGTTTCATGGTCTCAAAGAAATGAATTCTCGAACCCGGCCACATCATAACCTCGCCATCGATCGTTCCCTGCTTGAACCAGGAACGACAGGGAGATGTCCAAGCGGTTCGAGGCATGAAGTTTCGGTGGTGTTCAAAGAAATCCGCAACCGCCTCAACCTTGGGCTCAAAAGATGTCACACCTTCGGACGACATTTTCTCAAGCATTTGGAGGAAGTGCCTTGATATGGTTTCCGTAATCGGAAGAAAACTTCCGTGGCCGTAGGGCCCAAAGGGACCGTTGAAAACTGTTCAGTCAGAATCAGTATCCTGGAAACTAGAACTGAGGGCGCGGAGAGGCTCACTGAGATAATTGGGGAAGTGTGGAACTGTGATGGAAAGATAGGTCCTTGGAATATTTCTCCATTCCTCACTCAGACTGCGAGACTTCCGACCGATTGTCGGGTATGATGGCCGCCAACTGACATCGAATCCGGTAGCACACACGATAACATCGACCTCGTGCTCAACACCATCTGCAGTCTTAATGCCTTTGGGGGTAATCTCTTCAATTGATTGACTGACAACCTCGGTGTTCTCGCTACAAAGCGCCTCGAGGTATCCGTTTCCGGGTGTAGGTCTTCGGCAGCCCACTGCAAAGTCCTTTGGAACAATCCAGTCTGCGATTTCTGGGCGATCAGCCAACTTTTTGCGCATATCTTCTTCCGCGTACTAGAGGAATTTAGTTATCAGTTATCAGGCAATGCCAAGAAGTGTGCTGGGTTGAGGCGAGAGTCTTACAGCTCGGGCATTGGCTTGTTCCTCGGATCCATTAAGAATGAATCGGAAACGGGAGTTGAGCTCCGACTCGATCTTCTTGCGATATGCCAGGTATCTCTGAGGGTCATTCTTCAGTATCTGCTTTTGCTTCTCATTGTCTGTTGTTGTCAGTATTTCGGACGGGGTTTTGAAACGGCCTGCCTAGTGGAAGCTTTACATTTGAAATTGGATCCTCCTTTTCCTGCAAATCGTTGACCAAATCCGGCAGTCACCCAAGAGGCACTGCGAATGAAGCATTTGAGAGATGAAACCTCTGTTTTGATCATCAATATACTTCGCCTCCCACGTTGGATTGACGAAACTTACTTGGCTGAATGCTCGGAACGATTTGCACCGCAGAAGAGCCCGAGCCAATAACAGCCACACGCTTCCCCTGCAACTCAACGCTGTCGTCCCAGTTTGCACTATGAAGTCTGGGGCCCTGGAAGGATTCTAAGCCCTTGATGGCTGGCCATTTCCATTTACTGAAGTAGTTCAGTTTCGCCATTTCATTACTGCAAAAGAAAAGGGTACTCACTTCAGCACACCACTTGCGTTGATCAATATGTGACCTTGGTCCTCAAAAACATCCTCGGGATTATCTCCGCTCTGGATTTTTACATGCCACTGTTGATCTTGATCATTCCAGAATGCGCCTACCACCCTGTGCTTCAAGCGAATGTATTTTCGAAGTCCATACTTGTCGGCAACGCCCTTGAAATATTTCAAGATTTCAGGTGCACCCGAATAACTTTTAATGGTAAGCCCAATGCCCACTTCTTTTTTCGAATGCTCCAAGTATTGAATTGCACTTACAAGGAGGTCCAGTCAGGAGAGGGAGCCCATGAGAACTGATAGTTGACGGAAGGTATGTCGCATCCACATCCAGGGTAGCGGTTCTCATACCAAGTGCCACCAATCTCTGGGTTCTTCTCGTAAAGCACCAGCTCAGTATCTAACGGGCTTGTGTCGATGTCATGGGCAAAGTTCAACGCACTCGCGCCAGCTCCGATCACGATGATGCGGATTTTGCGACTGTATCGGCTTGGCTGTTCCACAATCGTATAAGGCTTGATTCCATTCTCGGCTCCATTGGCTCCATTGAGCTCATGATAGTTACCGATAGATCCCATTTTGGGTAGGAGAAGTTGGGATAAGAAAGTTGAGAAGTGATCAAAGTGCTTCGCCTATCGAACCACGGAGACTTAAGGGCGCGGAATCGGTGCATTTATGAGGGTTATCCTCATTAGCGCACATTCAAGTTCCACTACATCTTTGACATTGGCTTTGAGAATAGAGGGTGGACAATCTGTTGCGTTGCGCTCATCCAACAGCGGCTCTGTCTCAGTGGAGTGGTGGAGCTCCACCGCGCGTCTTATCACCAACATTCCTCTGGACTCCCCCTCACCCTCCTTCCCCTCTCCACCAGCTCCACCGCGGAGAGATGCGCGAAGTGGGGGAGGATATGGTGGATGATTGTCAACGTACAAGTCTGTCCAGTGCTTATAGCCATCATGTCGTGCTTCTTACTCACGATAAGCCACCCAAGGCCTCAAATAGATACGCTTACCCCCTTCTGCCTCTGTGTTGAGCGACTGACCAATTGATCTATACTCTACTGAGCTGCTTATCATAGCCAATATGCCTGAAGGTACCAACAAGAAACCTTTGCGCATTTCCATTGGTGAGTGTCGAATCCCTCAGTATGATATACTGATGCATTACATCGACTAACTGGTGTGACCAGATCGCGGAGGAACCTTCACCGATTGTATTTGCAAAGTGATCAATGGGGAAGATATTCTTGTGAAGATCTTGTCCGTCGACCCAAAGAACTATGCCGACGCACCGACCGAGGCGATTCGACGTGTTTTGGAGATATACTATGAAACTACACTTCCACGAGGCTCTGAACTAGACCTTAAGGACGTTGGTAAGAGCCATCATCCAGAATTATCTTTGGCGCCTTGGCTAACAAAGCAGAATGGATCCGCATGGGTACAACGGTTGCAACCAATGCGCTACTCGAGCGCAAAGGCGAGCGAACAGCCCTGCTCGTCACCGAAGGCTTCAAAGATATCCTGTATATTGGCAACCAAAGCCGACCGTACATGTTCGATCTCTCAATCCGTCGGTCAAAACCTCTATACTCAGACGTCTTTGAAGTGAAAGAGCGCGTGACAGTTGGGGGCTGCAGCGATTCAAATCTCCGCACTGTGAAGCTGTCATCTCCAGACCCAGTCGAGTCGATCGCTGCTACTAGTACTTCTGGCGAGGTTGTCCAAGTGCTTCAGCCTATCGACTTGGCAAGTACTCGGGATTATCTGCAAAAAATTTACGATAAAGGCTTCCGCTCGTTGGCGGTTTGCCTTATGCATTCTTATATCTTTCCAACTCATGAGTTGGAGATTGGAGAATTGGCATCAGAGATTGGATTCAAATACATCTCGCTTTCACATCAAACCTCTCCCCGACCAAAACTTGTTCCCGTGGAAATTCCACGGTGGTCGACGCATACTTGACTCCGAACATCGAACAATACTTGGAGCAATTTTCAAAGAACTTCCCCAATATCGACCAGTCCGGGACGCGATTGGAGTTCATGCAGTCAGATGGTGGATTGGTTCCCTCCTCAAAACTCTCAGGGCTGCACTCTATTCTCTCTGGGCCGGCAGGAGGTGTTATCGGATTCTCACAAACATGCTTCGACACAGAAGAGCAGACCCCTGTTATTGGATTTGACATGGGAGGTACTAGCACCGATGTCAGTCGATACAACGGCGAACTCGATCATATCTTTGAAACAACGACTGCTGGGATCGCAATTCAAGCCCCACAACTCAATGTTAATACCATCGCAGCGGGTGGAGGAAGCATACTGGCTTGGAGAGATAGACTCATGGCTGTCGGCCCCGAAAGTGCAACATCCAATCCTGGACCGGCCTGTTACCGTAAAGGGGGCCCCCTAACTGTGACTGATGCCAATTTAGCACTGGGACGGTTACTTCCAGAGGAATTTCCCTCGGTCTTTGGTGTTAATGAAGACGAACCATTAGATAGAGAGGTTGTTCTTGCCAAGTTCAAGGATCTCACTCAAACTATCAATGCCGAGACAGGTAAATCATTGACGTGGGCTGAGGTTGCAGATGGGTGAGTCAAACCAAGCAATACAAGAATCAGATTTGACTACTAATATCTTACTTATAGTTTCCTTCAGGTGGCCAACTCAGCAATGTGTGGGCCCATTCGAAGTTTAACCGAGGCCAAAGGTCACGATGTTGCAAAGCATCACCTCGCGTCATTTGGTGGCGCAGGGGGTCAGCATGCCTGCGCTATCGCCGAAGCCCTGGGCATTAAAAGAGTTTTGATTCACAAATACTCCTCTATCCTCTCTGCCTATGGAATCGGATTGGCGGATCTCGTGCATGAGGAAGAGCGGGTATGCGGAAAAGTCTTTGACCATACTACGTCTCAAACGATATACGGCGATATGGAACTTCTCGCAGACGTCGTCCGAGGCAATAAGTCCATGCAGCCATTCAATAATGTTCAGATACGCCGTTTCCTGAATATGAGATATGATGGCAGCGAGACTGCAATCATGATTTCCCTGGGTAGTACCTCCGAGGACCCTCGGGAAGACTTTATTAAAGCCCATCATCAGCAGTTTGGATTCACTCCTACCAACCGTGCAGTATATGTTGACACTATTCGCGCTCGAGCGATTGGGTCTAGCGTATTCTCCGAGCCATCCGGCACACCTTTGAATCTCCATCCCAAATTAGTTACTGGTTCAGTGGCCCCAATTCCCAAATCATGGAGATCCACTTACTTCAATCCAATGGGATGGGTAGATACACCAGTATACCATTTTGACGACTTGACAGATGGGTTTCAGATCTCAGGACCGGCCATCGTTATTGACAAAACCCAGACAATCTTGGTGAGCCCGCACTCAAAGGCGACATTAACACAAGATGTACTTGTCCTGGACGTGAGCTCCTCGGGCCCTCAAGTGACAAGCGCAGATGCCATCGACCCAGTTCAGCTTTCCATTTTCCGCCATCGGTTTATGGGCGTTGCAGAGCAAATGGGACGCGTTTTACAAAATGTCAGTATCAGCGCCAATATCAAAGAGCGGTTAGATTTCACGTGTGCGATTTTCACCCCCGAAGGAGACCTGGTCGCCAACGCACCCCATGTACCCGCCATGATTGGAAGTATGGCCTTCGCCATCAGATCTCAGATTGCCGAGTGGCAGGGCAAGCTGCAGGATGGCGATGTTCTGCTCTCCAACACACCTGGTAGGTCTTTACCTCGAATCAATTTGAGCGTGGTTCAGCAGCTAATCTGTCACGATAAAGCATTTGGAGGTGTCCACCTTCCCGACCTCACGGTCATTACACCTGTCTTTGATTCGGATGGGAAGGATATAATATTCTGGGCTGCATCCCGCGGTCACCATGCCGACGTAAGTTATCTTTATGCTCAGGGATATGTCCATTGACTAACATACTGTCCGTAGGTCGGGGGCATACTTCCTGGCTCAATGCCACCCTTGTCAAAACTTCTATCTGAAGAGGGTGCAGTCTTTGATTCTTACTTTCTGGTGCGCGCTGGTCATTTCGACGAGGAAGAGCTCCACCGCAGGCTATGCGTAGAGCCTACCCGTTTTCCAGGATCCAGCGGATCCCGATGCTTCCAGGATAATGTCACGGATCTGAAAGCGCAAGTTGCTGCAAACCACTGTGGCATCCGACTTGTGCGGCAGCTAATCGAGGAATATTCTATGGCTGTGGTTCAGGTACGTACTTTTGATGATACAAGGAGACACCGGATCATTTGGCTGACTGGATCAGATGTACATGCGCGCAATCCAAGACTCGGCCGAGCTCGCCGTGCGAAACCTTCTGAAGCGTATTGCTCAAGATCACAATGGAGAAGAGATATCCGCGGTCGACTACATGGATGACGGCACCCCGATCATGCTCAAAGTAACCATTGACTCATTGGATGGTTCCGCCATCTTTGACTTCACAGGAACCGGTCCGGAGGTTTATGGTAAGTGGGCACTGGTAACTTACATCAAGGATACCAGTAACTGATTGAATATAGGAAATTGGAATGCGCCAATTGCGATTTGCAATTCGGCGGTCATCTTCGCCTTACGCTGTATGGTCAACTCTGATATTCCCTCAATCAGGGTTGTATCAAACCTGTCCAACTTATTATCCCCGACCGGTCACTGTTACGGCCGAGCTTTGAAGCCGCAGTGTGCGCCGGTAATGTATTGACCTCACAACGGATTGTCGACGTTATTTTCAAGAGCTTCAAGATTTGTGCTGCCAGTCAAGGATGTATGAATAATTTCACCTTTGGAAACGACGGAGAAAATGGATTCGGATACTATGAAACCATTGCTGGCGGAAGTGGCGGAGGCCCCAGCTGGGCTGGTACAAGCGGCGTACATACTAATATGACCAATACTCGCATCACCGACCCCGAATCACTCGAACGCCGCTATCCGGTCATCTTGCGTCGCTTCTGTCTTCGCGATGGAAGTGGCGGTGCCGGAATGCATCCTGGAGGAGAGGGTGTCATCAGAGATGTTGAGCTGCGGCTGCCGATGTCTGTGTCCATTCCTTTCTGAGCGCCGCAGCTTCGCACCTTACGGTATGGCAGGCGGCGCAGAGGGAAAGCGTGGGAAGAACACATGGATCACCAAAGCTGGGCGGCATATCTCCGTTGGGGGCAAGAATTCTATCCGTGTTCAACCTGGGGACAGGTTCGTCATTGAGACTCCCGGTGGTGGTGGATATGGAGTCCCTGGGGAGACGAATAATCCCAGCGTGGATCAGTCAACAGTCATGCCGTCGTTTGTTCCTATCGCCAATGGCAGTGTGGCCGCCAATCGGAGCTTGGCAGAGGAGGTATAGGAGATTGTTTGTCAAGGCAAAAATACAGACGTGCAGAGCTAAATCTGTACGAATGCACCTTTTGAATGGAATATTTGGTCCATTTTCTGTCACAAACATGTTTGATATATTCTACTTTCTTTTAATTGAGTACATTATTTTTTTACGACATCCGAGAAAACAATATGCGATGCCTCTAGAAACAACTGGATTCCAGCTTATCAAACCCCGAGAGTTTGATTCACAAAATGCAGAGACCGATGTTGTAAGAAACAGGATGGTAAAAGCAAGAGAAACCTTGCCCAAAAAATAAATGCGGTGCTAGGAAGTCATGTGCATACAATATGGCGCCGCGCGAAGTGCGGCGAACGGACTTATCAGAAGGTACTAGAGCACTTGGGCAGGGATTTCGTATAATTCTTTGTATTCCACAACAATATGAGCAACATAGCTAGAATTTGTAAGTGTACTTGATCCTGTGGTTCTTGAAAGCTTGTGCGTAGAGGTGACTACGGGAAATACGAAAGATTCCAAACAATAGCTGCGCAGGTTGAAGTTTTTATTATCTCCGCAGTATCCTATAAAACTCAAATACTAGCACACTACATCTTGGTAAACAAAACATTCCACCTTGTTTACCCAATCTCAGCCAGCAAAGACTTGAATGAAGATGACCAAAACCACAAATCCTGTTAAAGAGTAGAAAGTCAGAGCACATAGCGAAAGGCTGGCTGCTCGAAATCTGTCAAGTCCAAGAATTCAGACCCAGGGGTAGCATGTGCAGTGTCAGGCTCCTCGATCGCCTTGCGGTCGCGTCGCCTATTCTCGATTATGTTGACCACCCGAATTACCACCAAGGTTACCGCTGCCATAGCGTACATGATTGCGACCATCAGCTTGCCGTCGAAATATTCAGGCGCTTGGTTCGAGCGGAATGTCTGAGGACCGATCCAGTTTCCAGCTGCGTAGGCCACGATTTGCAGGCCATTCACTGTTGCTTTCTTGGTGTATCCTAGGGTGTTGTTGGAAATCATCACCATCACGAGACACCAGGCAGTTCCAGCGGCACCGATGAAGTAGTATCCAATGAGCAAGCCAGCTTTGGCTTCAACGGGGATCACAATCATCATGATACCGCCGATCATGGGAATCAGAATAGCGATTATGGCAAAGAGGGTGCGATCAAAGAACCGATCAGAGAGATAGGTCAGCCCCAGTTTACAAGTAATGTCCACGATGCCCATCGGCATATTCAAAATTAGGGACATGCGCTTGGAAAACCCAAAGGAGCTGATGATGATAGAGCCGAAAGTGGTGATTCCCCCGTTGGGAATATTCATCAGGAGCGAGAATAGCACGTAAAGATAGGTGCGCGGGTCCCGGAATGCTTCGAAGAATTGGGGCCATTTCCATGTTTGATTGCCGATACCTTGGAAGTTGCCTCGAATTCGATCGATGGCAATAAGCTTCTCGCGGTGATTTAAGAACCGGGCCTGGACTTGGTTGTCGGGCATGTACCAAAAGTATAACACGCCCGTTAGGATAGTGGGCAGGCCCAGTACCAAAAAGAGAATTTTCCACACAGCAATAGTGGTACCTTGTACACCGGCTAGGCCGTAGGCGATGGGCCCAATAAGTAACTGGGCCAATCCATTACAACTAAGCCACAGACCCATGCGTCTGGCTTGTTCCTCTTGTTTATACCAGCAAGAAGTGAATAAGACGAAGGCCGGTGTCACTGTTGCTTCAAATGCGCCTAAGAAGAAGCGGACGGCCAGTAGGCTCGCATAGTTATGAGTGACGGCGTGACAGACGAGTGCAATTCCCCAGATCAGAATGTTGACTGAGGTGTATTTGCCCAGGGGCAGACGTCGAAGCAGATAAGTGGTGGGAAATCTAAGGTCATGTATTAGAATATGGAAGATGGTGGCGACAGGGGCGACGCTTACTCCCAAAAGATGTATCCAGCATAGAAAATACTCGAGACCCAGCTATATTGTTGCGAGTTGGGATCCAAATGAGTGTCTTCCCGAATGCCCATAAGCGAAGCATAGTTCAATGATGTTTTGTCTGCAAACTGAATCAAATAAACCCAACAGAGCAATGGCATGAGAACTCGATCGATCTTGGACAAAACATGTTTGGCCTCGTCGGGGGTGTATTCAATCTCCTCTGCGTTCATGAATTGGAAAGCAGGATCAAGGTCCCGCACGTCTTGCTGCTTCAGGTCTCCATCCTGGACGTCCATGATCACTTGCTCCGTATCACGCTTTGATGGAACCTCGGACAACTTCATATTGTTTGGCCCGGTGGTCATGTTGTCTCAATTGATGCAACTTTGCACAACTGAGTTTCGAATGCCGGAATCATCTAGCCATGGCTTCCTCTTTAAATCCCCCGCCTGATAACTATTAGGTTATCGGAAGGGTTGTGAGGCAGCCTCTGGGGAAGGTGGCCAAGCTTCAAACTTTACCCCAGAATTTGTGGAGGTGGACATGTTCCCGGTGGAGCTCCATTTTGAGGCGAGTGGACGGGCTTATCAGCGGCGGAGGCTGTGTCAGGGTGACGCATACCTTATCACTTTAATGAGAATTTGGAAATTCACCACGTGTCTGTTTGGCTTCTTTGTCATTTTTGGTCAGATCTCTCATATCTCTAGCTTTCTTTCTCTCTCTCCTCCCAACCAACCAATCAAATCCATATCTTCTTGATTGAGAGTTTTCTTCGCTACTGCGTAGCCTTCAGCTGTCAGGCCGACGAGTATCTATCTAACCTTGGAACTCAAATGTGCTCGTATCTGACATCTATTATCTTTCAAGAATACAATCCAGCCTATCGTTTCAATGTCTCATTTATGCACTAGGCCACATACTAACCGATCGTTGGACCCATTAAGCCTCGCGATATATACCCTCGAGCTCTCGGCCATATAGATATGGTATTCCTCTATGATTGGCATGTCCGTTAGCCTTCTCACAAATCCCTCATGCAATATCAATATTTGTTTCCCAGTCACTTACTTTGTAAATGTTGTACCTGATTAAGAGTGAGCCCGAGAATGCAGAACATCCCCTTTTGCTCGATGATGCGGTTCCAGTCTCCAGGGGTGCCTAACAAACAATCAGAAATATCCCCCATCGAAATCCTGCAAACCATCACAGGGGGAAACATGGTATGATCCCCATCGCGATTCGCGAGCTCATCGTGATGAGATCTTTCCGCCACTGCGCGTAAATCTCCTCGTCTTCCAGGATCGCAGCTATGATCCGCGCACCATATGCAGGAGGTTTAGAGATTTCAACAAGGATCATTCGTGCCAAGCTTGAGGTGACTGCGGCTGTGATAGTAGGGGTGTTCGACGAAAATGCACATAAACCGACACGCTCGCCTTCTCCGATTGACTCGAAGACCTGTCGGTGATTCTACCAGCTAGGTTTGGTGATATACACGGTTGTATCTCGACCTAGAGCCTCCTTAAGCATTGTTCCGGCAATGTAGAGTGCGCCTGTGCCGGACAGAGCTTGACAAGACGCGACCTGGAGAATGCCAAAAAGTCAATCGCCGAAATGAATGCCTAAAATAAGACGGACTATACTCACTCGCTCTTCCCGGACTGCAGCAGAACTTTCGCCCAAGATCAAGTCCATAGCCAGTGTCCGAAATGATGGAACCCCTAGGATCGGAAAATATTCATGGTTAGAGTCCTTGGTTTTCTCTTTCGCTGATCGCACGGCGGGCAAAATCCAAAGATTTCCACCTCCGTCTTTGTATGTTCCTTGCCCAAGATTCACTTTTTACGCGACTGGATCCGCATTGTACGCTCTGCTAAGGTCGAAGATGGCGTCCGGGGGCGTATAGTTCACGGCCCCGAAAAACGAAGAAGAACTGTGTCAGCCTCGTGGGAAAAAAAAAATTCGTTGAGTGGAATTGAAATTATCAAAAAAGCAGAATGTAACAGAAATCAGTGGACTTGACTATATTAGCCTTGGTTGCGTTATGTGTCATTCGATCAATAATAGCGGAGCCCTGTGATGAACGACAGGGTGGAGCTCCACTGACAAGCGATATACCAACCGAGCTCTATGAAGACTGACTGCCAGTGGGAGCAATATATGAACATAAAGTGCTCAAAGGTATCACTTTCTCCAGTCATTCTCAAACATTGCGACAAAATGGCGACAAAGCCCAATTTTGGCGTCTATACGCCATTAGTGACATTCTTCGAGGAGGACGAGTCCCTCGATCTTAAAAGCACCTTGGCGCATGCGAAGCGCATGGCAGAAGGTGGAGTCACCGGGCTCGTGCTCCAGGGAAGCAATGGAGAGGCTCCTCATCTGGATCATAGCGAGCGCCAATCTTTGGTCCGCGCTGTTCGTGACCACCTCGACAATCTGGGCTATACAGAATTGCAGTTGATTGTCGGTTGCGGCGCGCCTAGTGTGCGGGAAACACTATTCTACATCTCAGAGGCTAAATATTCTGGTGCTAATTTTGCTCTCGTGTTGCCACCGGCTTACTGGGTTGCGGCCATGACTGCACCTGTTATTGAAGGCTTCTTCCACGATGTAAGACTTTTCTATATCCCGGGAAAAAAAGAGACCCTTCCAGTTGCTGTATCGTCTAACAGCAACCTCAATTCTAGGTAGCATCTCAATCCGAGCTTCCCATTCTCATTTACAACTTCCCTGGCGTAACGGGAGGCATCGACATTAGTTCCGACTCGATCATCCGCCTAGCCAAGTCAAACCCCAATATTGTGGGCTGCAAACTCACCTGCGGCAACGTTGGAAAACTTCAACGTGTCTCATCGGCGCTTCCAGAGACCTCGTTTGCGACCTTTGGTGGAAAATCGGACTTCTTCCTACCCGCACTCGTCGCCGGTTCCAACGGGATTATTGCCGCTCTCGCCAACATTGTACCCAAGCTGCATCTGCAAGTCCTACGCTACTATGAGAAGGGCGATTTGCAGGCAGCACAAGAGCTTCAATCTAAGCTCAGCCATGCCGACTGGGCTCTCACCAAGGTGGGAATTGCAGGCGTCAAAGCTATTGTGTCTCAACATTTCGGATACGGTACGGGCCGTGGACGCAAGCCACTAGGGAACACAACGATCACGAGTTTAGGTGAAGAAAGTGTGGCGCCAATAAGCGCGGTGGTTGATTTGGAAAAAATATTCAAATTAGATGTCTAGATGCGTTGTTGGTAACTATTAAAATAATCTCCTGTTCTTCTCCCGTGTCAGTAAAGATTTATGAGATTATATTCCCAGGTGAGGCTCAGAGAGAAAACCTTGACATTAACTATGAAATGAATAACTAAGCACGAAATCTAAGAACCCGAGCTAGATCGTTCAAAGCCTAGGATACGCGAATGGAAGTTAGTGGCCTAGATGGAAATACGTAGAAATTCAAGCTGCCTGAAGAAAAGCACTGCCAATATCAACCAGGTTTACTCTAGACTCTATAGTTTAATGCTCTTAATGACAGATTCGCACATAGCACACTATACAGAACCAATTTTTAGGCGACGAGGCAAACTAGGAAGAGTCAAGCAAATCTTAGATCAATTCTTCAATTAAAAACAAGGAAACTTTCCACTAGATCAAGACCGAAAGACTCAATTTCCCTGTCGGCTCTTTTCGCTCCAAAAAGATAGACCCGCTTCCAATCGCCCTGTTCCATAAATGGCCGAACTATCCAAGCACTCACCAGCATATTCTCGTGCTGATATAAGACGGCTTGATGCAATTTCGAGGGTTGGAAGACGAGTTGCATGACTGGAAGCAATAGAGAGAGCGTGTTTCATATCTTTGCTTGCAAGAGCCGCTGCAAACCCGGGAGATGTGTCCAGCGGCGGTGCATACGCCCCAGTAGTGATACGCTTTGAGTAGCTTTCGAGCACAGGACCAAACATATTGCCAATGAACTCCTCCAGTTGTTGATTGCCAATCCCCGTGACTTCGGCAAATACATGCGCTTCGGCAATCACTTCCATGAAGCTGATTACAAGAATGTTTCTAGAAAAGAGTCAGTTAGTTTAATGTTGATGATAATTCCAAAGGTCGAGTGAGTGCTTACCCAGATATTTTGAGAAGGCTTGATTTTCGCACGTCTTCCCCCATGTCGATGATACTGCGTCCCATGACGTCCTTGAGAAGAGGTCTGATTGTTTCAACTGCCTTAACAGGTCCAGAAACCGCGAAGATCAGCTTTCCGGCGGCTGCCACGGTACTAGCACCGAAAACCGGAGCTGCTATAAATGCTGCGCCATGTTCACTTAGTCGCGATGTGGCCCATTCCGACGTGTCTGGATGAATAGTAGAAGTGTCTACGAAGATTTTGCCTTTCAATGCGTCGCCCGCGACCAACGCCTGGTTTAGCAGTTCGATTAGGACGTCGTCCATAGAGATCTATTCGTCTTCGTCAATACATCACACATCACGTTGCAACTAATGTCTCTTCCTACCATTGTGAAAATAACGTCCGAATTTTGGACGAGATCCTCGAACTTCTCTTCGGGTACGGCTCCTTCATCTCGAAGAAGATCACCCTTGGACAAAGTGCGATTACTGTAAAGAAGTGGCGATAGATTGTTGCTCTTGAGATATTTTTGAAGGTTGAGCGACATTCCTAGCCCCATCGATCCGAGGCCATACTATCCCAATCAGTAGATGGGCAATCAACTATGGGAGTAAAACATACCCAGCCAACTCTCAGTGCGGGGAATGTCATTCTGGCTCTTTGAATTGCAGTCGATAAGAAAAATTCCCGAAAGCTTATAGGTGGCTTGCCGTTTGTTATTCGCTGTTCGCTGTTTTGCGAGTTTATAACGATAAAGAGCCCGAACCGGACGTGTGGAGCTCCACTCGGCGTCTTCGCTGCCGTCCACTTTCTACCCGTGGGCTAGTCCACCCTTGATAAAGTTCACTGCTCGTCCACTCTGTGATAACAACCTTGGCACTCACGCAGTTCACTCGGCTCCAGTAGCGGGAATTTCGCCCAGCACAGCCAGCATCGAAGGTCCAATTCCCCACAAGGATCTCCGCTGACAGAATGCCTTGATCAAATTGACGAATAGTGACTCGCCTTCATCGAGAAGACTAACGAAAGCCTCTCGATCCATGGTCCACAAGCGGGGGTCTCGTGTGACCCGATCATTCTCGGTGGGATAATGGAGAAGGGCTGACTCCATGAGAGTGTTGAAGATCAACATGCAGGATTCCGACGTGATTGGAAGTTCGTTGAAGGTGTCCAAATGGTGTCGAATATCACTGCTTGCACGTCTTAGCGCTCCCCATATGCATAATAAAACACCGTAACTAGCCACAGTGACCCATGGAGCTTCACGTGCCACTTTGTCCTGCTCTTCTCCGAATATGCTGGACAATGCGACCGATAAATCTTTCAGAAGAGCCACAATTCCCTCGTCGCCACCGACATGATGAGGCACAAGAGGTGTTGACCGCCGAATCGCGACAAGGTTCCCTTGGGTTAGGTGAGTGGATGCAGCCATCCCAGCTATCAAGCTGTTATCCACAATGCCTGCTATCAAGAGTTGATCCGGGCGACACAAGCTGATATTGATGGAAGAGAGAAAGAGCTCATTCGTTCTCCATAGAAGAAACTGAGGGCTGTCGCCAGTATAAGCCTGCTTTTTGACAATCTTCGCGATTGCTTCTATCGCGGTGTGTACTTGTTTGTTCTGAGCCTGGGTCAGTATATGGAACGGATTTGGATCAGACGGACTTGGCGGCATTTGATAGTAACATCGCGTAAAGTCTCGCACCAGAGCACCGATGTTCGTCAAAACGCAAAACGCGGCAAAGGGGGATGCTTCTAGCGCCGCTAAAAGTTCTGAGTCCGGTGTTTGGGTCATGAGTTGCTGAGTAGCAATGGTCAAAGAGGCCGTCCCCAGGCCGCGTGGCCCGTGTAACAGACTGTTGGCTATTGAAAAGCTCAATGGTCCGAAGTTCTCATTGAACCTCAGAAGCCATATATGAGGGTTTTTGGCCTCCCATAGACTGATAGGGAAGGGAAGTTCCCAGCCAAGCTCCATCGGTGACATCAAGGGTCGAGAATTGCAAGGTGAAAATGTGTGTGAGTCCAGGAAGACTAGGGTATACAGCGACAGTCTCATCGATTCAGTAGTGATATAGGACATCCACCGGGTATAGAGAGTCTGCGACTCATCTCTGGGTGAGTTGAAATCACTTTGATACATCCAAAACTGGGCATCTGGCATAGCGATACCCTGTTGGAACAGGCCAATTTCGTGCACAGCCTATATCAAAAGTAAGCCTAGCTCAAGGGTGTTCATTACTTTGCAGAAGGCGATACAAACATCGATAAGTTGCCGAAGCCTCTTTTTCGCGGTTTGAAATTGGCCTGCTTCGCTTGCGTATACCCCGTAGATTATATAGAGAAGCCACGCTTGCATGACCCAAGGCTGTCTTATCTCACTGCAATCCGAGGACACCTGTGTCAATCTTGATTAGATTATCGCCCTCAAGACAGGGTAGTAGGGTTTCATCATATACCATTTGCTGAAGCTCTTCCTGTCCATTTTGCCATACATCTTGACGCCAGTGTGCGAGAGCTTGGGTTTCCTCATGATCGTACAAGTGGGGAGAAAACAAGCTCCCAATAACAGTCACGGCCGTCAGCAGTAATTTCGGTGCCGAGGACACTGTGAAGGTGGGTCGATGCAACAAAGGGAAAGAAGGGTGGAAATGCTCAAAATATTGTTTCATGTATGTTTCCTCGCCATTAGTGTGGTTACTGTGCGTTAAATTTTAATTGTCAGACACGTAATTTCAATCGACGAACCAGCCCCCTTCTTGCGGAACGGCATCGGGGGCGATCAAAACAAATCAGGTTCAAGGGGAACCTACCTCGGCGAGGAAGAAGAGTAACTCTGGGGTATATCAGGAGCAAATGTACTGTGATCCTCCCAAAAAGCTTCGTCGGTCACAACACGTTCGGCTAGGTTGCGGCTAGCGGTCGATGGTGACGGTATGCCCTCCCTTGCCTCCGGGGTATGCATATCCGGCATGACCTCCCACGGCACCTGCGGCTGAGATGTCTGATCTGCAGGTGTGAGTCCTGTAGCACGACAACGATTACCATGTCTTTTATATACATCGCTACAAAATTATCAGTGTTATTGCAATGTGTCACGGAGAATGGAAACAAGACCTTCGAGAGAATCGGGCATGACATCTGCTACATTGGAAGCTCTTGCGCGAGGCACCGCCGTGACCTTGTAAACATTCAAGTTGGTGATTGGTTTCCACAGGGGGAAATTCATGCAGACTTACGTGCGCGCTTATGCCGTTGGAGGTTTTCCTGCAGATCCGGGTTAGAGCTCGGCAAAGAAGATAGGAAACTGTGGGGTACTTGCACTCCGCGTAAATAACTTTGAGCATTGATCACAGGGAAACGGACGATTCTGGTCAATACCAGTACTTCTCGTGGCTTCGTCCATTTTCAAAGTTTATCCATGGACATGGACATGGAGGGCGTGGATGGGGGATGAGTTACAAATTACAAAGGGGCCCGGGGAAGGCGGTCTTGTACAAACGGGCGCACGTGCCGCTATCTTCACCTCCACATATGTAAGCACTATGCAACTCCAATTTCTCAAGTTGATGATCTGAAATGAATTTGATCATTGAAAGTATATCTTATTTGATTTCGCCAGTGAGAGTTTGGGATTGGATTCTACCTCCAGTGCTTGAGTGGGGGAAGGACGCCAGGGGTGATTAGAAATACTAGTATGGGCATATCCTAGGATATGTTCCGGTGCTACTACACCTAGTTGTAGTACGAAAAAAGTGCGATCGTGACTGCTAACGTGGCTACAGACTCGGAGTACTGCTGTATGCCCTCTCGAGAAAACCTTCGATTAGGATAGGGCTAGTTCAAGTTTTGAAAAATACCTACATCACTCCGAGGGGCTTATCTCTCACAAACACAAGTTATCATACCTGCAACTTAGACATCTGTTCGTTTTCAAGTTGTTCCGTCGCCTTTCCGTTTACCTCTAGAAGAGGAACACGGCGCTGCATGGGACTGAAAAGGGCAAAGCTACGATCTCACTCCCTTCTGACGACTATAAGAACGCTCATTCAGCTTGGCCAGAGATGTATCTAAAGACATACAAAGGCACTCAAACCACTGCGCACACTCGTCATCACCGATGTAGCGCGCAAAAGCAACAGCAGCCAGATAAATATCTAGAAAACAGTCTAACCTTCAACTTCAGTCAGGATCCTGAGTCGAGCACAGTGATACTCTGTAGACCTTTTGACCTTATTATGCCCTTGCAATTACATCTCCAGTTCGCTCCTGTGGCTCTTCTGTCTCTCTATACTCGAGCTATAAGAAAAATGCCCGCTCGCCAGCGAGGTATTAATCGGAATAATTGGTAATTATGCGATCGCTCCCTGTTACTATAGCTTACTATACAATGTTTGACTTACATTGATACGATATTATTCATTAGAGACGGAGGCCCACCCTTGCCGAGATAATCGAAGTGGCTGGAACCCACGAGCCCCCTATACCCCACCGCGTTCCTGAGGTGTTGAGCCCTGGAGAACGCTTGGAAGAAATGTATGATATCATTGTTCCCGTTAAAGAACGGTATATCTACAAGGGGATTGTATTCACATTGAAATAAATTCGGATATAAACAACCGTGCTCCATAGTGCACTGGCTCATAATTTCGGAATCGAAGGACAAAAAAGACTCATAATAAACAGACTGAAGAGAACTAGAAGCGACCCGTAGAAATGGGATTTCTAAATCTAGCAGCAGCACTCACAGCACTCGAAGCAGCAGAGACCGGCGCAGCTAAATAATTCTTTGTTAGTAAACAATGCCATCGACGGAAGATTACCCGGTAGCATCCGGTGCTTTGAAGATAGAAAGGTACTTACATGCCGCAGCAGACATCCCCCTCCTCACCGCCACCACGCATGTGGACTTGGCTCATACCCTCAGGACCTTGCTGTTCAATGTCAATATTTTCCTGTCCAAAACTGTTGAGGCTTTTGATGATAGAGCATACCGGCTGCTGGCTGACGGCCTCGTTCATAGTGGCAGGGCTGTTGGGCTGCTGAACCTGGACAGTGCGGGCATCCCACTGAGATTCAGGGGCCGACTCATTGGCCGGGAGAACCAGTTCTTGATAGCGTCGAACATGATAGAGTCTTTTTTTTTCAAAGAAGATTGCAGCTAGGTTTGAATAAAGGGAGGTTGGAAGTTGAATAGTGGCACTAGCGGTAATCAAGTTGAAAGAAAAGAATTAGAACAGAAGAAAAGAGAACAGTCGCCTAATCACTCTCCCCGACAAATAAATAGGGGAAAACCACATGCTCAACAAACTAGTATACTTAATCTTGGCTGCCTGGCCAGTGGTGCGCCAAGACACGTCATAGGTGGAGCCGAAAAGCTTGGTGGTCCCTGGCCGATTGTAGGGCTAGACAGCACACGGGCTGCGGATTCGCTGAGACCGTTTCTCTTACGCCACGTAATCTCGCAGTGGCGGGGCTGAAAAGGCGGGCTGGGTCTTGATTCTCTCCACATTTTTGAGGAACAGAACATTACGCCCCGAGATTCCGACGTTCCTGCTGTTAAGGCTGAAGGACGTTGAGATTGCCCCGTTTGATCTACTGTCTGGGGCAGAATCTTGCAGGATTTGAGTAGATGTTCCACATTGAATAATGCATTGGTGGAAAAGAAGTGAATTTATCGGGCATAGACTCTGAAACCTTCAGTCAGCCCCCTTGCGCTGCACACTAACTACTACCCAAGCTCAGCTGCAGCCTTCACAGCCACAGCCAGCTCATCGGCATCGCTTGGAGGGAATGGGTGCTCCTCGAAATTCAAGATGAGCCCCCGATGATTCTCACTGCGTGGGGTAAGTGAACATTTAAAGGGAACAGGACGGCTGATAAAATCCGGTGTGAAGCTCATCTCAGGCTCAACCACGCTTCCGTCTTCTCTGACGGGCTTTTCAATGTTGAACGCGAAGAGAGCATTGGATATTCCAAGGAAAAGGGATGTTTCCGCCGTAATTCTACCCGGACAGACCCGACGTCCGAATCCAAAGGTATTCTCCGCAGAGCTCGGTGCGATATTCTCCTGCCCGTCACTTGGGAGAAACCGCTCCGGTCGAAACTCGTTTGGCTCGGGATAGAATTCCGGGTCGTTATTCATTGCCCTGGATCCCATCAATAAGAAGCCTAGTCTTGAAGCTATTCAGGGGTGATGGGCTACACATACCAGATATTGACTACAATTGTTGCGCTCTTGGGCACCAAAAATCCGTGGATAACCTCATCTTCATCAGACTTTCTTGGTATAACCAACCCTACTGTGTGCCAGCGCATAGTCTCTTTTAATATTGCGTCGATATAGGATAGATTTGGCCGGTCTGTCACTGTCGGGAACCTGTCTTCGCCAACAACACTGTCAAGCTCATCCTGCGCCTTGCGTTGAATATCCGGATGAGCCATCATTGCCAAAAAGAATGCTTCAAGCAAAGAAACGGTCTAATAACAGGTCAGTTCTCTGTCACTTAGAATCACTCAAGCTTGACCTAGATCCTACCGTATCCACTCCTGCGCCATAGATAGCTCCTGCTGACCATTTGATCACATCGTTATCTTCCCCATTTTGAATACATGCCGATACAACGGAAGGCTCGTTATTGCTGTGCCTCATCTGCCACTTGGTGAACTCGTAGGGGTAGTCCACCAGCTTTGCCATGCACTCCTTGTTGTATCGAGCACGTTTCTTGAAACTCATGCCCGGCACCCAGCTAGGCAGATATTTTACTGAATCCTTAGTTAAACCCGCAAGTCATATACCAAAGAAGAGCCTTTGAAACTTACGTGCTGGAAGAAGGTCTACTAGAAACTTCCCTGGGGTGATTGCTTCTCCAAACTGAGCGAGCACTAACTCCGCTAGATTCACAAGATAGTCCTTCTTGTGGGGTTCAACGTTATACCCATATGTTATTCTCAGAGCAAAGGAGCCCGCAGCACTGTGGATCAGAAGAGTCAGCATATCGACTCTCTCGGAGAATGGAAAGGGCCAGGACTAAAACTGACTTTTTGCAATGATCAGAGAGCTCATCGGGTTTGTGGAGAATTTTCCACATGAGCCGGCCAAATTCTTCTTCAAGCTGATGATCAAAATTTGCAGCATTGGAAGTTGTTCCGATGACTCTGGCCAGTGCACGACGATGCGTACGGAGATTCTGGTCATGGTCTTGTCTTGGAATGGATGCCTTATATCCACATCTGGAAATGAGGCATTAGTCTACTGAATACCACGAGAAGAGAATAGAAAGTCGAGAATAGACTAAAGTCGCTCGTACAGTTCATCAGCAAAAACAGAGTCTGGCTTAGACGAGTGCTTAGCAGATTTCTCGAAAAGCTGAGCTGCAGTTTCGCGATCATTTACTATGATCAGAGGCTGACCAAAAACCGTCAGACGGCTTAAAGGACCTGTCAAATTCGTTAAAAAATACTGCACAGATCAATGAGTAGGCAATCTACTGTACCATAAATACTCTTATGCTTTTGGTAGAACTTTCCAGGGTGATGACCATCAGGGCATAGGTTCAGAAGATTTCCAATGAGAGGCCATCTTTTCGGTCCGGGGGTAAATCCAGGAGGCCTTTTGAGAGAAGAACCTTTTCAGAACCGTGAAAATGACCGCGCTCACGCCAAGTATGAAAAGGTGTGTTATAGGCGACATGATAATGAATATCGATGTAAGGATACGGATCTCCCTCAACAGCCCAGGTGGTGAATGAAATTGCTATAATCAAATCGTTATTTAAAACGAGATGGTAAGATTCCAGATGATGCTTGAGAAAATTCGAGGGAAGCAGTCAAAAGAGTGCAAGTGTCAAGTTTTCAGATCTCGCACATTAATAACCTACTAGGAATAGTCGACCCCGCGAGGAAATCGGGATTAGCGCAAACCCACACTGCTTTTGTACTGTATGTGCTCATCCGCAGATATGTCCCAAATCTCCGCGAGGCGACCAATCAAAAACCCACAGTGTAATCCAAGACCCGCCCGTATTGGGGGCTGCAACTTACAGCCTCTATTGATGAATCAGGCCTTTGCTAAGTACCGAAGTTTTTGGTTCTTATTCTTTCTTTTCCCTTCTGGCTGTACGTTGGGCAAAGAGTAAGTATAATTCATGATACTGTAATATAGTATTTTGGTCGTTTCAACATCAAATTGTATGTTCGGCGCCCCTATAATATCTTGTGCAGACTCATTCTAGTTAGCTACCCTTCATATTACTAGTACTCATTCTATGGATCGTGCTATCGTTACTGAGACAATAGTCTTATAGGCCTACGTAAAATGGCTACTCTAACTTAGCCTGCAGGACAAGACAGGCAAACACAATTAAGGGCGGCAGCCTGACACTCATTTCCGATGGTGTTGGAGCTCAAGGCAACATGTTTGCTCTCGTCTTGGTACAGTACGTCCCAAAACTGGTGCGACGACCTATATTCCTTAGTTGAGTGCTAGGTATCTTAATAACCGATCACAAATGGGTGAACCAAGATGGCGCCAAATCCAGCCCCTTCAAAGCATACTAGGCTAATCTCCGACAATGATCGACAATGTGGAATTATCGATATCTCATATGACGCTGGCTGCTGGCTGCGACAGGAGAATCGTATGAGAATCTCTTCCAATATATTCACGTTTGGCAGAGCCAAAGCACCGAATAATAAAGCCCAGTGCTTTCGTTAATTTGAGGATAGCGCGAATTTAATTGTAGACAAAATCGATGGCTTGACCAGGAAGAACAGGACGAGAGAGTTGGAGTCTTCGAAAATAACGCCATCGACTGTGGGGATAGAATTAATCTAATTAGAAAGGCTGTGTAATTTCATTCAAGGCTCAGGCAAGAACCATACTCATGGAGCATTTGGCCAACCACGACAAAGCGGCCAATGGCTGGTGTGGCTAGAAAGCCAAGATACATGCAAATCCACAAAACCAAGCTGGCATAAATCTTGATGCCCTGCCGGTAATGCCGTCTTTCTCGGTCACTAGGGCCTGACTCATGAGTTTGCAGATGGCGTCTCCGAGTCAGGCGGGATTTAACGTTATCAATGCCAATGATAATCAAATCAACACAAAAGGGATTATTGATTGCCACCATTCCAACTAAAAGCCAGCCCAGAATCCAAACTCTTTGAGCTATTGTGCTTTCACCTGGTTGGAAGCGGGACATCACTCCAATGACCAGAAGTGGCATTGTGATAATTACCAGTAAAGAAATGGAAAATAGAATGTAGCTCAAGCGAATTTTCCTCCCTTTAAAAAGCCGAGGCAATTCCTTGATCTCGGAAACTTTGAAGTTGTAGCATCTCGGGCAAATAAGAACATTTTCATCTTCATCGTCTTCGTTTTGTGATGAGGCAGAAGACTTATGTGTATCCTTGTGGAGTAGCTTCGATGGGGGATGGATGCCTCCCTTTGCCACCGGATGTATGGTATCCTGCGTTTGTGCTGATCTCAACCTCTCATTGGTGGACGGCTCAATCTCCCCGGATTTATAGACCTTAGACGATGGTTGAAATTCCCATAGACCCTGGTACTGATTCTTGAAAACTCCAGAAAACACAAACAAATCTTTCACTGGCAGAGGATCGCTCAAGAGCGAGCCCACTATGTTGTCAAAACGCCCCCCGCGGTGAATGGCCTCGTCCATAATCTCAGTTCGAACCAGGTAGAGGTCTGGATATGTGGGAGTGAGAACACGACCAAGAAGATTGATGAAAGACATGACTAGATACGGCAATACGGTGAAACCGAATGCAGCGTATCCATATCGGGCAATTTGGTAGCCACGAGACTGATATAGAGTGGCTGATGCATAGAATATTTGCAGAATGGCGATTAATGGAGATACGAGACTGTTAGAAGACACGATCTCTTCTGACTTCCAGTGTGAAGAGTCATTTTCATCCCTGGAAGAGGTAGGCTGCACAATGGCATTCGGCGGCACATAGGCTAATGCATAGCCAGTGGGCAAATCGTATTTTGTCGAGACTTTGTAGCCGGGCGGTATAAGATTCAGGAACCAATGCGTTTTAACAGAGGGCCAAATCATCCAGGGAGGTGATTCGATGCTTACTCTGAACAGGCCTCGATGGTGTTTCCTGAGAAAGATATTAGAGGTATCATTAACAGCCCGGGTGATGTTTTTATCTCACAATTTTTCGATATACTTATCGTGTGACTTGCGATTATGATCTATTCTGGATCAGTGAATTGGAATCTGTAAAACTGTTGTGAAACATACCAAGTTGATGGTAAAGATTCATAAATACCTCTTTTACGGGTGATACATCAGGCATGAACGATATTGAGCGCACTGAATCGCCAGGCACTGGTGTCCAATCACGCGAGCGAACTACCATACACAGTGCTTGTGAATTAAGTGCTCGCTGAAGAGGGTCTTTCTGGAAGACTGCGTGTCTCAAAATGGCCATAAGCCCGCGACCCGCCCCTATACAGGGAAAGAAGACTGCCAATACCATATTGATGATTTTTATGCGTGTAGGTTCCCCCGGGAATGTAACCACTGTTGCGGCATGAGATACATAGTTCCCGAAGAAAAAGGAAATAAAATCGGTCCATGCGGGTGGTGTGCAAATATTCCCTGAGTCCTGGTGGTAGGTGACATCCTCCGGGACTGTGATGGTTTTATTTCTTTGCGTAAGGACTTCCGCCAGGGAGCTGCAGATCAAAGCAAAAGTGATCGAAGAGACGAGGAAGATTCGACTAAGCATAACTATAAAGCCTTGGTTTACAAGGTTTGAAGGTGTAAATCCGGGTCCTTCGAAGAAATCTGCTTCTAGAGGAGACAGGTTGTAAACGCCCGGTTGCTGGTTTAAGAAAATTCTCTTCTTGCTGTGCTGTCGTCGCGTTAGCTAGTGACCTTGAATGTACGGCCCATCGTACTACCAGTCATGGCCCCAAAATACTCTACACTAACCAGAAATGTTGCATTAGCCATTTTCTTGTCTTACCTTCCCGCCCGCCACTAAGCTTAGAATGCATAGCAATACGGTCGTCCCGACCATAGTTATTACTCCTACGATACATATTGTATTTTTATCGGCTTCAATATATTTTAGTGATTTTAGGATACGTCCACCTGGGAAGAAGGCCTGTGACTGCTTTGGCCTCAGAAATATAGTATACCCTATACTACTAGTACCAACGAGCACGCTCTATTACCTTCTCCTAATATCTACCGTAACTTGAACCTAGCTCAAGTTTACAACTATCCTCTTTCTTCTGAGGTTTTACAGCCCTGGAGCACATGCAAGTTCAAGTTGTTTTGCTCGTAGTATCCTCATACATTTCTTGTTAACTTGAATCTCAAGGTTTTGCTTTGGCGGCACACGTTGGCGGCATCTGTTGCTTTTTAGTAGTAACTACAAAATGCTTTGCCCTGTGTGTTGCTTTGTAAATATAGTACTAGTATTCATATCGCAGCTCAATATTGTATTTCCAGCAATATGGTCGGTACGACCGTATTGTGGCTGTATTATAGACATGCGGGTGGGCTGGAAGGTCTCAGGTTACCAGCAAAGACAGATCCTAGTGGTAGCTAGGTCAGTGGCTAAATAGGGCCGAAAAATATCACTGGTAGACTTGGGGGGTCGCAGAGTATTAGGGAATGCACGGACACCAGGACGGGTGGAGATCAATCGCCCATCGATATGTACCTAATATCATAAATACTATGAAATTAATTCAACACTATAATATTTATATGATGTCCACGAATAAGTAAAGATTCACCAAGCAATTCTTTCACGTTTGACTTGCGCAGCAAAATAAAATTAAGAAGGGCTGTGACCACTAAAACTGCCTGTCAAAAACTGTTGGTTTCATAATTCTCAAGACTTATCTAGTATTGTCTAGGGTTCATCCAACTCGCGTCCGTGATAAATCAGCCCACGCGACGTCCACAACTTTTTTCTGGAAACGGGCCTTCAACAGCAGGTCCCGATATTGGGACCAGGAGTTAGACAAAAAATATTTCATCCTCCACAGTCGAAGTTATATTTGGCATGGCGGTTATGTTAGCGCCCGGGTGATGCACGAATAGCTCCGACAAAGCTACTCTTAGCTAATTTCCAATAACGTCCGTTTGCCATGTTTCTACACCAACCAATATTCAGTAGAACGGACAAGTATGACCTAATCTCAGTTTGTGGATTATCGGAAGAGGAGTTATAGATCAAGATAGGAATATATTCAGATCTGAGTCGCTATTTGCTTATGCGGGCTTCAACAATTTAGGTTTATCATGATATTGCCTTAAAGTCCCATAACCGGAAAGAAAACGGAAGTGCTTGAACGGTCCGAGCCGACCTCGGGAGGCCCCAGCCTAAACCACTCTTAATTCGACGAAAGATCCATAGTTAGTAGTTATTTAGTACTAGTAGTGGCGTCCTGTCTCCCTCTCCGCCTTGCGCGAAGAGGGTTAATTGAATGTTAGTCTTCAGTAGGAGCTTATCGATGAACAGAGTGAAGGAAAGTGGCGTCCCGCGTGGAGAGTTTCAGCAATCGCTCTCCAACTCTGAGCAATCAACCATTCATTTAAGGAAATAATTCGTGCTGCTCCTCAAAAGGCCAATATCTCTTCCAAGATTACACTGGCTTACGCACAGAGCAACTTGGAGGATAGAATATACGGGGCCAAATCAGATCGCGCGAATTTCTGTACACCCCCCCACGGCCTTGCGCTTCAAGTTGATATCCATGGATCGCAAGGGTTCAAGTTATGGCCCTTTGCAAATGGTACAAGTAGTAGGGTACTCTTGTAGTAGTATAATACTGTGACCTCAAGCATTTATTTCGGAACCAAATAATCGAGATATCTACAGAGGTGTAGTTCTTGCATGAGCTCAGCGTGCTGGGTGCTTTATTGATAAGATACTTTTACTATACAGACGGATTATTGTACATAGTTTATGATACAAGTATGAAGTGGAGATGAAATCATAACTCCTGGTTTTTGCCTCAGCTGGTGGGCTCAGTCGGTTCAGTCGGTTCAGCCGCAGCTTCAGCCTCTTCCCAACCAGGAGCAGTGAGACCCTGGGAACGGAATTCTTCGTCACTGATGATATGAACCATCTTGAACTTCCACTTGCCCAGCTTCAACATGATCAGATCATCATTAAGGACAAACTCCTTAGTCTTTTCGGCAGGCCAGACCCGGATAGGAGTGAAGGCAAGGTCGTCGGACATCGGGCCACTGTCTCCAGGACGGCTTCCCACATAGGCACCGTTGTTCGTGATAACACGGTGACCCTCGCCCTTGGAAGAGACAAGGCCGGCAGACCACAGAACCTTGTTGAATGTCTGGTTAAACACCAACGATTGCGGGAGAGTAACCTTGGCATTGGGCATGTTGGCAAAGTTGGTCTGAGAGGCGTATGGGTTTCCGGACTGGGGGGTCGTCATTCCGGTCAAGGGCGACTGGGGGTTGCCACCTTGGCTCGATGTCTTGGGCATAGGCGAGGGTTCACCGGTCGAGGACCGAGGGCGGAAAAGCTGGCGGTGTTGGAGGGACACTGCATCAGCCTCCTCCTTGCCGTGGACCAGCTCTACAAACTCGTAGGCTAGTTTGTGCTGGGCAAGACGCTTTGAAGGATCGGCGTTTTGCTCCGCCATGAGGGAGGCGATCTCAGGCAGGGGGATGAAGGTGAACAACTTGAGGTAGCGCTCCACAGTATCATCAGGGGTGCGGACGAAGAACTGGAAAATGGTTAGCTCTAGACGAAACAGAAGTTGCATGGAACGAGTAAACTAACCTGGTATAGCTCGAAAGTGGTAGTCATGCTCTTGTCGAGCCAAATCGCATTACCAGCGGACTTTCCGAACTTCTCTCCGGACGAGGCTGTCAAGAGAGGCGTTGTAAAGCCAATGGGTCGGTCCAGTTCCGAGTCCAAAGGATTGCGGACTTGCTCATCGGCAGTGTTGCGGCTAATTGACTTGACGGCATCCATACCGAACAGGATGTTTCCATACTGATCAGATCCACCTACTTGCACTTGAGTACCCTTCTGGAACAGGTTCCACCAGTCCCAGCCTTGGAGAAGAGGGTAGGAGAACTCAGCAAAAGACATGCCGTCGCCCTGGTTCATTCGATTCTTGACACTGAATAAAATTGTCAGTTCATCTGGATAGCCAAATTGCAGTGATAAGACTCACGTGTCTCGGCCAAGCATAGGTCCCAGCCTGGTGAAGGCGCCCAGATCGCGCAGGACCTCAATGAAAGGCATTGAATTCCACCAGGTGTTATTGTTGACCAACGCTCGTCTCCAGATAGCCTTTTTCTGATAACCGTGTCTCCTGCCGTATTGCTCAATGCTGGTGCCCAGCTTCTTCAATTGCATGTGCATGCTAGCCATGTTTGCCTTGCGAATCGAGGTGTGAACTTTTTCGCGGCCCTTTAATCGACCTGTAGGGTCACCAACTCGAGATGTCGCGCCACCCAACTATTAGATGTCAGTCAGCCCTTTCAATAGACTCTCAGACCCAAGAAACTCACCAAGAAGGTGACAGGCAAGCCCCAAACATATCCCCAAGCCAGAACCATAAACGGCAACATATGTCCCACGTGCATAGAAGGCGCCGTAGGGTCAATTCCAACGTAGATACCGGCCCTCTTCTCGGTGAAGACCTGATGAAGCAAATCGCGTTCTCTGGAAAGACAGGAATAGGATAATTAGCACTTGCTTTTCAATCATCTCATGCAGAAGAGAATCCCAAATAAATCCCCGCTCACAACATACCCAACAACATCATGAATCAACCCGCGTTCTTCCAGATGAGCCGCGAAGCTCTTCCTCTTGCCCTCCTTAATCTCCTCCGCATGCCGAGCCCACTCATCTTTTCCATCCTGAACGCGCTTCAGCCATTGTTGCGTGATCAGCCTCTTCTGCTGCGGTGTACACTGGGATTGTTGAAAAAACAGAGCCGGGCGACGGGTCTCGCAACGGAGCGGATTTGTTTGCGATGCTGCGGCGAAGCTACGTGCTCCGCATGGCGCAGTTCGAGGGAAGGGGCGCGTTGCGACAAGTCGCGCGAACAAGAGGCGTCGACCGAGGTCGCATGGGACCGATTGATGTGGAATGAGTTAGTAGGGAGGGCGTTCTAGTGGAAAATTGGAGGAATGAGTCGCAGAGACCAAAAATCCCATGGCCGGCGATCAGGCCAGCTCCGAGATTGTCGCGATAAGCGGATCATTGTTAATCCATATGATTGTATAAGGGAAGTGCTAGTATAGAATGTCTACGGAACTATAATTAATCTGAGATATCTTGTAACTTGAAATATCTCTCCGATAGCTTTATAATTTATTGATGGATACTTCATGCTAACTGCCCGAATTTCCATTCTGCAACTTGCAATACCCGCCGGGCCAAGAGAAATGCCAGTGGGTCCATGTTTTCAGACCCCGAAGCTCCGCTCCGCCGAAGTAACAACGAAAGGCAAAAGCTCCAAAGTCATTTAAATGTTTTGATGTTCCGCACAGGGTAATCCAATTGCGCTATATTTGGAGAATAAACAGCTCTTTTGAGTTTTTCAAAAACCGAACACCGAGAAGAGTAGGCGAATACTACCACAGTTGCAGGTAAATATCCACCTACTTTGAAAACATTCACCCAGGCAGCTGGGGGAGAATGGACATGAAGGTATAATTTGATTGAAATAGATTTTAGACATTAAAATTGCCAGGGTACCTGATAGTAGGAGTAACAACTTGGAAGCTCTAGTAGATCACCTACTCTCTTTTTTTTCGTAATGTAATGTCATTTTCATACTCCGAGTCCATCCTCCTGACGTCATGAGCCATAGGATGAGCTATGTATATGGTCATTGGAAAGATGAACCAGATTTATCAGCATTGATATGTGTCCGCGAACGGCATCTCCTTTGCCCGAGCACTGCCTAGACCACCTGAGAATTGTACTCCCTAACTTTCGACTTAATAATTGGTCCGAAGTGCCGGTGGAGATCGCCTACGTCAATCTGCGGGCATTTTATAGAAGGCCTCATACGCCCCTCCGAGTCCCACCTACCTCAGCATATCGCAACTGCCAATTTCTCTACACGTTCTCTCTCTCTGTCTCTCCCAAAGCTGCAGACCAACCGCCATCAAGTCATCGCATAAAACAATGGCCCCATCAACTATGAAGCAATGGGTAGTCGAGAACAAGGACAATGGCTTCGACGGCCTTGTCTTCAAGGACGCGCCCATCCCAACTGTCGGTGAGACAGAGGTGCTGGTCAAGCTTCAGGCTGCCTCGCTCAACTACCGAGACTTGATCATTCCATTGGTAAGAATGCCAACGCAATATAGTAACCCAGTTTGACAATTTTACTAATTGCACCACAACACAACACAGGGCAAATATCCCTTCCCTTGTGGTTACCCTGTGATCCCCGGCTCCGACGGCGCTGGCGAGGTCATCGAGGTAGGCTCCAAGGTCAGGGAGTTCAAGAAGGGCGATCATGTCGCGACACTCTTCAACCAAGGTCACCAATATGGCCCGATCGATATTCCCGCCACACAGACCGGACTAGGCGGCGCAATCGACGGCACTGTTCGCGAATACGGCGCTTTTGAAGAGAAGGGTCTTGTCAAGGCTGCGAAGAACCTATCGCCAGTTGAAAATAGCACCCTGACATGCGCGGCTCTGACAAGCTGGAATGCGCTGTACGGCCTCAAGCCATTGAAGCCAGGCCAGGTTGTTCTAGTCCAGGGAACTGGCGGCGTGAGCATCTTCGGTCTTCAGGTAAGTGTTTGCTTGGTCTATAGTAGTTAACAACCAGTTATCAAAGAGCAACTTGGCTAATCAATATCGGTGGGGAAAAGTTTGCCAAAGCTGCGGGTGCGACCGTGATCGCCACGACCTCATCCGACCAGAAAGCTAAGAAACTCAAGGAACTGGGCGCGGATCACATCATCAACTACAAGACCGATCCCAACTGGGGCGAAACTGCTCGTGCGTTGACCCCGGACGGTGCAGGCGTGGACCACATCATTGAAGTCGGTGGAAGTGGCACCCTGAAGCAAAGCTTCAAGGCGATCAAATATGAGGGAGTGATCAGTGTGATTGGATTCTTGGGTGGTGTCAGTCCTGCTGATCAGCCCAGCGTTCTGGATACTCTGAGCAACATCTGCACGGTTCGCGGGGTTTATGTTGGGAGCAAGGCGCTGATGCGGGATATGATTCGCGCGATCGAAGCCAATGATATTCACCCTGTTGTGGACGATAAGGTCTTTACTCTGGCTGAAACCCGGGATGCCTATGAATACATGGTAAGTGAAGTGAACTGCTCCCTTCTGGTGTCAAGGAATATCTGTACTAACTGGGAAATAGTGGGCTCAAAAGCACTTTGGTAAGCTGGCTATCAAGATCCACTAGAAATCAAGTAGGAAGTGCAAATGAAATAATTGGAAAGCAAGAAATGCAATGCTACACATATTTCATCTCCATGCATGGAACAAAGAAGATCGACCAGGGAATATCGTAAGGTAGTCAGTAGATAACTAGTACTACGAGTAACTATGCAGTGTAGCGAAGAGGCAAGACGTTGAGAAGCTTCCCCGCTGCTTCCCTCTGCTGCTCAGCACATCACAAGATTCCCGGACCTCTCCTCCTTCACCTTTCTCATTCGTCCAAATTCACGGCTATCGGGTCCGGCCTGGTCGATTTCTCAACTCAACACTCGCTAGTCGGCTAGCCACAGCTTAATCCAATCCCTGCCCCCGGCGGGAGCTTACCCCTCCCATCCGATCATGCATGAGCAAAGTGACAGAAATACCTCCAATCTCCCCATAATCGGACCTGGCGATTCTAAGAAAAATCAGAGCGCGCACTTTGCTCGCCCGGTCCAGATGGCCCTGTTCGCCCGTGTGACGTGCTACCCTCCACTGGGTCAAGTAACCAGCATTCCCAGAGTCCTGAAGAAGTTGCGGTCGGAGAAGGACCATGGTTATACGGTAAGTACTAACCAGCTGTCTTGGGTACAATAATACAATGAACAAAGATCCGAATATTAAAGGCTGGACTAGGTGCGCTTCACAGTCACCATCGAATCAAGCACATCTCTACCAGATCAACCCTGGGAAGCTCAAATCTGGCATAACATCTCCGGTCTAGACTGGACAGCTCTGCCACTGCACAAAGCGAAACACTCAGCCGCACCTTTGCTTAGTGGAAATGACGCAGAATATAATTACCATCGCCACATATTCACAGGACAAATTCAACTCCCTTCATTCGGTGGCCATGCACAATTCACGGTCCGCTTTCGCACAAGCCTCGACACCGATTGGCAGTGGGTAAATCCTCATCATTCAGTCGGTGACGGCGAAATCGTATACACTGCCCGTGAATCCGGGATCAAGAAAGCGCTTTCGCCGTACTTCCCCTCCCAGGTTCGGAAAGAAGAGCTCGCAAAATATATCATCAATCTTTCGCCGGATATGCAAGTCGAGTCACGGACCAGCGAGGCCCCCGGTTCTCTATTATGGTCAATATCAGGAAATGTGTCTGCTGCAGCAAATGGGGCATCCGGAATCAGTACTCTTCCTCTTGGTACCCCTTCGTCAATTATGAGGAACTTTTCCTTGGTGCGGGTTTGGAGTCCGTGGCTGGGGCCACGACATGGTAGAGACTGGTTTGAGTTGACGGAAGATGCGATACTATGTTCTTTCCTGCGCAAAGATGGTCTGAATCTCGTTTTGCTAGCAATTTCCGGTGTCAACGATATATTAACAGTTTTCCGGTCCGGCGAGAATGGCGAGGTCTTGATCAAGGCCAGGAACGATAATACGAAACCCACCCAATTCAATGTCTTGGCTGCTGTTGCGGAAGACTTTGAAGTCGCTATGTCTGCTTTAATCTATGAATCGCGGAAGCTGGTCAAGCCATTTTCAGACCCTTCAATGGATGATTGGGAAGAGACGTCTCCGATATCTCCTCTCGATGATGATATTGTCATTGTTGAAAAAGACCCGAAGATACAATGGCTCGCTGAGTGGTTTGATGGCTTGACATTCTGTACTTGGAATAGCCTGGGACAGGATCTAACGGAGGAAAAGCTTCTCCAATCCTTGGAATCTTTGAAGTCTCACGGTATCAGCATCTCGAATCTGATTATCGACGACAACTGGCAGAGTCTCGACAACGAAGGCGAGTCCCAATTCAGAAGACGGTGGCAGCGGTTCGAGGCAAACGAAAAAGCCTTCCCACGCGGTCTTAAACGAACTGTTGACGAAATTCGCCAGAAACACCCTAATATTCAGCATGTGGCAGTTTGGCATGCCTTGTTCGGGTATTGGGTGGAATCAGTCCTGAGGGCGACCTCGCTCGAAAGTACAAGACCAAAGAAGTACAAGTCAAAGATCCCAGCTCCAATGGCCCGATTGCACAAAACATTCCCGAGGGCAAGATTCTTGCCATAGATCCCGATGATATTCAGCCATTCTACGAGGACTTTTATAGTTACCTCAACACTGTCGGCGTTGATTCGGTCAAAGCGGACGCCCAATTCTTCCTCGACCTCCTTGAGAACCCAGAAGACCGGAAGAGATTCACAACATCGTACCAAGATGCGTGGTCAATTGCCTCACTTAAGCACTTCAACACTCGATCGATATCCTGCATGTCCCTCGTTCCGCAGATCATGTTTCACTCCCAACTCCCGAACAACAAGCCAACCATTCCACTTCGAAACTCAGACGACTTTTTCCCCGAGGTCCCAGCTTCTCATCCATGGCATATTTTCTGTAACGCACACAACTCATTGCTCACGAGATATCTAAACGCCCTTCCGGACTGGGACATGTTCCAAACCGACCATCCTTACGCGTCCTTCCACGCTGCTGCACGGTGTATCTCCGGCGGACCGGTCTACATTACCGACGAACCTGGCAAGCACGATTTGAAGCTCCTCGATCAAATGACAGCACCAACTGTTCAAGACACCACTATAATTCTGCGGCCCAGCGTCATTGGCCGTACTATCGACGTCTATAACGACTACAATGACGGACAGATTCTGCGTGTTGGAAGCTACACAGGCTGGGCAAAGACCGGCAGTGGAATCTTAGGCCTCTTCAATCTCAAACCTGCAGATACCTCCTGCATGGTCTCGTTAATTGATTTCCCGGGAATCCACAAAGACTCCGACAGTCAATACGTGATTCGCTCCCACACCAGCGGCAAGGTCACTGAGCAAATGCATCTAGCTGCCTCAAGTGACCGTCAATCGGTTGTATCCATCATTTTGCAGGATAAGGGATGGGAGATTCTTACGGCTTATCCTACCTATTCCTTCACTCTGAATGGAAATATTCGGTCTACAGCGTCGCAGGGTGTTCTGACAAATGTGGCTGTGCTAGGCCTCCTTGGAAAAATGACCGGCGCGGCTGCAGTGATGAGCTCTGATATCTTCCTGGTGGAGAATGGCCGACTGCGATTCGATATCCATCTGAAGGCATTGGGGACATTGGGGGTTTACTTTTCCAATCTGAAGGACTTGAACATTAACCGCAACTTCATGGTGATGATTTTGGGGAAACCCATCCCACCAAAGACGGTTTGGAAGGAGGGTGGGGAAAATTCCACTGTCCTCGCGATTGATGTACTGGGTGCTTGGAAGTGTATGAAGCTGGATAGTGGGTGGAGCAATGAGGCGCTCATTCAGGTCTTTGTAGGTTAGTGCCAGGGGTTGAAACAACTTCATACCTAGACAGGGCTTGGAATATTATTACGGAGTAGATAGAGCCAGACAAATCGCACAATCAAGGTTATTCGTAATATTTCGCTCCATCTTTCGAATTAACTCATTTCGCACCTGAACTCGCATCCAACGGTCTCGCCATGTACCTGGAAGTACAGGGGTACCCACTGAGGGGCCCGGCAATTGTGCAATCCAAAGCTAAAATTACGTATCAATTCCGAGATCCACGCGATGGATGGGGAACCAGAGCTCCGGAAAAGCACAATCGCGACGGATCGCGTGTCGGCGAGGACAATGATGAGATTTCCGATCTACGTGGAGGGGGGGGAGGAGGGGTAAGTCGTAGGAGGGGGCGATAAATAGACACGACTCCCCCCCGGATACCTTTCTATTTGATTAATTCAAAACTATCGCATTAGACAAGTCTTTGATCTGTTTATTTGCTATTCCATTTTTTACTCCCACTGCGCAATTACCATGTCTTTAGGCCGCACCTTTAAGCTGAACTCGGGCTACGAGATCCCCGCCGTCGGTCTCGGTACCTGGGTGAGTATAATAACAGCTAGAATATGATTTGGTATAGTGCCATGGATAGAAGCTAACAATTAAATGTCTGCACAATTAGCTCTCCAAGCCCCATGAGGTCGAAAATGCCGTCGAGACTGCCCTTCGCAAGGGCTATCGTCACATAGATGCGGCAGCTTGCTACCAGAACGAGAACGAGGTCGGACAGGGCTGGAAGAAGTCGGGCGTGCCTCGCGAGCAGTTTTTCGTAAGTTATACATTCTGAATCATGCTCCAAATATTCCATACAAGGTTTCAAATTAACAACAAGTTTGTCTTTCAAGATCACCAGCAAGCTGTGGAACACCCACCACCACCCCGATCACATCGAAGAAGCCCTCAACAAGACCCTCACAGACCTCCAGACCGATTACTTGGATCTCTACCTGGTACTTAAATTCTCTCCAAATCTATCAATCGGCCATAGGCAATGAATTGACCACGTTACGTATCCATAGATCCACTGGCCCGTCGCTTTCGCCCACACCAACGAAACCCTCACCCCGACCGACCCGGTCACCAAACGTTTCCAAATAGCCGACGTCCCGGTCTCCGACACTTGGGCCGTTCTGGAGAAATTCGTCGAGGCGGGGAAGATCCGGAGTATCGGTATTAGCAATTTCACGATCCAGGCGACCAAAGATCTACTGAAGGCGGCCAAGATTCCTCCGGCTGTGAACCAGATCGAGGCTCATCCTTACCTTCTCCAACCGGAGCTGTTCAAGTATTTGAAGGATAACGTGAGTGTTTCAATCCATGAATATCTCTCAAGACATTTTCTGTCATGCAATGGGTCGTATACTAGTAGATACTGACTTTATCTTTCTTGGGTTGCGCAGAACATTCTTCCTGTGGCTTATAGCCCTCTCGGAAACAATATCTACAACCTGCCTCGGTATAGTTGACCCTGACCCACCTTACTTCCGAGTTGTGCATGGACCAGGACTATACTAACTCGGATCCGATCAGTGTTGTCGACGACCCGACAGTCGTGGAAGTCGCCAAGAAGCTGAACAAGGACCCCGCGATCTTGTTGATCTCATGGGCTATCCAGCGGGGTTCCGCGGTTCTACCCAAGAGTGTGACTCCATCCCGAATTGAGAGTAACTTCCAAGGTAAGCTTCCCAATTCGTTTAATTCTTCAATATTACACACTACATATTACTAGAAGTACCTGGGTTGCAACTAACACCTGTGAACCGAACTAGACTTTGTGATACCGGATGCCGAGTTTGAGGCTCTGAACCAGCTTGACAAGAATGAGCGATACAACTATCCCTTCCGCTGGGGTGTGGATGTCTTTGAAGAATTGGGGGCTGCTGAGGCTGAGAGGCGGGCTGAGGAGCATGCAGCTAAGCTGAGGGAGAGTTCATAGAGTCGGGATGGTTAGTATACTACACCTGGGCATAGTACTACTATAGTAGGAAGAATGCATCCTGATCCTTCGGTGACACCAGCAATAGAACAACTATAGTATTGCATTAAATATATTGGAAGGAAAACAATATGATAGTAACCATTTGCAAGTAAAACTACTGTTCAAAAAAAGAATGCATTTGCATTTCCTGGAGTGTTAAAACAAACCCGATGCTTTTCCGGTGGAACATCCGAACTGCCCCCGTTTCAAGTTCAACTTCACCTTCTACCCGCATTCAAGTTGATATACACTGAACTCCACACCTGCGCTACACCTACACTTCAACTTACCCCTACTTCAAGTGACTACACAGGGTACTAGTATCTAAATGCCTACCAAAGAGGGCCGCGTAACAAAAAACCAGGCCCGCAAGCCTAGTGCCCACCAACGACGCGTCCAACACCGTAAGTAAAAGCGAACCTCTCCTCTTGTCTGTCACAGACAGCCCGGGGACCTCCATTTCGAAGACTCGACGCGTCTCACAACTGCATACCACAGACCTACCTTTAGTCGAGCGCACCAATGCACTCACAACCGACCAGTTTATCTCGCAATATGTGACTCCACTAGCCACGCCCACGACTACAGCTACAGCTACAGCTAGTGCCAATGCCAGCGCCAGCACTAGCACTACAGCCTCAGTCACAGGGAATGGACAAACAAATGAAATCCCAATAAACAGCTTGAACCATACACTGCCAACCCCGCCATCTACCCAGCCAAACGCAAACGCAAACGCAAACGCGCCCACGACAACAACCACGACCCCACTAGCCGTCTACTCATCATCAACCATCCCCCCACTAGACCTGGAAGCATGTCTCGATCTCATCGAGCAAACCTCCGGCGACGCGTACACCGCGTCGGGAATCGGCTGGTCGCGTCCGAAGAAGCGCAAGGAAATGAAATTGCCCGATATGAAATACCTACTTGTGCGGGGTGACTCCGAGCACGAGGCCGAGCCGGAGGGGCCACTGTTATCAGCCGACGATGCGCAGGGCGGATCTGTTGTAGTACCCGACGAACCGGTATCCGAGTTGATGTTGGGCTCGGGATCGGAATCGAAAATGCGACAGAAGGGTAAAGACCAAAATGAAAGTGAAAAGAAAACCTCGGCTCGGATTCTCGGCTTCTTATCGTTTATGGTTACATACGAGGATGGGAAAGAGGTGGTTTACTGTTACGAGATTCATCTGTCGCCGATGGCTCGAGGGAGGGGGTTAGGCGGTGTTTTGATGAGTCGGATGGAGGGGATTGGGAGGTTGATTGGGTTGGAGAAGGCTATGTTGACTGTTTTCAAGTCGAATGTTGCTGCGAGAGAGTTTTATAGGAAAGGTGGGTATGAGGTTGATGAGAATTCGCCCCAGCCGAGGACATTGAGGAATGGGACGGTGAAGGAGTGGGATTATGAGATTCTGTCCAAGAGGTTGATATGATGGTAGGAAGGACTAGTATGATGTATAGTAAAATTTGTTTCTTGGATTGGTTTCTTTGCTTGGTAGAATAATGCAAGCGCTTGGAGAAATGTAGAACGAAAAAGAAAATGCAGGGTTGTTTGGATATAAATTACACTTGTTTGACTTCTGTGCCTTGTTCTTCTGGGTGGTCTTGTTCCCATTCATCACGTAGGGCGGAGAAGATGCTATCGGCCAGCAAAATGGAGAGACCCAGGCTCCAGACAAGAGTGATGGCGTAAAAGAAGTTGGCATTTCCAGACCCGGCGTAGATCCAGAGGTGGTAGAATGCGGGGCCGAGAAGACTGGAGTAGAGGATGGCGGAGATGGCGAAAAAGGTGTACCGCATCACTAGTCATAGTCAGTGGGGGTGTTAAATGATTGGGTGAAGTTATTAATGTAAGGCTCACAAGGGAAAAGATGGCGGTACAAAGGTAGCATCGCAAAGTACAGCGACGCGTCGGAAATGCTGGGATACGGCTTGAAGATCGCGAAGACGCCCAGTAATGATGCAATAACGAACAACGGCTGTCGTCGTAAACGCGCAGTGAGTCCTCCGACATAGCTTGCCAAATGAAGCCAAAAGACCCCAATGAAGAACTCGCGGAATGAGTCGAACATCTCGATGAAAAAGTACCACCATAGACCCACATTGGGGGTCAAGTCAGGAACGAGCAGGTGGAAGCCGTAGGTTGCCGAAATGAACTCCCAGAAATTTCCAGTGATAAGGTATGACAGCGCGAGAAGCCCGACAACGCTTGCCGCGAGAATAGCAGCGTGTTGCAAGACGTAACCGACAGCCTTTGGCGATTTCTTGGAAGATTCGAGTCGTTGATCGTAGCACACCAAGACTAGCGGGATAAATAGGAGCGCCGGGTATAGAGACAGGTAGGAGGCGAAGCCGAGAGCAAGCATCGCGTTAACACTGTTTCCACCGACGGCATTGGATACAGCAAACAAGATTCCCGAGGTAGTGAACACGCTAGTCGACCGCGCTAAGCAGGTAGCAATCGTGAAGGGATTAAAGAGGAACCTATACAGTTATTAGCTGGGATCTTATTCAGCCCGATAGGCGCCATTGAGTGAGTGTACCAAGCCGCGACCGAGACCCCGTCCCATTGAATATGCTTCCGAACGGCGGAGTGGAGTCGACTTTGGATAGACTGCCCCGACTCGGAGATTGTAACCAGGGCATAGGCGTTCACGAGATCGACTAGGAAGTAAAATATCGCAGTTGGAATGGGATTGCTGTGTATATCTGGGAGGAGGGAGAATATGGGAAGGAGAAGCGGTGCCTGGATTATGGGGTTAATCGAGGAGGTGCGGTGCTGCGGAGCAATCACGGAGACCAGCGTACCTGGTGAAAGACACCACCGTCGTAGGGCGATACATTGCGAGTATAGAGGTACAACCCCTCTTGTACTGTACAATTCCAGGTCAGTCCATATGTTCATTTCAATTACCTCAATCGCCTCACTCCAAGGTTACTCACATCGCTTGAAGCTATTGACTGGAGTCGACACCTCGACTCGACCTGTCAATAGATCTGGTAATGCCGGAAACAAACATATGAGAAGCAGTCGCAGGACAAAGGCGACGCCAAACACGCCTACCATGCGTCTGTCGACTGCCATGTTGAGCTGTAGTGCAGTAGTGATGTGGAGTGGAGTATGTAGTAATGTCAATGTTGTTCCTCGAAGGCGGAGAGAAGGCCCAGTCCAACCGGGGGCACGGGCCAGCTGACCGCCTTCGATAACTTTTTTTTTATCGCTGGTGGAAAAATTCTCGTTATCGGACTTCTGCTTAGATCTTTCCATTCTACTACTACTTATCCCCCAACGGTAGCAGACATCATGGCGAAGATTAAGAGGAAGGGTATGTTTTATCTGCCAATTAACCCTATGGAATATCTCCGCTGACATCAAATTGAAGGTACCTCCGGCCAGGCCAAAAACTATATCACTCGTACCCAGGCCGTGCGAAAGCTGCAGATTTCTCTGCCCGATTTCCGTCGCCTATGTATTTTCAAGGGTAGGTTGCGATGAGAATCAATTGGCGTGGTGAAATGTGAAATGTGAAACTAACCAGAATCTGCGATTGAAAAGGAATCTACCCTCGTGAGCCTCGTAACAAGAAGAAGGCCTCCAAGACTGCCACCCCAAACACCACCTTCTATTACACCAAGGATATCCAGTACCTGCTCCATGAGCCTCTGCTGAACAAGTTCCGTGACCAGAAGGCTCTTGCCAAGAAGATCGCTCGCTCCCTCGGTCGTGGTGAAGTCAGCGACGCTGCACGCCTCGAGAAGAATCACGCTCCCAAGCTCACCCTCGACCATGTCATCAAGGAGCGTTATCCCACCTTCATTGACGCTCTTCGCGACCTAGACGATGCTCTCTCTCTGCTGTTCCTGTTCGCTACTCTCCCCTCCGACAAGCACGTTCCTCCCAAGACCATTGCCCTCTGCCAGCGCCTGTGCCACGAGTTCCAGCACTACTTGATCGTCACCAACTCTCTGCGCAAATCTTTCCTTTCGATCAAGGGTATCTACTACCAGGCTACCATCCAGGGTCAAGACATTATGTGGTTGGTCCCTTACCGCTTCGTGCAACGTGTCAATGGCGATGTCGACTACCGTATCATGGCCACATTCGTCGACTTCTACACTACCCTGCTGGGCTTCGTCAACTTCCGCCTGTACTCCACTATTGGCATTAGATATCCCCCGAAGTTCGATACCCGCAGCGATGAGAACGGTGCCGAGTTGGCTGCCTTCACCCTCGAGGGCCGCAATGTTGGCGAGAAGCCCAAGGCCATCGAGTCCAGCAAGACCCAGGCCAACGGCTCTAACAAGGAAGTTTCCAAGGAGGTGCAAGCCAAGGTCGACAAGGTGATCAAGTCCGCCGGATTGGACCAGGCCAATGACGAGCAGCCTATGGACACCACCGAGGAGTCCACTGACGCTATTGATCGATTCGAGCCCGCTGCTCCCGAAGCCGACACCCTCCCCCAGCCCGATATGAGCGGTAACGAGGCCGGCTCCCTTTTCGCCCCATTCGTTTTCTACATCTCCCGTGAAGCCCCCAAGGCGCCCCTCGAGTTTATTCTTCGTTCCTTCGGCTGCAAGCGCATCGGTTGGGATGTTGTCCTGGGTGACGGAGCTTTCACCAACGATGAGACCGACCCGCGCATCACTCACCAGATTGTGGATCGCCCGCAACTCCCCGCCGAATCTCTCCCTGCCATCCCTGCCGCCAACGACTCCGTCCAAAAGGTCAAGCCCGGTACTCGCATCCCTGGTCGCACCTATGTCCAGCCCCAATGGGTCTGGGACTGTGTCAACGACGGCAAGCTGATCCGCGCTGATCTGTATGGACCCGGCGCTACTCTTCCTCCCCACTTGAGCCCCTGGGTCAAGCCTTCTCGTGGCGGTTACGACCCCCGGGCTACCCTGGCCGAGCAGGAAGAGGAGGGCGAGGCTGAGGTTGCTGAGGAGGCCGAGGAAAGCGACGAGGAGATGGAGGACGAGGCTGCCGTTGAGGAGAAGCCCGTCGAGGAGTCCGAGGAGGAGTCCGTTGACGGTGGCATGGATGTTGCAGGTACTGACGATGATGAGAGCGAGGAGGACGAGTCCGATGAGGTCGATGAGGCCTTGGAAGGAATGGACGAAGATGCCGCGTCCGAGTCTGAAGATGACGACGAGGCTGTTCGCACTCGGCACCAACGTGAGTTGGAGGCTGAAGCCGCTGGTCTTCCCTTCACTTCCAACGGTGCTGCTGATGAGGCCGCCAAGAAGAAGGGTTCCAAGACCAAGAAGCTGGCTGCCAAGAAGCAGAAGGAGGAGGAAGAGCTCGAGAGACAAAAGATGATGATGAGCCGCAAGAAGCGCAAGCTGCTCGAGAAGATGATGCACTCGAACAAGAAGCAGTCTGAAGAGGCTGCCAAGCTTCGTTCCAAGCGCCGCAAGATCGAGAACGGCGCCGAGAAGAAATAAGCTGGAAGAAGTGTGTCAAAATTAGGAATGCTTTTTTTTATGCTGGCGTTTGCGGCTGGATAGTCCCCTGTATATGCATGATCCAAAAATCTATGTCAATCAAATTTAATGGTCTACTGCAACGTGTATCCATAGGAGCTATTAGTGTATAACTTCTTTTTCCTCTTAAACAGAAAAGAAAGAAGATGGTAATAAGTTGACAACTACAAAATCTGCGCGATGTATGGCGGTCACGTGATCAGCGACGATCTCCACCCGGCGGAATTTTTGATGAAGGAGACAACCATCAACCTTGCCAGACCTACACGGGCTATGTCCGAAGTGTCACGAAACCGAGTCAGAAAACACACTCCGTAATGCTGAAACCAACTGGACCACCTGACCAGCATTCTACGAAGCAAATATCGCTCTTTACATGACATGAGCGGCCATTCGGCAGTATCAAATAGTAGTACCCGCAAACCAAACACAACACTGAGGCATGTCCTCACATTCAGATAATATCGACCTTCCATCATCATCACAGTTTGTGCCTCCAGTATCTGCACAGCCCTACCGCTCAATCTTTGGCGGTCCTAGCAGTGATGCAGGTCCACCACTTTCATCACCCCAGCCGGGACCATCTCGAAGGTCAATCTTCGGAGGCCCTAGAAGCAGCAGTCATGTTGGGTCACGACTGGACCCCATGAGCGAGGGACCAGAGGATGATGACTTTGAATCCCTTTTGCGAGACCGGCCCTTGGAGGTTGATTATAACTCTGAAGGAGAGAGCTTTCAAGGAAGTTCTGATGGCGAGGATGGGCTAGGACTCGAGTCTGAACCAGACTTGCCACAGAAGAAGTCACAGTTTCGCACAAGTTCTGATTCACCCACGAAATCAGTGTCACTGCCACCACCGCCAACCACCTATGTTCTTGACCGCGGCCTAGACCTCCCGCCCGGTGTCCCGCGTCCGAACCGATGGACTGGTCCTCCTAGGACGTACAGACAGCTCATCTCAGATGAGAAGGGCGCGTATGATGCGATATTAGCCAATCGATCAATGGATCTCGCAGCTCACCTCTACGACTCCTTCGTGCTTCGCAGTCAAAATCAAAAAGCCGGGGAACAGTTAGGACCCGAAGATGAAAGCGAGGACCCAGCAGCCGTGAAAAAAGTCTGGGTTGGATGGCCGATGCTTGCGGATAATGTTCCTCGTTCTGACGAGTATATCCGGCGACAACTAGATGACCCAGACACCTACCGAATGGCGCCTGATCCACGTCCAAGTGCAGACCTCGAGGAATCTGTTATCGCGAGCATGCTAAAGACCGCAAAGGAGAATTTCATGGCGAGCCAATGGGACGAGGATGAGCTTAGAACTTATCGCGCTCCTCGACTGCCGGAAGAAGAAGATGACAAAATGGACACGGAAGACGAAATGAAGCACTACGAGTCCGCATACGGCATCGGCATTGACCAAGAACCTCTTCGCCCGGTATTCCAAGCCGACGACGACACATCCAGACGGCAATTACGGCCACTATCTCGAAATGTCATTTCACATCTTGATCGAGTCTTGATGGGTCTACATCATGCTATGCAGGGCCGAACCCGTGATCAGCAACATACAGACGGCGAATTCAGTTCAGACGACGAGGACGAAGCATCACGATCACACTCGCGCCAGCGCAGCCGTCAAAAAGGCAAAAAGTCCAGCCGTGGATCAAGCGCCAACAACAAACGCCGCCGGCGCAGCCCACATTCATCTGATGAGGACGAAGCAACAACTCGAGGTCTCGATAAAAAGTCAAAGGCCAACCACTACGTTTTCCAACGAGGCGAGCAACGCGACTGGAGTGAAGTAATGGGCATCGCAGCTATGACGGGGCTGCCCTCGGACGCAGTAATGCGCGCATCAAAACGATGCGCCGATCTATTCGGACAAGACATGACCTTCCGACGATTCCACGAGGGACGCATGCACAAGACCGAGGCGCTGGGCCACGAGGAATCGCGCACAGAGTACATTGAAAGTGACACGGAGGGCGAAAATGTACCCGCGCCGCATACGAAGATATCTCGAAAGAAAAAACGGGATCACGGCCGTCATGATGATGATTCTGACCAGGGACCTTCGGTGGCGCCTAAACTCAAGGGTAAGGGTACGCATCGCCGAGCGGATATTGTTTGTCCGATTGCTACGTGTCCCCGACATACGGATGGGTTTTCGCGGACTTGGAATTTGACGCTGCATTTGCGGAAGGCTCATGGGCGAGAGAGGGAGAGGACTGATGGATCGCAGCAGAGGGGTGCTGCTATTGAGATTGATTGATGTTATCAAGACTAGTAGTTAGTATTGTGTGATAATTGTGATACCCAAATACCCTACAGCTATTTTTACTATTAGTATACCCTGACCTATACTATACTCTCGTCTCTGGTAAATTTGTGTGAAGCATGGAATCGGCTGGTCTTTCCTAGTTGACCGCGATAGAGTATTGATAGAGTATTGACCGAGTACTTCGAATACGCTATCTCGGTTTCGAGTTTGACGGGGCGACGTTGATTGGTTCAAAATACCGAGAAGTATTGATACCTGGACCGTGAGTGGTCAAAACTACCGGAAGCCGTAATCTGAGTAATTACATAACCAGACACTCACCACGAGTGGACCGAGATGGATCACTGACTAACAACTCCAAAAGTAAATCGTCATGGGAGAGGATAGAAAATATCCTCAAATCAGCTAGAATCTGCCTATTGGAGTGAGAAAAGAAAGCATCATCTAGGGTGAATTAGAATACATACCTGGTAAATGCAGGTGTAGACCAGTATCGACAGCTGGAAGTAGGCAAAATGCCCCGGATGCGATCCCCCGCATGGCGCATAGCATCGAGCTTCCCTTCTGAGCGGAGACAAAACTTCCCTCCACTTTCCACTTCCTCGCAGCGAATCCCGAATCTCCTTCGGTGCTTCTCGGTCCTCCAGTGCAATCATCGTTCAGTCATCGCCTCCCTCGAATTGATCCCGGGGGCACTTTAAATTCCAACTCCCCCGCAGTCAGATCTGCTCCGCGCTTTTGTTTGCCCAGTATCGCTCACTTTTCCTGACTTCCCCGCTCTCGGTTTCTCGGTCTCTCGGTCCTATCTCTCGGTTCCTCGCGGAGAGTTCCCTCTTATCAGAATGGACCGCCTTATCCGTCCTGTCTCTCGACAATTGCTGCGACCTCGTCTTCGCTATCCCTTCTCTATTCCTCCCCACCCGCCGCAAAGAGACTCTACACCATGGGACACAGCAAGCCTGATGTGAGTGGGATATCTGCCTGTCTCGATGAGGAGAATTGCGCTGACTGACTCGATTCCACAGCTCAAAGACAAGTCGCTCTTCATTGAGAAGTCATACATCAATGGCGAGTGGGTTGGCGCTCAGTCGGGCGAGACCTTTGAAGTTCACGGTAATATCATTCCATCACCTACTACCAGCAAGCTAGGAGGAAACAGCTTAACTAAACTTGCCTATTGCAGACCCCGCCACTGGCAAACTGATCGGAACATGCCCCGAGCTCGGCACCGCCGACGTCGAAAAGGCCATCCAAGCCGCCTCCGAAGCCTTCCCCAAATTCCGCACAACCCTCGCCCGCGAGCGCGCGCGCATGCTGCGCCGCTGGTATCAGCTGATGGTGGATAATGCCGATGACCTGGCCAAGCTCATCACCTGGGAGAATGGTAAGCCGTTGGCCGACGCCAAGGGCGAGGTGAACTACGCCGCCAGCTTCTTCGAGTGGTTCAGTGAGGAAGCTCCCCGCACATACGGCGATGTTATCCCAGCTACCGTCCCCGGCAACCGAGTTATGACCCTGAAGCAACCAGTCGGTGTGTGCGGTCTCATTACACCATGGAATTTCCCCGCCGCCATGATCACTCGTAAAATCGGACCCGCCCTCGCCGCCGGCTGTACCGTTGTCGCCAAGTCCCCCTGCGAGACCCCATACACTGCCAACGCCCTTGCCGAGCTGGCTCACCGTGCCGGTATCCCCAAGGGTGTGGTCAACATTGTCACCGCATCGAAGAACACTCCCGCTGTCGGCGAGCTGATCACCACACACCCGGACGTACGGAAGGTTTCCTTCACCGGCTCGACAAACGTTGGCCGCTTGTTGATGAAGCAGGCTTCGTCGACCATTAAGAAGGTTTCTTGGGAATTGGGCGGCAACGCGCCGTTCATTGTCTTCGATGATGTTGAGGACCTTGATGCTGCCGTAAACGGCGCCATCGCTTCCAAGTTCCGCAGCTCAGGCCAAACCTGCGTCTGCGCTAACCGGATCTATGTGCAGAAGGGCGTGTACGATGAGTTCTCCAAGCGCTTCGCTGCCAAGGTTAAGGACTTCAAGCTCGGAGCCGGCTTCGAGGATGGTATTACCCACGGTCCTGTGATCCACGAGCGTGCCGCTGAGAAGGTGCACGAGCATGTCCAGGACGCTACCTCCAAGGGTGCCAAGGTGCTTATTGGCGGACAGAAGGCTTCTGCCCTGGGCCCTAACTTCTATGAGCCCACTGTTCTGTCCGGTATGACCAAGGACATGCTGATCGCGTCTGAGGAGACTTTCGGCCCTGTTGCGGGTCTCTTCCCCTTCGAGACCGAGAAGGAGGTTGTGGATCTGGCTAACAAGGCCGAGGTTGGTCTTGCGGGCTACTTCTTCAGCGGTAATGTTCGCCGTATCTTCCGCGTTGCTGAGGCACTTGAGGTTGGCATGGTTGGTGCCAACACTGGTTTGATCAGTGATGTTGCTTCTCCGTAAGTTATGACCCATCTACCCGAATCCCAAATGTATCATGGCATTTTACTAACTTCGCAACAGCTTCGGTGGTGTCAAGCAGAGTGGTTTCGGCCGTGAGGGCAGCAAGTATGGCATTGATGAGTTCATGGTTATCAAGAGCGTCACTTTCGGCGGTATGGGGGAGCCTCTGCAGGCATAAGACTTCCTCGAAAAGGATATGATGGAATATGTATACCAGTTATTTGAAAAATATTGCAATTGAATTATAGAATAATCTTCTGAAAGAATCATGCTTTGTGGCCTGATCGCGTTTGTGTCGCGTTTGTCCTTTGATGGTAGTGGTAGTATTTAGTGTTAGCTATTGCTCTGAGCGCTTTTCCCTCCATTATTATCATCATCATCATCATCATCATCGATTCATCTTATTTTGGTACCCTTCTACTACTACATGTCGCTTCCACTCCTATTACAATACGTTACACTTGGCTATATATGTCTTCATTATATTTAGAGTCACGTGGTGTTAAATACTTGTAATACAAGTACCATCATGGCAAACTCGACCGCCTTCACCCTCGCCTCACCATTCACGCATCACTCTAATCACAGCTCCCAAATCAAATTCTGCGAATTTCCATCGATCCAGTGAGAAATGACATGACCGACTTTCAATGCGCCAATCACTTAGTCTCCTTGCCGCGGTCTCGCGCCGACCAGCGTCAAAATTGAGGAACCCCGCCGTCAGTCTTGACCATGTAAGTACAACCAGACCAGACCGGACCAGCTAGGCTATCAGCTAGCCGGACTACCAACCCTTGGAGTGAATATTCAAAGCGCGCGACCAGCCAATGAATCAAACATTGAGCATAAAAAGTACCTTTCTAACTAATTGTACGCAGTTCATCCAAAGACAACGTACTCTGACGTTCTGGCGAGAGATCGTACGCGCCCTACATAGTACGTTCCACGATCCTATCTTTTCACACACTCACTCTATTCTGTCAAGATCAAAAGTAGTATATCTAACCGCAGCACTTTCGCTCGTTTCCTTGTAACAGAGATCCCGCCTTCCTCAACACGAGATGAATTGCACAGCTATGCGCGTCAAGAATTCGAGAGACATCGCGAGGTTTCGGATCTGGTACGTCTCACCCTTCTCTCTCTCTGTCCATCCCTTTGTGCCTGCCTGTTTCGCTGGAAAATCATTGATCATTGCTAATTATGTACTAGGGCCATATTCGGTACTTATTATCGGTATGATTGGTTGCTCTTCTTTCTTTGCGCTTGCCTTACATTTGTGATATCGGGACTAATTTTTTTTGGTAGACAGGAAAGGCCGAGTTTGATACCATGAAGCGGTATATCGAAGAGCAGGTTGTTGGATGAGGTTGTTGGACTCATTGATAGACGGCGTGTTTCAGCATATGTCCTGGGTTTTCAGCGTGGGCCAATTGTATTGTATAATAAGTGGAACCTGGGGTTATTTATTGTGAATTAAATGTACAGAGAGTATACATACAGCTTGGATTTACCTTGATGAGAACAAAGTGTTTATTTCGTACTTTGTCACATCGGCCGGGCTGTGGCAGAACAATGTGACACCGGCCTTGTCTAGCCGCGATCGACCACGCATCATGCTATGTACATATGTACACAGTAGTTACTACATATTGTACTAGGAGTACAATGTCCAACTTGAATATCCCAATAAAGAACAATCGGATACATACTCATACATGACTGGATATCAGATTGTCAATGACATCATCGCAGCTTTCTCTCCAATTCTAGACCGACAGCAGACCACAAAATCCCTAACCTCCACGAGTACAATTTACTGACCGCACTCAGGCTCCAATCGATTCATTTGCCACACGCACAGTTAGCTATTCCCCGTCCTGCTACGCGTCACGTCTTGATTAAGATTTTTGGGATCATCTGGATCATCTGCATGCCGAGCCCCGCAGTTCCATCCATCACAGGCCCCTCTGCTCCATCCGAGTGGACTGGGAATAAAACGAGTTTGGCACTTTCCGGCACAGCATCCGGCCACTCAGGGCTGGGGACTGAGTGTTTTCCCCTCGGCTTCTAGCGTATTTCTCCCCAGATCATCCTTTTTAAGTCCTTATTACCTGCTGCTAGCCTACTAGCCTACTAGCGGCTGCATTTTCCGGTCAGGGGCGCAGGGTGGCGCAAGAACCCTGCTCAGTCTAGATTTTGATATGGTGACGTAGTCGAGACTGCTAGTGACTCCCACTTTCTTGTTTGGTTATGCTCAAGGGATTGCTTCTGGGGATATATACGCGATTTATTAGATGGTTTAAAATACATTTTCTCCCTCCTTTCCGATTTATCACGTCCCGCCACGGAGCACCACGATACCACAACCCTTCCAAATATTATTTAATCCTTGCCGGTCGATATACTGCGAAATCTGCCCTTGACCGACAATCCACTTTACCCTACTAGTAACTACTACTACACATCATCAACTTGAACTTCACCATACTTAATTTACACCGCGTCTACGACTAAATCGATCCTCCTACCCTCCCGCCAACAGAACTCCTTTGTTCCGATTCTCTACCAACTCTTTCTACCACTCAATCCATACTGCTAGTACTTTTAGTACTGCCGAACCACTGGCAATCACCATGGCACGCGACCACAGCGAGAGCATCAGTCCAGGCCGTGCAAAACACCTCGAGCGAAACCGCATCGCGGCAAACAAATGCCGACAAAAGAAGAAGAAGGAACACCAGAAAATCCAAAGTTCCCTCCATGACGAGACCGCCCGACACGACTCCCTCATGGCCGAATTAAACAACCTCCGCGAAGAGATTTGGACTCTAAAGAATACCGTTTTCGCACACGCCAGCTGCAACGACTGGCATATCAATCGACAATTAGCCAGTATGAGCGAAAATCTCACCGGCGCTAGCCCGGAGCAGCTTCACGCTCAACTGCCCTCCCCAACATTTTCCTCCCAGAGCTGTTCGGATGCATCCGCGATGGATACTGGGGCTATTGAACCAAAGGTCCTTGCGTCTTCGTCTTTCTCTTCGGATGGTTCGGGAAGTTTACCATTGATGGATCCGGCGCTTTTTGATGGGGGTTATAATGGAGCCGGGACTCCGGAATTCGGATTTGACCGGCTCATCGATATGGAGAATATTTAGCTTGGGGGAGGTTTGATTTTGGTACGAACATGATTTCCAAATTAGCTTGCGATCGGATTTTGTTCGGCGTTGGGGTTCAAAGGGTGGATTTTGTCACGATAACTTTACTTCTTGATGTCATATATTTGACCAAAACAGCAATAACTCGAGCTGGACTCGAAATTCGAATGGAACAGGCTGAAGTCAAATTTCTAGTGTTCCATTTTTGCTCCAGGAGCTTGGGCCGCATTTTAAATCCTAGCAAAGCACCCATTTTCACGGCGGAGCTCCTCAAAGCTCGAAAGAGAATAGCCACAGGGCTGATGACTCCACAATGTGTGTGCCCCCTGTATTGTACTACTTGCATTCCCTTAAAAATGCCAAACCCCGTCATGATCTATCTACGTAGGTGGCTCTGTCTGACTATACAAATCATCCGGACAAACCATCCTCCACTAGGTCATTCCAGCAGGGGCATCGGAAGTCGCGGGGTGGTCGAAAGCCAGACACGACCTCATTCGCTCGGTTCTCACAGCCAGCCAGTAAGGTGTTGCAGGGCCCGGCGATCGTGTGGGTCTGAAGAATTGCATAGCGAACAATATGCCACTGGGGCTTGAACGTGCTGCCCTCCCCTTCGATGTGCTTCGTTGAGGGCGTTTCTTGTGACTCCAGCCGCTGATGTAAACACAGCCCTCGTTAGGCATTCCTTCCCCAATCGCCACTACATGCGGGTGCGTGGGTGGAGATCATAACACATTTTATTATAAAACTCATCGCTCCCGATGCAAACACCTCCGTTATTTGCCACTTTGATTTTTATCGTCCACCATCCGCCATCCACCACTTGCATCCATCATCATCATCATCTTCATCATATCTTCGAAAATTACTACTCATATCCGATATCTTTTTTTTTCTTCATATCGTTGATGTTTGTGTCCTTGATATAGCGCGATTTCTTATCTGTATTCTATTGCTTTCATCATTCTGTATCCGCCATGTCAGGCAAAACGATAACCCCAGGTCGGGAAATGGCCCAATTCTCCGAAAAACTTATAATGGGCGCACCATTCGAAACAACCGACCGGTATGCGTTTTTTAAAACCACTAGACTAAAGCGACACTTCTAAATCTTACTCTAGATATACCCAATTGACCCCAGTGGGAATGGGCGTCTCGGGACTAGTCTGGTACGATCCCTGAGAATTTCCACGGGCAGTGGGAATGAAAATGGTGGTTTTGCATAGCTGACCAGTTCGTTCCTTTTCGTTCTCCTTTAGTTCTGCCATAGATCAGATCGCTCAACAAACAGTCGCCGTGAAAAAGCTCAGTGAACCTTTCAAGACGGACAATATCGCAAAACACATGTACCGCGAGGTCAAGCTGTTAAAGCAACTGCAGCACGAGAATGTTTGTCATCACTACCTGTTGGAACGTTGAAACCTAACCGATAACTGTACAGATCATCCACTTGAAAGACATTTTCATTTCACCATCTGAAGATATGTGAGTTTCTTCCGAGTCCGTTCTCATGCTTTCCTCGGGAAACAAAACTAACCGGGCCTCATAGCTACCTTGTCACGGATCTCATGGCAACAGATCTCCACACACTTTTGAAAACAAAGAAAGTAGACGAGCAGTTCACTCAATACTTTGTGTATCAATTGATGGTATGAAGAACAACCATATGCCCCAACACGCCACCCAACTAACACTCACCAGCGTGGTCTCAAATATGTGCATTCTGCGGGCGTCGTCCACCGCGATCTAAAACCAAGCAATATTCTCATCAACGATAATTGTGATCTAAAAATATGCGACTTTGGCTTGGCTCGTGTTCAGGAGACTCAAATGACCGGCTACGTTTCGACAAGGTACTACCGTGCGCCAGAGATCATGCTCACGTGGAGGAGATATAACGAGAAAGTCGACATCTGGAGCGCCGGCTGCATATTCGCCGAAATGATTATGGGCAGCCCTATATTCCCCGGCAAAAATCATATCAATCAGTTTATGGTCATCACCCAGATGCTGGGTAGTCCTCCGGACAGCGTGGTTAACAATATTACCAGTGAGAATGTGAGTCTGCCACAGTCCTCAAGACCTACAAGGTGACAGAAAAGAAAAGGGAAATATATGAAGCTAATGCCAAATTCCAGACTTTGACTTTCCTCCGATCCTTACCGGACAAACCTCGCCAGTCATTAGCAAAGGTCATGCCCAAGGCCAACACCAAGAGTGAGTTGACACGAAACCCATCCACAAAATACCACACATACCATATCGGCCACCAGATGATAGGATGACAACTAATCCAAACCAGCAATCGCACTCCTGGACAAAATGCTCCAACTCGACCCAGACGAACGAATCACAGCAGCAGACTGTCTCAAATCTCAATATCTGGAGCCATACCACGATCCAGATGACGAACCCTCCGCAACAGAAAAATGCGACTGGGCCTTCCTGGAAGCTGATCTGCCCGCCGACATGTGGAAGACTGTCATGTATTCGGAAGTTTTGCGATATCACGAGAAAGGAAGTGGATCTACCTCAATGGCAACTAGGCTCATGCCGCAACTGCCAGTTGATGAACTTGAACGATTTCAAGTAGAGGGACAACTTCAAGGGAGTGGGATGGATTGGACTGCCACTGGCAGTGCTTGAGGCGAGGTGAGACAAGGGCGTGACCCATTCATATATCTATACTATATCTCTTCTGTTTGCGGTAGATCTAGTAGATCTAGATCTTTGGATTCTTTCAACATCCATATTAGCGTTTTACATGCGAGCATTTACGTGTGCTAATTATTATTATTTTCCTTTCTCGTTTTCATTTCTTCTTCTCATTTTCTCTTCCTTTTTTTGCATTTGGAATTCCACTTTGATATGCTCATTTGCCTGTGATATCCCCTCTGGTTGAGTTCCGGGTTCAGTTGAGCGAATCTTTCTTCGTTTAGTTTACTCCAAATTCAGTACTTCCTACTATTCAAACAACATGATTCATCAATATTTTCCAAAATTATGATATTATATGTTATACGTCGATATCATCAAGCAGGATCGATCATAAAAGGGAATCCACGCAAAAATAAGTAATCAAAAGCCACGCCGATGACCAGACCGGCCCAAACTTCCAGGCTTCAAGTTTCAAACAAGCACCAACGAACGATTCTATTCGAAAACCGTCGTATGTCCATATTCATATATTCGTGAATCCAAGTGCCAACCGGGTATCAACAGAGATTTGAGCCCATCATCACGGGTCCAACATTAGGGGGTAGGTAAATTTGTACAAAGTGGTGCTGCACCACAGTGCAGTGCCGTGCAATTAGATATTAAGTTGGCCGCGATCGTTTAGACTTCCTCCGGTGCAGCACTAGTCACCTCCGAAACAGGGGGCTGCTGTTGCTGCTGGTCCTGCGCGTGGTGGTTCTGGTGGTTCTTTCGGGAATTCTTGAGATCGACAAGGGCGAAGTAGTTTGTGAAGACGAAAAGAGCCCTGCAGTATTACAATAATGAGCTTCTATACTTGAACAATAATATATGTATAACAGAAACGGGTTCGGTGAAAAGAAGAAGAGAAACTCACCACTCAACCGCAGCGACAACGATCAGTGCCTGAAGCCCGTGGCAGCTGGGGTAGTTGCAAGAGCCGGGCTTGGGGATCATGGCGGAAAGGGCAATCCAGCCGCTGAGCCAGAGCAACATGGTGACAACCTCGACGAAGGGAATCACGAGTTCATGGGAGATGCGCGAGAACCAGAGTGGGGCGAGGCCCAGGTAGGGGACTGCGACGACGGTGGTCCAGCAGCCGTTGAAAAGCATAAAGTAGTTCAGATTGGAGAAGGACCATGAGTCGTAGAGGGTGCCGATGACTGGGTGCTGTTAGATGGTTTTCGTTTTCTCGTTTTGTTGATAGACTATTGGGGTGATTAAACGAACCATATGCGCTTAAGCCGATAGTGGCCAAGGCGAAGAGTGCCTGGACAATTCGGAGGGGGTAGACCCAGGATAGCATGGTGTATGTATAGATGTTGTATGTACAATTGACTTGAGTGTTTGTGTTTGCCAGTCAATTGACTTTGTTGGGTCAGGTCAGGAACCTCTTCGTCTAGAGTATCGGTGGATAGTGAGAACTTGAATGGAAAGAGAAAATCCAGATCCACTGCTGCCCACTGGGTGTCCACTGGATTATATAGTGGTAGCTAGAATGGAAAATCCTAAAAGGCTATATTCGAACTAAAAATTCGATAGTTCATCAACCGAGGCCTCGTGAACCTGTGGCGAGACGTCATAAGAAGGGGCCTCGGAGTCGGACACGGGCAGACCCTGCAGGGCTAACTGCTTAGCATTAGTACAAGGTTACGGAAACAACCCGGCTGGGTGGGCCATGAACCCCCAAAAAGGGGGCTCCCAAGTAAGGTCCCATTGGGAGGATCAGAACGAATTCTGATGCGGCGGAACCACCTCGGCACGCCGAGATATCAAAACCGGAGACAACCCGGGGAAATGCTTGTGTGCACTTCCCCCATAGAAATAGTAAATATTGCGCAGTCAACATGAACGATCTTCTTTATTTTTCAATATTTCCCCCTCTCTCGCTCTAGGTTACTTTGGATAAATCTCAAAAATCAGCAGACGGAACAAGTTGGCAGTAGGGCGAACTTTGTCGAGTCAATGACGCTCGGTGGTCGATCTCACATGTGAAGTCCGAGGCCACCCAATTCGGCAGGCCAACGTCGATCCTTCGGACCCTCCGTAAAATATTCTAAAATATTCAGGGCAAGGGTGATGATTTGCTGGATTTTTGCCGATGGTTCCAGGTTCGCCTGACCTAGATGGTATACACCGTGTGCCTTATGTTGTGCCGTGTCCTGCATATACTGTAGCTGCATATTGGGAATCCTGCCGCTTCACCTGCTTCCGGAAACCTACGACTCTGACTCAACAAGAATCGATACCCGGGGCCTTTTCTTCTAGACACTCTTAATCTTGACCATGATCACCGTGACAAAACAATGACCTCAGAAAACACATGTGCGGAGATGGGTGTGGCGCATTCTATATACTCGTACAACTACTACAATACTTCAACATCATAGCCTAACAAAACAACCTAGACAATCCGACATCGCTGATTATTTTACACGTGCAAAAGACAAAAAGGATTCCACCTCATGCCAGAAACTACTACCCTGCTAGTAGTCCATATTGTACAAGCCTACTTCCGACTCGCCAGCAAAACCTTCACAGCATCCAGAACGCCGACGGATTTCTCATCCGCAGGCTCAATTGCCGCACGAGCCGCATCAGGCTGCTCAACCTTCTTTCCACCATCCTTGGCCGCCGCCTCAATAGCTGCATGACGCTCGCGCCACTCACGATCCTCCTCATCACGAATTTCCAGCTCACGCAGCCAGGCATCGCGCTTCTCCTGCGACTTGCGCTCTTCCACCGCCTGGTCGAATTCCCGCCGTTGCTTGCGCTCCGTCTTGTAGTACATTCCGCCGGCCACGAGCGCGACGAGAGTAAATGCCTGCGCGTAGATACGGGCGCGGAACATGCGGTTCATTTCGGCTGAGTCGCCGGCTCGCATTGATCGGTAGGCGCGGTAGAGGGCGTAACATGTTGCGGCGCAGCCTGTTTGGTAGAGGTTAGGTTAGTGGGTGATTGATTGTTTTTTGGGTGTGTTGTAGGTCGACGTACCGAGTGGGATGAGGGGCTCTTCCTTGATTCGTCTGGTGAATTTCTGGGCGCCAGATTCCTCGCGGAATTGTCTGGAGAAAATGTGTTGTTAGCAAGCAGTCTTTTCTTTTCTTCCCTTCCGGCGCGGTCGCGGTCCTCGTTGTTTTCGCACTGGTGGAATCCTTGCCCCCCGGGTTGTCGCGGGTTTCTGTAGAGTGTATTCAGACGTACGGGTGATCGTCAAAAGACGATGGTACAGACTCGCCGCTCATAATGGGTGGTTGAGCTCTGGTTGGGAGGTGGAGAGAGGTGCCCAGGTGGTGAAGGAGGGTGGCACGATGGTCGGGGTGGAGTGATGAGCGAGCGGCTCAAGGGTTGATTGTGGACGAGCGAGTCTGAAACAATGCTCGTTCTAAGTCGGGAATCAAGGGAACCTTGAAATAGCCGCGATTCTAGGTCGAGATGGCGGGTTGCGGGGGACGAGAGTTGATCAGTCGGGCATGACGTCGCGGGAGTTTTCCTCCCAAGTTAAGCGCGGCCGCGGGCAGTACTTTGACACATTAGCTACACATAGTAATAGTTATAGATGTACTCTGCTGTGTAATATTTAAATTGAATTCTCCTACTACTAGTCATATATATCCATTTCTATGTATACTACTACCAGTAGTATACTATACTCTTAGCTACTACTGTACAATTACAATAGTTACTGGGCACCTCTGCTTCTAGCACGTAATCCACTCTGACCGCCATTGTATACGATGCAGTATATCTTCAGAAAGGACGAGAATCTTTCAACCAAGTAGCTTGAGTAATGCCATACACAAATAGACCAATATATAGCTAGCTAATAATTCATAATTACCCATCAGCTAAAATATATGCCTATATCCACATCCCCAATCCCCAAACTTCAAGTTATCTTACTGCGCTCTGGTTGATGACTAAGATGCTCCGATCTCGTCCCGCCAGAAAAAAAGAAAAGAGTCAGAGGCAAAAGAATCCCCTCCCCTCCTTTCTGAGCAATTGATCTTTTTCTCTTCCTTAAAGGTCTTGTGGGTTGATCATGTCCGACGAACCCTCCGCCAACGGTGTCACAACACCTACTACTCCCAAGCGGAGTGGCCTGGCTTTGACCGAGTATACCGCCGCTCCCACTCCCCCTCCGAACGCGCAGACCGCATCCCCGGATTGCCTCCCAACTGGGGCATCCCAGAGGCCTTTTTGCTTCCCAATGGATATCCAGACGTGAGGATTATTTTACCATAACCACATTTACCTCCAAACACCCAGCTGACTCTTTCGGCGCTCACAGTATCTCCGACTGATCTTGACTTCCCGCGTTTACGATGTTATTGATGAAACCCCACTACACCATGCCGTCAACCTGAGCAACCGTCTTGAAAGCCGAGTGCTTCTCAAGCGGGAGGATCTTCTTCCTGTATTCAGCTTCAAGCTTCGTGGTGCCTATAACAAGATGGCTCACCTGAACAACGAGCAGCGGTGGAAGGGTGTCATTGCTTGCTCTGCGGGCAACCATGCTCAAGGTGTTGCGTACTCTGCCCGCAAGCTTAGAATCCCCGCGACCATTGTCATGCCTGCTGGAACCCCCGCTATTAAGCATCTGAACGTCGCCCGCCTGGGTGGCAGCGTTGTTCTCCACGGAAACGATTTCGATGCGGCCAAGGATGAGGCCCATCGGTTGGAGAAGCAGCACGGTCTCACCAGCATCCCGCCATTCGATGACCCGTATGTCATTGCTGGTCAAGGTACTATCGGCATGGAGCTGCTACGTCAGGCCAACCTCGACAAGCTGGAGGCGGTCTTCTGCGGTGTCGGTGGTGGCGGCCTGATCGGTGGTATTGGTGTCTATCTGAAGCGCATTGCGCCCCAGGTCAAGGTCATCGGTGTCGAGGCTTACGATGCCAACGCCATGGCCCAGTCCCTTGATGATGGCAAGCGCGTATTCTTGAAGGAGGTCGGCCTCTTCGTCGATGGCGCTGCCGTCAAGTCCGTGGGCGAGGAGAACTACCGCGTCTGCCGGGATGTCATCGACGAAGTTATTCAAGTCTCTACGGACGAGGTCTGTGCTGCTATTAAGGATGTTTTCATGGACACCCGATCTGTCGTTGAACCCGCTGGTGCTCTCTCCCTCGCCGGTCTCAAGAAGTACGTCGCCAAGAACCCCAGCCCCGACCCCAGCCGTGAACTCGTCGCCATCACTTCCGGTGCCAACATGGACTTCGACCGCCTGCGCTTTGTTGCTGAGCGTGCTGCTCTCGGCGAGCGCAAAGAGGCTCTTCTCAGCGTGAAGATCCCCGAGACGCCTGGCGCATTCGCCAAGCTTGTCGAGGTTATTCTGCCCCAGGCCGTGACTGCTTTTAGCTACCGCTATGCTCGCGACGACTCTGCCGATGTCCTCATGGGTATTTCTCTGTCCGCCGCGACCGGCCGCGAAGATCTGGTCAAGATCATGGAGGAGCTTGAGAAGGCCGGCATGAATGTTCGCGATCTGAGCGAAGACGAGCTGGCTAAGCGTCACATCCGATTCCTGGTCGGCGGCCGCTCCGATGTCGCCGACGAGCGATTGTTCATGTTCGAATTCCCCGAGCGACCCGGTGCTCTGGCCAAGTTCCTTGCCACCCTCCGTCCCAAACAGAACATCTCTTTGTTCCACTACCGTAACTATGGCGGCGACGTTGGCAAGGTTCTGGCTGCCATCCAATGCCCCCCTGCGGAGAAGGATGACCTAGAATCCTTCCTCCGTGATCTGGGCTACCCGTTCAGCGAACAAACCGACTCCCCCACCTACCAGACCTTCCTGCGGTCCTAGATGGCTAAAGTTGAATGTGAATGTTGAACGTGAACTATTTATAAATATGTGAATCTCGAACAGTGAGAGTCAAACGGTTGATGACTTGTGTTCTTTTTGTTTTAGCGGTTTAAAAGTGCAACCCATTTGAAGTGCTTTCCCCGTTTGGCGTTGGGTCCCGATATAGAGTGGGAGTTTATTTCGACTGTATAATAGCTCCTTGCTAATACATTGCCTTACATATATTTCCATACTACTGGTAGTACTAGCATTACTGAATCATTCTCTCCAGGGCTGTCGTATGGATGTCTCTTTAATACTCCGAGTCGCAGTGAGTATTCTCATACTTCCGGACCCACATATAAAGTGCGGCCCCGGCAAAACTGAAAACCCGAGCAACAATCTTCTGAGCGCGAGCACCCGGGGAGCCAGCATCAATCACCGATTCCGATCCCTCTACGTTCTACCGACTAGGAAACGCGAGGCGAAGCCTCGGAATTTCAGATTCACGGTCACCACTCACCTCCCACCATCATGTTCTCTCTCCGCTCCGTCCTGGGAGCCCCGGGCGCCCTCCGCCAACTCCTCCCCTCCGTCACTCGTCGATCCCTCCCTGGAGCTATCTCCCTCCGACCCTTTTCGCACATGATTCAGAACAGCCTCACGAGGTTGCGGGCGGCTTCCAAGCAGAATGACAATGCTGTTGCGGCGACTGTTGGCGCCTCCCGGCAGATCGAGCAGGTCCGCGGAATGAAGACCCGGTCCTCGGTGAAGCGGCTTTGTGATGGTTGCAAGGTATGATACCGGAAGATCGGATCTTTCTCTTTGAGGAAGTGATTTGAAGGCTGGAGAGGATTGTGGTTGTGGGTGCTAATTCTGGATATTCAGCCCGTTCGCCGAAAGAACCGTGTTTACATTATCTGGTGAGTCTTGATCTGGATGCGAGATAGAGGACTCATTTTCTCTACTCTTTCAGCTTGCAAAGTGGCAATGCTAACTTATTCTTCTTCTCTCCAGCTCCAAGAACCCCAAGCACAAGCAACGACAAGGCAAATAGGCGGGTTTAAACCGTTTCGTTCGATGCGCGCCTTTTGTTCCTCTGTGGATCGATGGCAGCATCTTTGCATACTTGTTTCCAGCTCGAATATTATGGGAAAATAACGGCGCCTGTGTTTTATACTTGTACATTAGCTTGGACCTGATCTTGGTCTTTATATCCAATCCAACTCTGATCCTGATGATGCGTGGTGCATGGTGCATGGTATATACTGCATACTGCAGGACTGTAGGCTTGTATCAACATACTTTAATTCTTCGCTTAAGCCATAATCTATCATTCCCTGCTATTTCAATTGCAATTGACTACTTTTCTCTTCTGTTCTGCTCAATTGTAATGCACCCACCCTGACAGGCTGGCGTGCACGTGACTGTTCCTGGCTTCCCCGAACTTTTTTTTCGCCGCGAAAACACGCGCGCTGTCATTCCGTCTCGACTCAATCAATTCCGGTGTGAGTCGATTGTCGCCATGAGGTCTCCTTCTCTTGCACGGCTACAGTACCGTGCGGTGTCTGGTTTAACCAGAGCCCCCCCGTCTTCAATCTCAGACCCTCCTGCGCTCGCGATGCGTATCCACGACCGCTATGCGGCCCATCGGCGCTCCGGCTTATCAGTCGGTTCTGAAGCAATGGGAGCAGCGACGCAATGCCTCTGCCACTGCTTCTGCAGTGTGAGTACTTAATCCGTGAAGCTATCTCGTTATGAACACCTTCGTCTAACGCGCTGTCTACAGTCTCGAGGCCGCTGCGGCCAACCCGGAGACCCTGTCGCAAGCCGCCATTATCGACAACCTTGACCCCGTCGAGGCTGCTCGCCTGGACAAGGTCCGCAACATCGGTATTGCGGTAATTGCATCCTTTTATCGTCTATTATGCTATTGAAAAAGTCTAATGAAGCCACCTCTCACAGGCCCATATCGACAGCGGCAAGACCACCTGTACCGAGCGAGTCCTCTTCTACACCGGTCGGATTAAGGCCATCCACGAGGTCCGTGGCCGTGACAGTGTTGGTGCTAAGATGGACTCGATGGATCTGGAGCGTGAGAAGGGTATTACTATTCAGTCCGCGGCTACCTTCTGTGACTGGGTCAAGAAGGACAAGGAAGGCGTTGACCAGAAGTACCACGTCAACCTGATTGATACCCCCGGTCACATTGATTTCACCATTGAGGTTGAGAGAGCGCTGCGCGTTCTCGACGGCGCCGTTCTCATTCTGTGCGCTGTATCCGGAGTCCAGTCTCAGACCATAACTGTCGACCGTCAAATGCGCCGCTACAACGTTCCCCGTATCTCCTTCGTCAACAAGATGGACCGCATGGGTGCCAACCCCTTCAAGGCGGTTGACCAAATCAACTCCAAGCTCAAGATGCCTGCGGCTGCTGTCCAAGTCCCCATCGGTGCCGAGGATGAGTTCGAGGGTGTTGTGGATCTGATCACCATGAAGGCTATCTACAATGTCGGTGAGAGTGGCGAGGAGCTCTCCGTCCGGGAGATCCCCGAGAGACTGGTGGATGTTGTCGCGGAGCGTAAGGCCATGCTTGTTGAGACTCTGGCCGATGTCGATGATGAGATCGCCGAGCTCTTCCTTGATGAGAAGGAGCCTACTCCTGATCAGCTCAAGGCCGCCATTCGCCGCGCCACTATCAGTCTGAAGTTCACTCCCGTCTTCATGGGCTCTGCGCTTGCCAACAAGTCTGTTCAGCCCATGCTGGACGGTGTCGTCGACTACCTTCCCAATCCCTCCGAGGTTGAGAACCTCGCCCTGGACCAGAAGCGTAACGAGGCCTCTGTCAAGCTCGTCCCTTACAATTCCCTCCCATTTGTCGGTCTGGCCTTCAAGCTTGAAGAGAGCAACTTCGGCCAGCTGACCTACATCCGTGTGTATCAGGGTACTCTCCGCAAGAGTGCCAACGTCTTCAACGCCCGTAACAACAAGAAAGTCAAGATTCCCCGTATTGTGCGCATGCACTCCAACGAGATGGAGGAAGTCAACGAGATCGGTGCTGGTGAGATCTGTGCCGTGTTCGGTGTCGAATGTGCCTCCGGTGATACCTTCACTGATGGCCAGTTGGGTTACAGCATGTCGTCCATGTTCGTCCCTGAGCCTGTCATTTCCCTGTCCATCAAGCCCAAGCAAACCAAGGATGCCGCCAACTTCTCCAAGGCCATGGCCCGCTTCCAGCGTGAGGACCCAACCTTCCGCGTGACCTATGACAGCGAGAGTGAGCAAACCATCATCTCCGGAATGGGTGAGCTGCATCTGGACATCTACGTCGAGCGTATGCGCCGTGAGTACCGTGTCGACTGCGAGACCGGCCAGCCTCAGGTCGCCTACCGTGAGACCATTGGTAACCGTGTCGACTTCGACCACCTGCTGAAGAAGCAGACTGGTGGTGCTGGTGATTACGCCCGTGTCATGGGATGGATGGAGCCCACCGGTTCCCTCGAGGAGAACAAGTTTGAGGAGCAGATTGTCGGAGGTTCCATCTCGGAGAAGTTCCTGTACGCTTGCGAGAAGGGTTTCAACCTTTCTTGCGAGAAGGGTCCCCTGATCGGCCACAAGGTTCTGGGTACACGCATGGTTGTCAACGATGGTGCTACTCACATGACTGATTCATCCGAAATGGCGTTCAAGAACGCTACCCAGCAGGCCTTCCGCAAGGCCTTCGCAGACAGCCAGCCGGCCGTTCTTGAGCCCTTGATGAAGACCGTTGTCACCGCTCCCTCTGAGTTCCAGGGTGATGTTATTGCCTTGCTGAACAAGCGCGGTGCCACCATCAACGATACCGAGACTGGTGTCGACGAGTTCACCATCTACGCCGACTGCAGTCTGAACGGCATGTTCGGCTTCAGCTCCAACCTCCGTGCTGCCACCCAGGGTAAGGGTGAATACACCATGGAGTTCAGCCACTACGAGAAGGCTCCTCCGCAGGTCCAGTATGTTTTCCCCACCCCTCTACCTGACTCATTAAAACCTGTTTCGAACAAAATTCTAACCAATATCTCACCTAACAGGAAGGAGCTCATTGCCAGATACGTCAAGGAGCAGGCTGCTCGTAACAAGAAATAAACAGCATGACCACAGCCTCCGACACTGTCGAATCCCCCAGCCGGCCTATTCTCACTCTTCGCCCTGTACCATTCCCTCCACCAACTTGTTACTCTTTACCCGGCCTTCGGCGGTTGTCTACTAGATGCAATCTCGAAAAATAGACATCGAATTTAGCATCACGCCCACTTCGTTTCCCATCGATGGGAACTTTTCTTTACTTGTGGTTGGCGCTGAGTTCAAACCCCGTGTACTTTTTGGCACCATACCATCGCGTCAATTTTGGGCATATGTATATTAAAGATTTAAGATTTTTATTTTTTCCACTCCTGTCTAACAATACATCATTTTCTTGGACTATGGGTATCCTTGCTCTTTCAAATGTCAAGCCCTGGAGCATGGAAGTAGATCATCCACACATAACCAATTATGAAGGTGGCGTCTTCTCTACTAGATTAGATAATCGAATAGTAATTATAAACTTGAAGCTCATTTCGTACTAGTATCTTGCATTTGATAGTCCCATCTACAGGATGCTTTCCCCTTTAAGCACCCTCAAGCTTTTCCCTTGCCGCATTTTGCTGTTCAGCGACAACATCCGCCGGGATCTGATCCGGGGTCGAATTCACCAGCATGATCATGGGAACAATGGCAGCACCAAGTAATCCGAACGTCACACCACTATACCATCTCAAGGTTAGATCATCACAAATTTCAAATATAAAAAAGGGCAAGCTTGCAGGTTTTAAACCGAGGTAAAACATACAATCCAATTATAGGGTCACTTGTTGTCTGAGTATTCATACCATAGGCAACGGCCTGACCAACAGCTTCAATGCATCTAAAAGCAGCTCCATTACGCACATTTTCTAGTAAACAGATGTTAACACAAGGCGATTTCGTCGAGCATAACACTTGAGCTTACCTTGGGCATCAGTTGCAAAAGAAGACAGGAGCCAATACATATACGACTGCGACAGTGGCCCTGTCGTCTGCACGAAAAAATACGGCAGAAACGACTTGGCGTAGATCCCATCGTCCCAATCGATATGGCCAGGGTTGTGATGGTCAAATTTGACCTGCATGATAATGGACCAGATATAGACGCCGACATTGAGAATTATGACGGTGTATAATCCGATTTGGGCCCGGCGGCGCTGACTGAGACCTTTCATGTCGAGGATGAAGCCGAGGCCGAAACAGCCGACGCTATAGCGGGAAGTGTTAGAGGGGATATCTTTGGGGTGTGGAGGGCTGACTCACATGCAGAAGAATGGCGATACGAGAGATGAGAGGGCGCGGGCGCGGACGGAGAAGTAGATTCCCAGGTAGGTGGACCAGGATCCGCTATCACTTTTGTTAGCTGCTTTTCTCTTCTTGTTGTTATAAGAAATTGATGAGGTGACAAAATACCTGTAGAAGAACGACCATAATGCCCACAGAGAAGAGAGCATGATTAGTCTTGATGTCACAGTCTTCGCGATGCGTCTCAACTCCTGCTTCGTGGAGAGTGTCTCGGCAGTGACAATCTTAGTACCATCAGAGCGGACAACGCGCTCGAAAGGAATAATCAAGAGGGCGAAAGGTAGACCGTAACATAAAATTAGAATAACACTTGGCATTTCATGGCGTGGGTTACTCACGCAAGACTCTCGATTATCACAAAAGCCACATAAGTATCAGGAGAAATTCCGCCTTCGGCACCCTTCTCGTGGTTCTTTGCAAGACTGTACAAGAGAAGTTAGTCAATGGATAATCATGGACAATGCTTTTAGCTAGATTTCCCCCAAAAGGACTTACTTGATAGCACCTCCAACAAGCTGTCCAAGATTCCGCGACACAATCCACAAGGCCAAATACTTTCCACGAGCGCCAGAAGGTGCAAGTGTCATGATAGCTCCAGCTTCAGCAACATACCAACATGCCGTTCCGATTCCACTGATAGCGCCACTCAGAATAAGATACTAGGTCAAACACTTGGATTAGACATACATGTTCCACGCCCGACGGAGCGGTAAATTAATCACTTACCCATTGGTTTCCAAATTTGCTATTACAGTAGTAAGCAGATCCTTGGATGGGGAAAGACATCGAGCCGATGACGAGGGCCCACTTAACGCCAATCTTATTGACGATGGGACCGCCTAGGAAACAAACTGATGGAGGCATTTCCCAGGTCAGTGCCGGAATATCTCGGTGAGGGTGCGAAAGTGCAAATTCATACCGACAGCAAGCATAGCATATCTAATTGCCGTTGAGATATTGGACACCTGTGGAGTGGCAAGACCACCCCCGCCCAAGCCTTGAATAATTGTTAGTTCAACTGGGACGCGCTGTGTTGAATTTGGTTGTTGACTCACCAGTAATTGCGTCCGACATGGCTGGTCCACAAAATGCTTGGATACTAAGAAGTACCATCTGCGTCAAGCTGTGTTGCCAAATTCGCTTCCATCGCGGCACTGTAGCCCTGTATTGCTCGACATCGATCCCGTGGGGGAGATCGGTTAATTCCGCCTGCTGTGTCTCGGGGTCTCTGGGTACCTCCTCGCGAGGATTAGAGACGGGACTCTTCACGTCAGCCATAGTGAATTTGCTCAAACGGCATGCAATGGACAGTTTGTACGACGGTTAAGTCAGTGCTTGAATTTGAAATGACTTTTCAGGAGCGTGCCGCACGCATGGTCATTTATTTATACTCAGACACTTAACACTAGATTCAAGCCATGTTCGCTTATCTTCTCCGCGCTAAACTTAAGACTGGGGTCTGTCGCCAGCCGAGTCCCGGCTGATTCAACATTTCCCCACGCTCTCTCCAAGATCAGTCAACCTCTAGCGCCCATTCGTTGAGGTGTGAAGGTCCAGGCGATGGTTGAACTGATGGATATCTTGTCATGGGCGATGCATCTAATCAACACTGATAGTGTTTGTCCAATGTAACCGGTTTTCGCCCACCTTAGGCACCCTTAAGAACTATTATCACTACTATCTTTGTTCTTAATTCACACAAATCGCTAGTGGGAGTTACTGATTTACCTCGAGATAAAAGCTATGTTTGAAAACAAAAACAATAGTCCACTGTTATCATGAAACGGTTAGTTTATCTTGATCTCAATTATCCGGAGTCGCACGCAGGCCAAGTGGAGCGTGGGAAGAATTCCCCACGTTCCCCTCAAAATTCCCGATTGCGTACCATGGGGTTCTCGGGGTCGGAATCGACGTGAAGGTCCACGCGAAAGGAAGACACTAGCGCGTCCCACTCCACAAAACTTCGGCGATACATTGGCAGATCAAGCCACTGGCACTAATCGCCCATTGGCTGGGTGACTCACCAGCAATCGGCTCTCTTCTTCTCCGGGGTCATATCCGACATTCGTTATCGTTGAATATCAGACTAGCGGCGCGAACTAGTCCTTGTGATCTTGCGGAGTTGTAAAAACTGAAGGTCCAACATCATTCCAACAATTCACATGACATGGCATGATGTGCTAAACGGAGGTTTCTCGGTTGTTTTGATTGTTCGTTCATTCTTCAAGACCCGGGCAGCCTTGACATCCCTTCCGATCCGGACTTAGCTTTGGCATTATCGCGATCTCACTGAAGTGAAAGCGCTTACCGTGCTCAAGGATAAGTGTGACAATGGCTCAATCACGAACACACACAAAAGTCATCGTTGTCGGAGGCGGCGGCACGATGGGTTCTTCAACCGCATTACATTTGCTTCGATCCGGATACACCCCCTCCAACATCACCGTCCTTGATGAATATCCAATTCCATCTGCACAGTCTGCGGGCTACGATCTAAACAAGATCATGAGCATTCGCTTGCGCAATAAAGTCGATCTGCAACTTTCCTTAGAGGCGCTCGATATGTGGAAAAATGATGATTTGTTCAAGCCATTCTTTCATAATGTGGGAATGGTGAGTGATCAGTTTACTCCTATGCCTATATTTTCAAGAGGATTTATACTGACAGGCTCCCAGATTGATTGTTCTTCCTCGGAGGACGGCATTGCAAACCTCAGAAAAAAGCTTCAATCTCTTATTGACGCCAATGTCGGACTTCAAAATACAAATTTCTGGCTAGGGAGTGAAGAGGAAATACTGCAAAAGCTGCCACAGTTTACGAAAGAACAGGTCAAGGTAAAAGTCCCGAAATCAAAATCCCGGGAGGCAAATACTGAATAGAACAAATAGGGATGGAAAGGCCTACTTTGCGGCGACGGAGGCTGGCTCGCAGCGGCCAAAGCCATCAATGCCATTGGTCAATATCTGAAGGAGCAAGGTGTGAACTTTGGCTTTGGCCGGTAAGTGAGAGAAACGATGTAATTTCGCTTTGATGAGAGTTCGGTGTTTGACTCGCGCAATATTTTAGTGCTGGCGCTTTCAAAAAGCCTCTGTTTGCCGATGATAAAGTCACTTGCATCGGCATTGAGACGGTGGATGGAACAAAATATTTTGCAGACAAGGTTGTTCTGGCTGCTGGTGCTTGGAGTTCGACCTTGGTCGATCTAGACGATCAATGTGTTTCGAAAGTAAGTCCACCCACTAATGAGCCAGATCAATGAAAGAGCACAAAAGCTCTGGTTTTGAGATTGCTTCGAGGCTGATACAAACTTCGGCCAGGCCTGGGTATTTGCTCACATCAAGCTCACACCCGAAGAAGCGGCTCGTTATAAAAACATGCCGGTCGTCTATGACGGGGAATACGGATTCTTCTTCGAACCTAACGAGTGAGCAAGCATTTGAATTCAGCCATTAACCACCCACTGACAAGCTAATGAAATATCACCAGATACGGTATAATCAAAGTCTGCGACGAGTTCCCTGGCTTTACACGTTTCAAGGAGCACCAACCATACGGTGCTGCCTCTCCCAAACTCATCTCCGTTCCACGATCACACGCCAAACATCCCACAGATACTTACCCTGAAGCTTCCGAAGTGAGCATTAGGAAAGCCATCGCGAGATTCCTACCGCAGTTCAAAGATAAGGAGGTTTTCAACCGATCGATGTGCTGGTGCACAGATACCGCCGATGCCAATTTATTGATTTGCGAGCACCCTCGATGGAAGAATTTTATCCTGGCTACTGGGGATAGTGGGTAAGTGGAAACAGAGGACAATTTTTTGACTAAGATTTTGGCTAATCCTCTATTGCAGCCATTCCTTTAAGCTTCTTCCAAACATCGGAAAACACGTCGTTGAGTTGATCGAGGGCACTCTATCTCAACCACTGACCGACTCATGGAGATGGAGACCAGGTGGTGATGCTCTCAAGTCTCGGCGTGCTGCTCCCGCGAAGGACCTTGCTGATATGCAACTATACACACATAGTAGATTGTCGGGTACATTGAAGCTTTGATAAGGCTATTACTACTTTGATGAGGGGGGCTATGTAAATCTCACAGCGCAAATATCAGAATCATTTTGATATACTGCCAACTATTCAGATAGAGCGAAGGGAAAGAACTGCTCAGAAGCCTCCCACATTAGTAGAAAATGTCGAGAAAAAGATAATCGCCGCATCTCCAAAATAAGCCAAACTTATAACAAGCCAACCCAACCCTTTATAACTAATACTAATCGCCAACAAACACACTTGAGCGGTCCTGTTTCATCAAATAACCCGCTCCACCGTCCAATTGTCCACTCCATTCTTCAGCTTCTCGCGGTCCTCAAAGAAGGGCCTGAAAACCTTCTGGATGATGGTGTCGGGATGGTAGCCCTCAGCGTAACCGCCAGTTTCTGGGTCGTCGATGCGGGCTTTGATCAGCGGCATACCAACCACAATATGGGAAGTTTGAGGGAGCGCCTGCGCAAAGAGGCGGCTGAGTGTTTGCGATGCAGCCTTGACAGTAGAAAGTGAGGAGAATATTAACTGTGGCTCCTTGTCAAGCACGCCACCAGTAACAAGGAAGAGCGGCCACTCTCCATTGGAGACATGGTCAGAGTTGGCGTTGCGGGTGAACCACTGGCCTGCGACAAGAGTGCCAATCGCGGAGACCCGGAAATCGGACTCCAGCATCTCTATGCTGAGCTCGGAGACGTGCGATCCGGCAACATGGGCAGCATTGTAGTTCAGAACGTCCACTTTTCCATTGAACTGCTGGGCACACCAGTCTAAGGCGGCAGTGAGGCTGCTGGTATTACCTGCGTCGCCGGTGCGGTAGATCACTTTCGCGTCCGCACTTGTCTGGGCGGCTTTGATTTCATCGGCGATCTTGGATAGGCTATTTTCGGAGCGAGAAACAAGAGCGATGCTCCAGCCCAAATTGGCAAGCCAAAGGGCAAGTGACCGGGACATGGTCGACCCCACGCCGACGATGATGATGGTGCGATTTGGGCTAACAGACATGATGTAACAAAAGTTGAACTTCAAGACCAAGATGATTCTTTGAGGCGATGCGAGGCAGGTCGAACTTGAAGTTCTGTTCCATATCGAAAGAGTTGCCCTTTTATATCACCAGGGTACCAGTACTATTAAACGGGAGGTTTACTCATGATCTCCGCTGATGACTTCATCCGGGAATGTATAGTTAGTAGTGATAGGACTAATTACTAGTACTTCAAGTTAGTTAAGGTCAGTGGCTTCGTGCGGGAAAAAGTGTATTCCTATTCCGCAATAGCCGCCCCACGGTTACAAATGTCACCGAGACCCATCAAAGTTCAAGTTCAAGTTTACTCATCAACTGAAAGTCACAAGTGTATCTCTAATGGAAATGTCGCCGAGACGGTCGAACTTCCGCTTCCGCCGAACAAGAATCTAAATTCTAGTATTTCTTAGTACTACAGGGGGTTTCAAACTTTGCTACTGACGACCTAACTGAATACCTAGATCACCCAGTTGGCAAAACCGTGAGGAAACCGTTTCATATGGGCGCGAACCTTCAAAATCTCACAGGGAGTGTCATACCTTCGCTTTAATGCTCGTTTTGTATCAATTTATATCGTTCTGGCCCTTTTTCTAGCTTGCTAATGGGAGATTTGTTATGGTAATACTTAAAACAGGATGAGGTTACCAAGAATTGCTAAATATCAAATGAGCTGTATACTCTATTAAAGTGAATCGTCCAATAACAAAGCACCGATAGCTCAGGGGTAGAGCGAGGATTTGCAGTGTCCTAGGTCAGGCGTTCAAATCGCCTTCGGTGCTTACTTTTTTCCCCTTTCCCCTTTGATCTTGCATTTTTTTTCATCCTTACTTTAGTACTTTTTGAAATTTGTTTTTGCTCTTTCTCAAGAAAGCTGAGCAAGAAAGCATGGTTCTTTATAAGCTTAAAGGCTTAGTCAGTCAACACACTGCTATATCTGATTCTTTCAAGTTGATAGTCTTGGCTACAAGTCATCCACTGGCATCCATTAATATATATTTTCCCTCTGACCCGTCTCACTCTATGTCAGTATATACCCAGTATAGTACTCCTAATCTAGCCACAGTGCTGCCTACCACTAGGTAGTAGTAATATAACCTTGGAATAAATATAGAGTTTGGTCAAGGTTTCTCTCGCACCCACGCACTCTCACCGGCGGTCTCTATATTGCACTCCCGGGGCTTCTTCATGGATGCCCAGGTGTTCACCTGTATTTCTGTTCAATTTCTGCCGAAATCACACATCATCCGCCGTTGGCAGCTCCACCACTACGCGAATTATAAACCGCGAACTTGATAATCTGTGGTCGTCCAACACTGGCAGGTAACACACAACCGAACAGATAATTCTATTGAATGGAACATTACGAGCTACTAGTATTATAATCAGGTCATATATCAAGAAAGTGAAGCCTGGGGGAAACTTAGCGTGGTCCCAAAGAAGCCCCGGGGCCCTCTGGCTTCCCGCTAAAATAAAGCGAATCCATCAATCCTGCATGGCCTACTATCTTGTCAGCTCTAATTTTTCTGTCTCGGGCACTTATAACAGCGAAAAAGATGACCCGAGTAGCTTTACACTTACCTACTTGCCTACCACGGACTCGCATCAGCCAATTTCTTTTTTTTTCCATTTTCGACCAGTTTAACCGCCGGTCAAGGATGGAGGATTGCATCTTCAGAACACAATATCGACAGGAACCTCATGATGACATGTGTGTGACTCTCGAACAAATACTTCTGCTATTATTGAGGTCCGTTGGGGGATCAGCCATGACGGAAACCGAAAAGGATGGACGTTAATCAATTTCCCTCTATGTGGTAGCTTGATATTCTTCAGGCTTCTTCTTGAGATAGAAGAAGGAAGGATTCGACGCTCCGCCTTTCCAGTTCGATGCGCTCTATTATTTTTTCGACCTAAAAGGAAAGCATTGCACAAGGCGTCTTCAGAAGCTTTCCGGAAAGCCTCGACGTTCTGACTGACTGATAGATTGGCGGTATCGCCGAATCCATTCAGAAGAATTTTTATAAGCATCATCCAAAACGGACACATCCGAGTACTCGTCTTCGATGAGCGGGACTTCGGGACACAATTATCTCCAAGCGCACGAGGGGAGAATTGAGGATCGCTTTTCCCATGGGCGTGAGCGGAGGGAGGGAGTACCAATGAAATATATACAAAAGTCATTGCAAGTGCTGTAGACTTTCGAACTATTTTGGATGAGTTCAAGAATGATGACACCTACAGAGCCGCCAAGGGCAGCCGGAAAACGACATATCTGGAAAGCAATACAATGACAAAGGCAATACGTGCAGTGGCGTTGCAAAGATTTGAAACCACATGTTGACTGTTCTTCTCTCCGCCTTCTAATGGCAGACTAGTAGCTACCTGAGATGGAATAGATTGGCCTATATATTCCATCTTAGGTAGCTACCAGTTTCCAATTAGAAGGCGGTAAATCATGGTGGGCAATATGGGGTTTCAAACTTTTGCAACACCATTGTATGGCGAGTAACTATAGCCTAGAACTAAAAGGAATGCATAGCTAAGACCTCAATGACATAAATAGGATACCCGTGATGCTCAAAAAAGCAAGTCGACGATCTCATATGACCATCAACACTAAAGCTGGCCGGGACGACCTCGTCAATCAATCAATCAATTTTTCAATTACCCAAGCATCTAAATATACCTGAACAGCTTACGTGGGGTGTTGGCCTAAAGCTTCGCCAAACAAGGCGGGACTGGCCGGCAGATCGGTGGCCGGGAACTGCCGACGTCCCGCAGCCCGGGGATGCCAAGTATGCCGACCGTAAGAGTCCAAAAAAAATGCATGCACTTGGCCAATAGGCTTGACAAAGCAAAAAGTGAAGCACCGAGGGCGATTTGAACGCCCGACTTAGGACACTGCAAATCCTCACTCTACCCCTGAGTTATCGGTGCTTGTTATAAAATTGGTCTGAAGTTGATGATATATCAAGTTTGAGCGTTGAAAATAACTTGGAAGTCAAGCAGCAGCCCTAACACCCCGAGTTTTCCCGTCAGCCCTGGATAACCTGCGAAATACTAGTACTAGACAGACTATTTGATTTGATTATTAATATTTTACACCAGAGTATTCTTTTTATTCAGCGAAGGAGAGTCAGTGAGCACTAATCTAGGGAGGCCAAGATCGGCCTGACTTATTTCATGCATGATGCTATACTCCGGGTTGGAAGATGAAGCAAGGCTAAAGTCGGGTTTGACCATGCCCTCCTGTAGGATTATTAGCTGGTGTTACTGTTGTACTTGCTACAAGACGCTCTACTTAAGTAATTACTTAAGGGATGAAAATAGTGTTCATTGAGATTCAAGTTCTTCAAATTCCGCTCCCATACAGAATATTCTCCAGGCTAATATACAAGGGAGAAAGGGCTGGCTTCCAAAAAGCCAATTGTAGTAGATAAACGTCTCGCAGTACCTGATACTCCTCGGCTTTATCGTGTTCAAATTATGGGCAGCGATACTCATAGACGGATATGAGCTAACAAGAGCGGGAAGTTGGCTAAAAGTAATCTTCGGAGATTACATTTCAGCGGCAAGCGACATGCCGCTGCTGGAAGCATTCTCGGTAATCTGAGACCACTCCGTGGCAGCGAGCTGATTCATTGTCTCGTATGGCCTGGTCAAAGTCATGACCAGCGTTCCGATTGTTAGCCCCTCTTGTGAACGGTTGGAATTGACTATTTCTCGAGCATTCCCTAGCTAGATCACCAGTGACCTGTCGCACCCACTCTAAATGACTATCCGGCTGTTCTGATGTCTTTTCCTGTATTGTCAGCATCATCCGGAAGAGGATTATCCTGGGGGTTGATAACTTCAGCAGTCATATTTACAAATAAAGGTTCTTCGTCTGTAATGATAGTCTGACCCGTCACGACCCTCCCATAGTCATTGATAGTACCATCACTATAATCATCTCCCTTGAAAATATTGTTCTTGCACCGTCTCTGATAGTCGGGAGCGGATTCTAACTCCGCATCGCTAGGCCAGAACGGCCAGCGAACACGTCGAACAGGCTTTGGAGCAAAAAGGATCAATTCTTCATGGATCTGCGATATTCCAGGTCTTTTAGAATGTCTCTCTGAAAAGTCGTTGCCATTCAGAGGAGCATGCTCGAGTTCAGGGCGAAGATCTGGGTCACCGGGGAGAAGCTTTGTCCAAAGCGGGCGAAATCTCTCATCGCGGATCTGGTAGTACTGAAGTACAGCCTTTGCGACGTTTCCGTAAGTCTCGCCACTATCAACCAACCTCGTCACGCGGTTATTCATGTGTGCGTCCGTTTGGTAGAGGACCTCAACGAGAAAGATTCCCATCTGGCTGGCAGGAACTTTTTTCTCGACCCACCATCGGAGGATCTGCATCAAGATCAGGACCTTGCTATAGGTCCACACAATAGAGGCTTCCTCAGTAGCTTTTTTTTGAGACACGGAGTCTAAATCACTCCCCTGCTGTCCGTGTATGTTAGTTTCCAATCGGATCAAGAGCAACGACAACGACTTACCTCGCTCATCTTTCGCTCGCACATTTTCACACTCCTACTTGTGTTTGTTACTTTTACTTGTATTGTTTTGCTGGCTGTCCAGTCAGGTAATCTCTTGATTCGGAATGGGGAACCATGGCATTTATGGGTGATTTATACCTTTGGCCAGGTTGGGCGCGCATTGTTCATTCAAGTTGTTGACAAAGAGTCTCAGAATAGATCAAACTGCATGAAAGTCGACAAAGAAAAAATAGAATTACTTGGTAAATGCCTTTAACTTCGCGAGCAAAGGATTATGATCATTGTCTAGCAAAGAAATTAAAATAGTTTGGAGTGGTGGTGGTGGTGGGTCCGGGGTCTTCGACACTCTGGCGGTACTCGCCCAGGACATCGCAACACACAGCAAGACCCAGGATAATCCCATCTGTTCCAACTATCCTACAGAAAGTACTAGTAGGTATTCTAGTAGCTACCCACCTAAAATCTGCTCCGTTTGCATGTGTTTGCCTCAGGCTTAAGGCCTACTTGCCTTCAGACACCCGCGCCATTCACTGGCCGACCACTGGCCAATCACAGGCATTTCCTTGCACGTATATAGATCGCTCCTCTCACTTCTCTCACTTCGTCTTTCGCTCTCCGCACGGCTTCCTTTCCCAAGGTTTTCGTTGTGGCCCTGGGGGATCTTTGACTACCTCTCCAAAGGTTGTCTTCTGTGGGCGTTGGCTGAAATGGCAGGATCCAAAGACCTGACCCAGTGGTGCGGTGCCTTGGAGACTCTCCCGCACTCGAGTCCCAAAACAACAGGCTTGCCTGTCGTGGCGGGAATGTCCCAGCTTTGAATCCCGGAAGCTGGTGTACAGGGGAAAGGGACTACTGGGGGGTGGGTGGGAATCACCGTCGTCGAGGGCGCATACTCGTCCCTTCGGGGGCCTCAACCGATCGCACTCATCGAAAGGTGCCTGACATCTGCTTGTATCCCCGCCGCGCGAAAGATTGTTCCCTGAGGTTGATCCTGTCGGGCCGAATTTCCTAGCCCCGTGGAAGGAAGATGTCCAGCGATCCAACCAAAGAGTTGCCTTAAGACCGCGACGGTGGAAAAAGACGGAAAGCCTTTGGCTTTCCTCGAGGTGAGTTAACTTGATCTTCCTACTTCATTTTGGGCCTGGATAACTACTAATTCGTGTATGCATATTCAAACATTCTCCATCTCCATCTGTGCGCTCTCATCCGGAGAAGGCCCAGTTGGTGGTGGAACGAGTCGAATTCAACACAGACATCGTCCCATCAATCTCCCATCCGACGGGGACAGCGTGGCGTGGCAGCGGCGGCAATACCAGTGGAAGGTCTTCGTGGCATGGACTTGAAATGGGAAGCTGGCGGGTGTTGAGAGTGATTCATGTATATTAGAAACCTCAACGGCGAGCTTAGGCCGTCTGCGACTCCGAGTGGAAGAGGTCCTTCAAGGAGCTGGCAAGCAGAGTATAATAAATCTCTCTCTCTCTCTCTCTTTTCCAATGTTCTCTCTCTCTCTGTGTGTAGCATCAGAATGTAGAGGAATGCCTCGTGGCTTTGAAAGTGACCTCTTGTTACCTGTATGCATTACGCAACTTGATAAAAGCCAAAGAGTCGTCAGGACCATGAAACTAGTTTCTACAGTGGTGTTGCAAAATTTTGAAACCCCTCGACTTGTTCTCGTCTTCGCCTTCTAATCACGAACGAGTAGCTATTTATTCCATCTTAGGTAGCTACTAGTCTGCCGTTTGAATGCGGTCAATAATGGTGGGCAATAGGAGGTTTCAGACTTTTGCAACGCCACCGTAGGGTAACCTGCTTGAAATTGATTATAGATATGTCATTAGTTATAGTTACACGCTCGTACCCGTGAGATAAAATGCTGATTAAAATACATAAGAATCGCCCTCGAAAGAAGAATGGACAGCCGACATCAACAGGCCGAAAGCAGGGTATATGCGCACGCTATGAGAGGCTGAGCGGAGGCGTCAACGGAAGTGTAGTATGTAAAAACAAGGGAAGAAGGGAAAGACGAGATGTATCATGCATACACGCATGCACACACATACGCATGTCTGCATCCACTCAACTAGAGCCACAAAATCCACCTCGCACTGGAAATGACTCCGCGGGAGACACCACGCAAGAGTTTGAACGCCATGACGATCAACCACACCCACCACAAAACACCGACCAGCGTCCACTCCAGCACCACGAAGCCAGTCCGACGTAGCCAGCGGAATCGGCGGCGGCGCTTTCGAAGACCACGGTCTAGCGCGTCACTGAGTGATTTCACAGCAAGTGTGCTTGTGGTGTTCAGCTGGACGCACATGTCCTCTGCATCGTCGGCTGTTGCTCGGACGCGTGGTGTGAGGGACTGATTAACCAAGGTCTCGAGTTCCTTGAGTTGAGAGCGGAGAGGGGTCGAGGTGGATGTAGTGAAATGATGCATCGATTGCTGGAAGGAATATTGGGTGTTTTCGAAGCGGCGGAGGAGATTTTGTGCAGCGAGGTCGAACTCGCCGATCCGGACGACGCGGGGAACAGATGCGTTGGGGCCGAAGGCATTTTGAAGCCAGTGTGGAGGTGGTTCACGAACGCTGTGGGCTCGTCGCGTGATCTCTCGTGCTTTGATACCGGAGGATAAGAGGAGGGCTCGAGTACGTTCCACTTCTGTTTTGCCGGGGACACCGGAGTCATTGAGTGTGTGCAGACTGCGGTCTGATATACTCCACGCGCGAGTTGCGCTTGAAAGGGCGGGTCGTCCGCCATTTGAAGGCCCTGGTGAGGCTCTCGCTTGTGCGAGGCCAGTTACAGGTGGTCGAGTGAGACTGAAGGGGACGGATTGGTCTCTGATGCCATGTCGCTTCGCGCGGCTGCGGTTTAAACCCAGTGTCGGACTGAAATCCAATGTTCTGCTTCGAGTGAGACCGGGCCTTGGTGGGGTATCTTGATCATCTTGTTTCCTGAACGCGGAAGTGCGCTCGCGTGGGCTAGTGCCATAATCAGTGGCATCGGCCGATTCATTGCGCTCATCTTGTCTCAAAGGCGACGTGAAACTCGGCAGTGACCCGATGAAGCTCCTGTTAGGCGTACCCTTATCAGAGTCACGGCGAACAAGCCGGCCGGGTTCATCGCCAAGGGTTGGCAAGCGTCGTAGAAGTCCCTTCGGTCCATATCGTCTGTCCGTTTTCTTTCCATCATCCTCGGAGTCGCTGGAGTCTGAAGCAATGGTGGAGGCAGATGATGACTTGCGAGAATCCACGCCCTGGTCTTTCTTGAATACAAGATCGCCAACCTTGGAGACTTCGTTGCCGACAAGCTCAGCTATCCGGCCAGGTCCTTTGAAAATGCCGCGCAGCTTGGATTCTGGGAGGTGCTGGCCTTTTCTTCCTCTGGGGAAACTGTCACCCCGTTGGCCGTCAGTCATACCATGCTCGTCAAAGTACGAGGAGGATACAACGTCTGGGAGTGGACTAGGCTCCAGCTTCGATGAACTCGCGGCGTGCTCAGCATACTCGGAAGGTGGTGTCAAAGCATGATGTGATTCAGATATCACATCTAGGCTCTCGTCTTCGTGTTCTCGAAGCTCCCTATCACCATTTCTGCTCTTACTCCGCTCATGCCGGGCCACAATCTTCTGTCGAAGACCCTTTTTGGCTGGCGAGGGGGACCGACTGGAAGGTGGAGATAGATTGACAGCTATGCTGGGGAAATAACTGGCATTGGCTGGAGAATTGGGAGCGGTGCTATCCATTCCTTCCATCGACATTCTGGGATTGATTCGATCATCGATACTGCCGGCCGAAGAGAACGACGCTTTCCGGTGCGGGCGATTTGATTTCGTATTAATGGAGAGAGGGTCGGGCAAATTGGACTTGGTCTTTTCGAGGTGCAAAGCGGCTGCTGGCGATTTGCCCCGAGATACCCGCGAACCCGAGGAGTTTCCTTTGTCTCTTTCCGTAGATAACTCTGTGCTTTTGCGTGTGTGATCCCAAATTCGATGTTTGCGCTCCGAAGACTTGCGCCGGTCAGGACTAGAATCACTTGAAGCACTGCCCGAGCGTAGCCGCACCTTATCCCAACGCGAATGCTTGGGCGAGATAGAGCCGCTTTGGCTCCGTGCACCTTGGGAGTGGGTATGGAATCGGCTTCTGTTGCGGCCCCGTCTAACGCTTTTGAACTCGTGTGATTGTGCAGGCCGAGAGCTTGACCACGAGGTATGACGCGATGACTGCCCTTCTTCTTGGGCATGTCCGGTTTCAACTGACAATCGTTGTTTTTCTGCACCGGGGTCTACCACCTCTAGCTCGGTCAAATCCGGGTAGAGCCGATTGCCATCTTTATCGACAATCTTCGTCTTGTTTTCAATATCTTCTGCCCAGGCTGCATCGGCCAAAAGTTCCTCTGGGGTAATCCTCCAATCCATGCGTAGCCGAGGGGCCTTGGTACTGTTGGTGCGGCTGACGCGTCGTAGACTGGTGGAAGGGGAGGTAGTCGCATCCCAATCTTCATCCTGGCAATGAGAGGCAGTTCTTTGGCCATGTTGAAAAGAGGGGAGCTTGACGGACTGTGTTGAGTCGAGTGTTTTGTGACTATATTTATTCTCTATGGCGCTGACCCAGTCGTGGACTTTCTCAACGTTATGCCAACCCTCTGCCGCCGCGTCAATCGGGCACTTTTCTCGATAGCGGACCCTCCTGTTGCGAATCATTTGCAGTGGATTATAGTCTCGGTTCGCGGATGCAGTGGCGGCCATGGAATATGGAGAGTCAATCTCTTTCGCAGCTGGAGGAGTTCGAAGCGGGGGTAAAGATGGTAGCAATCGCAAGTATTGATCAAACAGTTCGAAATGACGCCGAGCTCGTTCTGCGCGAGCGAGAGTGCTCTCGGAGAACTCATAGGCACGGTGGTCGTTCCGCACAGTGGCGGGTAATAAACTGATAACTGGAGATTGGCCAGGTTTAGGCGAAAGGTCATTCGTAGATGATTGTTTATAATCGTGGTGTGGAGAATCCCTTTGAGACCCATGTGCTCCCGGCAACGGCATGTGATGACCGATCGGCCCTGGAGCTGGTTGAGCTATAGACAATGGTTTCCGTCCGCCTGAAGCCAATGGCAGTCCGGATGTATTCCGCCTTCTGGACTCATTAAGGTTCAATGCCAGGTTGACAATTTGTATAGAGTCCCTATCCAACCCCGGCGCAGCCTGCTCGGCAGTGTCGTTTGGGCCGGACCCAGTTTGCGACGAGGTTCTAGATTGTCGGTCGTGGTTGGACAATGTCGAAGCCTGCTCATTGTGTGCTGGAGCTGAGCTGGCAGCAGCAGCGGTCGGCGGCTCAGAAGGCGAGTTCTTATGTCGACTCCACGGGAAGCGCGATCGCTTCTTAGCTACCACGATATCGGGTTCGGGGACGCTTCGTTTCTCCGTCGGTGACTCTGATGACCTAGCGTGGTGCATGGGAATTCTCAAGCTCTTTGAACGAGGTAATGAGTCCAACAAGAATCCACCAGAGCTTTGGTTCCTTCGCTGAGCGGGAGTCCTTCGATCCCCGTCGCGAGAGCCACTCCCCAAAGTACTCCCCTCCAGCTCTCCACTCGGTCGACCATCGCTCACTGCGACTCCCCCTCGCCGGTATGAGCCACCATCTGAATAGTTCGCTGGAGAGTTGTGCTTCTGGGGCGTCTCGTGTGGGGTATCACCTGTCGGAGGCATTGGATCTCACGCTGTTGAGCTGTCGGGGCCGGGGAAAGGGCGGGAGAACTAGATGGCCACGCCCGTCAAGGAGGCAATAGGCATTGCCAGTCAATGTCATACAAGCATGGGTACTGGCAGAGGGTATCGATTTCGCACAAAGAGCAGGAGAGGTATAAGTTCCGTGTCTGGAAGTCGAACGACGTCAACCCGGCTGCTGATCTGCGGAGTTGCGCGTCAGGCAGCGGGGCTTATTAAGCACTTTCTTTAGGTGCAGATAGTTTATTTCCCTGCAGAAATGCAGAAAGTGGAGGACCATAGTGATTAATTCCAAGGTTGATTGGATTCAGATACTTTTGATTTCCCTTGGCAGAGGAGTCACTGTTCCTGATATGCACGATTTCCAGCAGGGCGGAGCCAGCTTAGTTAGAGAACAGCGCGCTCTACAAGAACCAATCTATCACGACCCCAGGATTTCACCATTGAACAAAGGAAAGATTCTAGCATTTGGGTCTAAAGCAGAAAATACAACTAGAGGTACATTCCTGTAGACATGACGAAGATATACAGGACAAATTGAAATCAGCATCGCTCAAAATATGCGCTTACTCCACGCGCAAGCATTGGAGACGGGCCTGAGTCTCAATGACCTAGACATAAATGTTAGAATCTGTGCTGTGAAAATCAATCATGGCTGTTGTACTCACCTCAAGAGCCTGCTTAACTTCAAGAACCCTTCGCACATCACCCAACCAATCCTTGCTCAGGATCTTAGCCCATCCCTGCAGACCGTTCATCTCACGGGCAGCAGCATCAACCTTACCCTCCTCGAGAAGGTGCTCAGTACGGATGAGAATGCTCTCAACATCATCACCCTCGGGAAGGCCCTCCTTCTTGAACATGACCTTGCTCAAAACCATGCTGGCAGCGTGGCTGGCGATACCGGCGTCCTCAGGCAGAAGGCTAGCCTTGCGGACCTCACTCGCGACACGACGGAAACGCTCAATGATCATGGTAGTCGAGGGGATACCGCGCTGGTAAGCGGTGGGGTTGATAGAGGCGATAGCGGCCTCGACAACGGGGTCCTCGGCAGCCAGCTCCTTGACAGCGACCAATTCGCGAACGAAGGGGCGGGGGACCTCGGCGCGCTCAAGAGTAGAGCGGACAGCGTCAACAGCAACCTGGAGTTGCTGGGTCTTCAGGTTAGTGTCGATGACGTTGCTCCAGCCGGTAGTCAGGTTCTCCAACTCAGTGACGCTGGCGGTCAACTCGTTCAGCTTGCTGAGACGGCCCTCGCGCTCACGCTCGACCAGACCCTGGACCTCGTGGATGTATTTGCGATTGAGCTCGATAGCCTGCTCAACGAGCTCGTTTTGCAAGCGCTGCTCGGCAAGTTGCTGTGCGCGTTGAAGCTCTGTGTTGATCTTCTCCTGGTAGGCGCCGGCCAGCTTCTCACGCTCAGCCTCGAACTCCTCGCGGAACTGAGCGACCTCGGTCTCGCGCATTTCCTCGAATCGGCGGATCAGCTCCCGTGCGGACTCATCAAAGGTGGTGTGAGCCTTGTTGATCTCGTCCTGGGCAGCCTTGGCGGCCTCGGTGCGAATAGCACTGATCTTCTCGCCAATCTTAAGCAGCTCCTCCTTAGCCTTGGCGACAGGGGCAGAGTACTTGCTGGGAGTTCTCGTCGGCGCTGATCACAGTAACAATGTCATTGAAGGTCTTGACCAGCTCCTGCACAACACCGTCGTCACCAGCCTGGGTCTGCAGCAATTCAATGGTGCTAGAGGCAACAGCAGGCTGGCGCGGCTCATCGAGAGAGACGGGCTTCTTGTCCTCCTTCTTGGTATCATTGGAGGCCTTGTCCTCCTTTGCCTGGATAACAGCGGCATTCTTCTCCTCGGGCTTGGCGGCCTCGGTCTTAACCTGAGCATCATGGGCCTTGGAGCTCATGTGAGGGCCACTCTTGGAGACATCACTGCCAGACTCCTCCTTGGTGACATTCCAAGACAGGCCGCTCTTGCTAGGGATTGTGACGGACTTGCCCTCGTCGCGGGGAGCACCCTGGATGCGGTTGGACTGTCGGGAAGCGTTGGGGAATCGTCGGTAGAAGTCACGCTCCTCGAAGTAAAGCACGCACTCTTCGCCGTAAGGGACGTACTCGGTGAAGAAGTCGTGGAAGTTATCGGACTTGAGAGCCAAGAAGATGCTACCACCATAAGCGAAGCCGGAGGTCAAGATGAGGTAGAGCAGGAAACGACGGAATCGGCCAGTCTTGCGAGGCGCAGTCGCGGGCGAGGCAGGAGCAGCCTTGGATTCTGAATAATCTGGATTAGCCTATAGCCGGAAGAGATTCGATGACGAAGAGATGCTGGTGGATACCTTGGCTGGCGGGCTTAGGGATGGACTCGACAGGAATGGCGGACTCAGAGGAAGGGGTGGCAGGGGTGGGAGGCTTCGAGTCGGCGAAGAATCGCTATAGAGACAATGGACGTTAGCTGAGATTGAAGTTGGTGGGTGTATTGGTAGCGTGATGCTCTTTCGTACCTGACCCGAGAGCCGGCTGCTGGCACCGGCCTTAGACAGCCATTGGGAGGGGATCCGTTGGCGAGCAGGGGCCGACAGCAGCTGCCGACCCGGAGCAATTGAGGAGCGCAGCATGACGAGCCGCACAATCGCCGAGGGGAGTGTTTGGCAACGGATGTGTAGAAACGGGGAAGTTCAAGTTGGAGGTTCGGTCGCGATCCGCCCCGATGATCCTGCAGGCGGTCAGTTCAGTCGGGCTGGCCAGTCCCGCAAGAATGGGTACTAAGGGTAGCTATACTACTATATTAGTACTTTCAAGTTGGAATTGAATATTAAAACTAGTAATAAGTAGAAATTCTAGTAGTTTATTTGCATTACTATAAGCTTTTGAGGGGTTGGAGGCTCTGTGTAGACTAGTAGTTGATACTAGTAGTAGCCCTGGAAGTAGGTAGTAGCCACCGGAAATATATAGTACTGCAGCCGAACTTGATACTACTACTAGTACTACCAGGTACAACCACTGGCACCATACAAAAGACTCGGACTCACCAGGTTGTTGAAGTGCCTCAGGCTACTGGTCCTGCCACTCGTACTATGGCCACCAGGTCAGCTGCAGTCTGAGGTATTGATTAATCCAGGTGATCCATATAGTATACTTGAAATTGCACCCTGCTAACTAGTACCAGCATTCATTAGTGTATAGTATTACTAGTAGGACCCAAATCCTAAAATAAAACCCCTTAAATAGATACAATTTGAAGAAATGTATTATCTGAGCATAGCATACTGGAAAAAGAGTCTGACAAAAGGAGGACGAACGGAGGGTAATACGTGGGGGGATTTAGTCCAACAGAATCAGGTAAAAAGCATATGCTGACGCCGGGTTGAAAAAAGGAAAGAGGTACAAGGAAAGCGGAAAGAAGCGCAGGCGAGTCCTGCAACAGCATGTCTAAAGCCAAAATTCCAGATGCGTTGGTGGAGAGATGCCGAATTCTCCGATTGACGGTAAGCCGGCGCACCCATCAGAGAAGAGCAAAGGACCAACAAACGAGAAATAAATCCGAGGAGAATGACCAGGTGGATGGCGAGCCGACAGAGTTATCCTGGCATTGGGGTGTAATAAGGGCAAAACAGAAGGGATGGTGATAACCATTGCAACCGAACAGTCACGCTGGCCGTGCCCGGGTTCGGACCGCACGTGCGAATGGAGAGGATGTTTCGGATCACCGGATAGCAATTCGGGGATACTCAAAAGTGATAATTTAGCAGTTGCAGGCACCGGCACCCTGAGTGCCCGGGGCCTCGGGCCGGAGGTCGACACCGGGTCGCGGGGCTGTCCTCAGGTTCCGTGGGCCAGCCTGGTCGAGGGGCAGCTTCTTGGCGATGGCTGTGAACAACTCGCGCACATTCGTCGAGGATTTGGCGGAGGTTTCGAAGAAGAGGAGGCCAGCCTCACGGGCGTAGGCCTCAGCGTCGGCGGCGGAAATTGCTCGCTTATCGGGGCTTTCGGTGACGAGATCGAGCTTGTTACCCGCCAGGGCAATCACAATGTTCTCATTTGCTTGTCGTTGAAGCTCCTTTACCCAAGACTTGGCTTTATCCAGAGACGACTATAGACACGGAAAAAGTGATTAGCTAGATGTGTCAATGGGAAAGCAGTCGCAAAGGTCGAACATACAGCCTGAGTGATGTCATAGACTACGACGGCGCAATTGGCATTCCGATAATACATCGGGGCCAACGACTTATATCTTTCCTGGCCAGCCGTATCCCAGATCTCGAACTTGACTGTGGTGCTCTCATCGAGGGCGATGGTCTGTGTCAGGAAGGCGGCGCCGATTGTGGACTCGCGGTAATCGTCGAATTGATCCTGAGCAGCAGCAACAACAACAGTTAGTTGAGCGATTCCTTGGTGACGAAGTCTGGCTTTGTTGAACAAGACGAATCGAGTGCGCCCATAAAAAACTCACCTTAACGAATCTCAAGACGAGGGAGCTCTGGATAGCGGTTAGGTTAGCTCTTGATAAAGGATGAAGCCAGCTGGATCTCGAACCTTTCCGACTGCGGATTCTCCTATAAGGACGGTTAGTGATTAGTTACTGTTATCCAAAAGTTCCGAGGGAAACATCGTCCAGAGATCACCTACCGAGCAAGACAAGCTTGAACTGAGCGAATTTCGCCCCGGGGCGGGCTCCTGCTGCTGGTCGGGAGGCCATGGCCGGATCGGGGAGGCGACTGGAATGAAAGGGGTTGAAGAGTTGAGATGCAAGAGGCGGATGAGTTGTAGGCGGCGAGATTGATCGGGAGGGAATAGTCCTCAAGAGCAAAGGGCGTCGAGGGGGAGGTTGTAGATGGAGAAGTTCAGAGTTCAAGTTCAGAAGGTCAGGCGGCGCCTGACGCAGTTGGCAGAGCGCCCCGCCGTATCACCGCCTGCCGCAGGCAGTACAATTATGAGGACTACTCGTGGTATAAGTATACAGTGGAGATAGTCAACATTAGTAGCAGTACTATATTCTCTTATTTAAATTTATTAATTGTAAAAAAGTTGTTAAATATCTTGTATTAAATATAAAATCTCTTCTGCGCATATATTGCATACTCTTATATTGGAAACACTTCTAACACTGCTACTAGTAATACTCTCGGCCCAGCCTGTGCCTGTGCCTGGCCCAACTGCCCGCGGTCGATCATGTGTCCTGAGATTATGCCATCGTTGCGCTTCCTCCTTTCCCCCTCCTCCCCCCTAACACCGTTCCTCATACCCATTTCTTTCCTTCTCTCTTCCTGGGTTGTCCTAATCATGGCTCCCACTCTGATCCCATTTAGGGATATCAATTTACACGCCTCACCCTCCCATTATGCCTTCACCTCACCCTCATCTCCCCAGGCTCCAACCCTCGTCGTGGACAGGCCGACGGGCGACCTGCGCTTGAATGATGGCCCCCTCTCGGGCGCAAAGCGCATTTCAAGTATTGCCGGAATTTTGGGGATTCTGAAATTGAAGCTGGGTAAGTTGCGACAAGCTCCGATTGCGATTGCGATTACCATGGCGATGTGGCCACCCCAAAACCTTGTGCTAACCACAATAGACAAATACATCGTGGTCATCACCAAGGCACAGCCCATGGGCCGACTGCGCGGCCACATGGTCTACAAGGTCGCCGCTACTGAATTCCTACCCATGCGAGAACGCCCTCTCCACGATCGAGATGAAGACACCTACATTGCGCTCGTTAAGGAGCTACTCCGAACCGGCCCCATGTACTTTTCCTACTCCCTCGATCTCACCAACAGCTTCCAACGTCAATCGCAAGGCCCCGCCAACACCCCCATGTGGAAGGGCGCTGACGATCGATTCTTCTGGAACCGCTTTATCCAGTCCGACCTGATCAACTTCAGCCTGGGACAACAAGAGACCAGTGGCGTTCGCTATGGCCCGCAGCCGGGTGTCGACCCATACATCCTCCCGGTCATGTTTGGCATGATGCGCATCACCCCAGCCCGTGTCAAGTCAACCTCTTTCACATTCGCCCTGATCACTCGACGATCCAGACACCGTGCTGGAACTAGATACTTCTCCCGAGGAATCGACGAGCAAGGCAATGTCTCCAACTATAATGAAACAGAGCAGGTTGTTATTTTGAATGATGCTACAGGTGGACTTTCAGGTTTCGCTGGAGGCCAATCGATGGCCAATGAGAAGACGCCCCAGGACCTTCAGGTGTACTCATTCGTTCAAACTCGCGGAAGTGTTCCTGTATTTTGGGCCGAGGTCAACAATCTCAAATATACCCCTAAGCTCCAAGTGCGGGGAGTCGAGACTGCCATCGAGGCTGCTCGCAAGCATTTTACGGAGCAGATTCGGCTGTATGGAGAGAACTATATGGTCAACTTGGTCAACCAGAAAGGCCGCGAGGAACGCGTCAAAAACGCCTACGAACAACTGGTCCGACTCCTGATTTCCTCTCCCAACGAACGTACCGAGGCTGATAAAAGAACCCCCGAAAAGATGCATATCTTGGAACCAGGTTCGAAGCAAAAAGAGATGGATCGTTTGCACTACGTGTATTTTGATTTCCACAACGAGACCAAGGGTCTGAAGTGGCATCGCGCCGAGTTGCTCATGGGTCGACTAAATGATGGACTGAATCAAGGTGGCTACTTCCGTGGAGTTGAGCATCCAGGATCGCCTGGCGGACAGTTGGATATCCGTTCGACTCAATCCAGTGTGGTCCGAACCAATTGTATGGATTGCCTTGACCGAACCAACGTGGTGCAAAGCATGCTTGGCCGTTGGGCCGTCACTCACCAGCTCATTGACGCTGGTGTTTTGCGCCACGGTGAAACAGCAAACGACGATCGCGAGTTTGAGGATCTGTTCCGTAATATTTGGGCAGACAACGCTGATGTCGTGTCCAAATCCTACTCTGGTACCGGTGCTCTAAAGACTGACTTCACTCGTACGGGCAAACGCACACGAGCCGGGGCCCTTCAAGATTTAAACAATTCCATCACTCGATACGTGCGAAACAACTTCCTAGATGGCCCCCGCCAGGATGGTTTCGATGTTTTCCTGGGTACCTACCTCCCATCTGATACACTACCATCGAGCATTCAGATGTTCCTGGACCGGAGACCGATTGTGATCCAAGCTATCCCTTATGTCTACTTGGCGAGTTTGTTTTTGGCCCTCCTTGCTCTATTCACGAGACAGTCACCCGATTCATCAGCCTGGCCGCTGCGTCTGTTCATGGTATTCTGGCTCGTCATCACCGCCTACTGCTTTCGCTTTATGTTTGAGCATGGTATGCTCTACGTGAACTGGCCCAAGCTCAATACTCCTGTTGCCGGCGCCGAGGGCTTCCAGGATGCTATGATCAAGGCACGCACCGACCCTGTCATTGGCCAGTGGCTCCCGTCTAAGAGACACCAACGTGGTGTTAGCAATGCCCGCCTGGTCTTCCTTGAGGAAGGAAAGACTAGGGTGGAATAAATTCGCTTTTTTCTCACGCTCAACCCCCCCACCCTTTTTTATTTTTATTTTCACCTTTTGAACTCCAATACTCTACACAACCCTTACACTTCATGGCTGTATGTTTTAACTACAATTGCTTCTCTACAGGCTCCTACTCACTAGCCGTTTTCATTTTCATTTGTTCCCTTCTTTCTCTGCTGGCATTGCCTTGCTACCTATCGCTGCATGATACATTTTTACTTATCGTGGGAGACCACGTCGGGGGTGGTGGCGTAATTTACAATTAAATTCGATGCTGTATATTTTTCATAATCCAAAGTAGCACTAGTAGCACTGGCAGTGTTTTGATGACTGTTTCTCTCTACTCTGTCTGTACTCTGTCCCATACCCTAGTTAACTACTTCCCATCCTAATAGTTCATGTTAGTTCAGATAAGCTCCACCGTAGATAAGGCAATGCACGTGATATTCCCGCAGACCGAACGGTTTCCCGAGGAGAGCGGCACGTCGGGAGAGCACAACCAGACAACCTTATATCTTTGAGCCGCCGGGGTTTCGTTGCGATTATCCCCCGCCTGCTCATTTGAATCTTGCAGGCAAGGGTCTCCCTTGTCCATGAGAGGGATTTGGACGTCTCTTCGCTGGTCCAATCCACGGCGGCGAGTCTCGACTCACTCGCCCGCCATGGCTCGCTCATATGAGGTATGCGTTCGAACTCTGGGCCAGCTCTGTAGCAAGCATGTTATGAGGACAAGGCTTGCGCGGTCTATTGATCAACCTATCTAACATCTATTGTGCCTTAGGCTGCCATTACGGCGCTCAATTCCTTGCAAACAAACTATGCTATCGTCGAGGAGCTTCGGCGGTCTACCTCTCGGCAGGAGATAAACGAACGCTCATTGCCGGAGACGGTTGAATGGCTTCGTCGCATTGGGTATACGGTTTGTACTCCTCGTTGCCAGCTGTCCTAAAAGGGTATCTTGGATTCATGGACTGACGTTGAAGCTCCCCCCGCGCCGATTAGCCCTCCGACCTCAATCAATTAAATGCCGTCCACGTCGCAGGCACCAAGGGCAAGGGCTCGACTTCTGCTTTTATCTCCTCCATCCTCTCCCAGTATACCGAAACCTCACCCGGCCTTCACAAGATCGGTCTCTACACCTCCCCGCACCTCCGATTTGCGCGTGAGCGCATCCAGATCAACAATGCCCCGCTTTCCGAAGAGCAATTCGCCCTCTACTTTTTCGAAGTCTGGGACCGCTTGGAGAATTCCGCTAAGATCGCAGGCGAGGACCCTACATCACCGGAGACAAAGCCCCAATATTTCCGTTACCTGACGTTGATGGCGTTCCACACATACTTGAGTGAGGGTGTAAACGCCTCGGTGATCGAGTGCGGTATCGGAGGACAATACGATTGCACCAATGTGATCGAGAAGCCCAAGGCGACCGCAATCACCAGTCTCGGAATTGACCATACTGCATTGCTCGGAACTACCATTGAACAGATCGCGTGGCATAAGGGTGGTATCATCAAGTCTGGTGTGAGGGGATTCGCCGCTCCTCAGCCCCCGAGTGCGAAAGAGGTATTGGCCAAGCGGGCTGAAGAAAAGTCCACAAAGCTGGACATTATTGCTGATCATCCAGATCTCCGTCCTGGCACTAGCCAAGTCAAGCTCGGATTGGCGGGTGACTTCCAGTATACCAATGCATCTCTGGCAGTTGCAACAGCAGCAGAGGTCTTGAGAAAGACCGGAGTCGCCGACATCTCTGAAAATGTCATGTCGGAACCCCTGCCAGCCAAGTTTACGACTGGCTTGGAGAAGACACGCCTGGGTGGCCGCTGTGAGACTCGATTCGAAAAGAACGTTTCGTGGTATATTGACGGTGGTCACACGCTGGAAAGTATTCGACTGGCCGGCCAGTGGTTTGCCTCCCGAATCCAAGCGGACTCGTCCTCCAGCGACATTGCCACAAAGAAGCCCCGAATCTTGATCTTCAACCAGCAAACCCGCAACAGCACTGCTCTAGCACGCGCTCTCCACGAGACCCTGGCCGCAGCACTGGGCGCCGAAGTCCCCTTCACACATGCTATTTTTTGTACCAACATTACCTACAAACAAGCCGGCTACCGACCCGACTTGGTCAGCATGAACACCAACGCAGATGATATCGAACGTCTCAGCGTGCAGAAGTCTCTCGCCGAAGCCTGGAACTCGATTGACCCCCATGCGCAAACGCAAGTCTTCGGTACGATTGAGGAGGCTGTCGACTTTGCGCGGGAGGTGGCTGCAGAGGAACGCAAGGTCCTTCAGAAGGATGAGGCTCCAGTCATGACATTTGTCACTGGTAGCTTGCACCTTGTTGGTGGATTCCTCGATGTGGTCGAGACAAAGCCGTTCGTCGAGATGGCATGATTAGCCGATGACGGATTATGAGGCTTGAATGATTGAATTTACCCGACAGGCGGCCTGGAGCTTCGTGCCCATTCTGGTTCTTGTATCAACACTTGCCATCTGGTTTCAAGACATGGAGGTGGTTATAGAGGTGTTTGTGGATTCAACAATCGAGATTCCTATATAATAGAAAGTACTATTCATAACGGAAATGTCTGATGGTTTATGTAGTAAATATGGAAGATTCCTGTGCGGGGTGAGGATGGCCAAGTTGGTTCCAAGCTTATTGACATAGGCCGACACTAGTCGGAATTAGAAACGCATGCCACTAGTAGTTAGATCGTAAGCGATTAGAACGAGCCCCTCTCTAGATACGGTCTAGAATGGGCCACGTTAAGTGGCTTTCATTGAGACGGGAGATTACGCAGCCAGCAAGGAATGCACGAAAAACATGCCCAGCTAGTTGTACATTCTTCCTATTGGCTCGCAAATACATGACCTACCTGATGAAACATCCAATCAACACAATCGATACAATACAAAATGAGTTGCAGAGGGGGCTTACTTCGTAAGCAACCAGCTCTGCATTCTATACACTAATTAAGAAGCAATAAACCAGGGAGAGTTGAACGCATAAATAGGGAACAATGATCCTCTCTCTTCGAACGAAACCACACTTTACTCGCTCGCATTCTCCCATATAAAAAGCCTTCGAAATTAGACATGCCTTCCTATCTTGTCACAGGTGCCAGTCGTGGTCTCGGAGTTAGTAACTTATGACTATTGACTGATTGAGTTGGGACCGCAATCTAACATGAGATACTCCTAGTTCGAATTTGTTCGGACCCTTGCCGAGGACGAAAATAATATCGTCATTGGTCTTGTCCGTAACAAGGCCGCAGCCGACGCAAAGGCAAAGGAAGAGGCACTGGATAAAGTGCATTTCGTCGAGGGCCAATACACCGACATCAAGTCTCTGAAAGTGAGGAAGTTACCCCGATTCAAATTAAGTATTAGACTGACACCTTAAAGGCAGCCGCAGAGGTGGTGAAAGAGATAACTGGAGGCAGTCTCGACTATCTAATCAACAATGCAGCGGTTGTGTCGCATGTTAGTGAATTCAAGACCTTCGGTGACTTGTACGTGTTGAGTTGTATCGCAATGCCAATGAAGCAAAAAGAAATGCTGACAGGTGACAGTGACGATGATTTCGATGCCATGGAAAAGGATCTTTTAGAATCACTTGAGATTAACCTGCTAGCCGTGATCAAATCAATCCACGCCTTTGTACCTCTGATTCGCAATGGCAAGGGAAAAAAGGTCATAACAATTTCAACAGGAATGTCCGATCTAGACCTGATCAATTCGACCGAAGTGGCCTTCGCCAGTCCCTATGCCATCAGCAAAGGTGCTGTCAATGTCGCGATAGCCAAATACAACGCTCTTTATAATAAAGAGGGTATCTTGTTCCTTGCTATTAGCCCTGGTTATGTGACCACCGAGCGAAACACTGGTAGGCCAAAAGAAGCCCCCGCGGAGAAAAATACTCATGTAGGGAGGCACTGACTATTACGTATAGAAGAACCCTCGCCCGAAGATGCCGAAAAGATAGCAATTCTCGTGAAGAAATTTGTCGAGTATGCACCGCATTTCAAGCGCCCTATAACTCCCAAGGAGTCGGTTACTGCTGTCCTTTCGGTTATGAACAACGCCTCGATCGAACATGGAGATGGTGGCGCCTTTCTCTCACACTTGGGAAACAAACAGTGGCTTTGAAATAAATTGGAATCCTGTGTATGCAATCTAGTACAGAATAGGAGCTACTGCAGCCCCGCTCCTTACCATCATGATACAACTTGAATACCAACAATTCCACTCGTACCCCTCTTTCCCCTCTTCTCGTGAGCTTCTTTGAGTTTAATTTTTCTTTGTCGATCTTTTCTTCCCCGTCCAACTAGCTATTCGAGATCCCCATCTCCACATCGAAATGCCAACAACAAAACAACGAGGCCCTTATCGTGTAGGGCTTCCATCACAGCGGGGGTGTTGGACATGTCGTGGTAGGATGGAGCAGATCCACCATTTTATCTGATTCCAAAAAAATGCGATCCCAGCTCGAGCAAATTCTGACCTCGTATAGATCGGAAAATATCGTGCGACATGCGTAGGCCGGGATGCCGGAAATGCGAAGCATCGACCCGCAGATGCGAGGGCTATGGTCTCCGTTTGAGTTGGCCGGTACAGGGGTCTCGCAGGTCGATTGAACACTTAATTCAACAATATGCGACTTCTAGGCTGAGACGGAGCGAAAGACACCCGCTTTATCAATGCGTTCATGACAGATATCGAGCTGTTTTATCTGCAGGACCCACAGTTGGTTGGTCAGTAATTTACTTGCCCTGATCTTTCTGCTCGGATGCTCGGATGACCGGTGTTTTTAAACTAAACTAACTTTGATGTCTGGTTTTCTAGGAAAATTACCTCGTGATAGGCTGGGGCCTCTTCCACGGTCAAACTTGGCAAAGGCATGGTCAGCTGTAGGTGACGGAAACCACCTGATGACATTTTGTATGTATCGAAAAGCATCTATCCGGTAAATTACTGAGATTGACCAAAAACATCTCTAGTTATGACCACGGTTGTAGGATCAATAACCCTCATTCGAACCGATGGCCATAAGCTCTGGGAACTGTTGTTCAAGCTTTCGTTCTCAGATGATTCACCTGCGTCGATGGCCGTCTTACGCGCAATGTTATCCCTGGCGTACTTATATCGACACGGACATGGCAATGAGGCCCTTCGACTCAAGGTAGCTGCCCTTAGCTCTTTGGGCACAGCCATGAAACAGAATGCAACCGGGACAAGAGAGATTTATCAGCATGTTGCGGTCGGAATGTTACTCTGTGCTTTCGAGGTAAGCGTTTTCTTAAACTCAGCTACTACCCATGCACAAAAGGTTGATGATTTTAGTTATTCTTACCATCGGAGAGCTCTTTCCAATGGCCCTTATATCTATCCGGTGCCAAGAACATGCTTCATAATATCTGTGAAGGCGGACACCCTAAGCTAATGGAGGTTGACCATCTTGTAATCTGGCTACACTATCATGATATCCTGGGCAAGTTTGCATCTCGACATTGGCGAGTTGAGTCAGTGGAAAATGCCTCCCTCTTCAAAGTGCCAGGGCGTGCTTCAACACTGGTTTCATCGATAGCAAATGATCAAGTGAGTTACGAAAGTCCACGCAACTGTTGATGAATTGAATATTGTGCTAACGAGGGTTTGTAGGTCCTCGGGATTTCTGGATGCTCTGTGGAAATGATAGACCTTATTGCTGAGATATCAGAGCTTAGTCTGGATGATACTCAGTACACAGATCAGCGAAAGCTCAATTCCATTGAATATCACTTGATGACGATTGAGCAGGACACAACCTTACTCGGTGAAAACAATTCGGAGGAAGAGGTAGAACACGGGGGTAAGATCTCTCAGCTTTACCGACTAGCAGGGCTGGTTTATTTTGAGCGGGCCTTGAAGAAATCGTCCAATAGTGGAAGACTAACGAGATGGATAACGGAAGCCTTTGAAATAATTGAGACGTTGGACATCTGCGAGCGTCCATTCCCGCTATTCTTCATAGCATGCGAAGCGCACACGGATACCCAGCGTAAAATGGTTCTCTCATTGTTCGAAAAAACCCAACGAAGGTCAAGCCAGCGCAGGATCCATACTATTCAAGGCATGGTTGAGTCAGTATGGGTACAAATGGATCTATCGTCAGATGAGAAAGGGATGGAGTATGTTGATATGTTGAATGCCGTCATGTCTTCTCATGATCAACTACCGACACTAGCATAGAGTGATATTCATTTGTTGGCGCACGACTTCTAGATTTGACCTGAACAAAATTATTTCAGCTTTCATAAAAAATAGGTTAGTATAAGGTAGACCCTGATTATCGCCAATTCTTATTTCCGAGAAATCACCGCTTCGGCCGAAAGTTGGTTTCCCCGGCTTCGGGAGTTCGGGAGTTCGGGCAAGATACCCCAAATGTCACAACACAAACCGATTCGTAAAAATCCCTTCACGTTAATCTAGAAACTGGAAGAGAAAATAATCCAGATCCTCAACAGAATTTGGGTACAAATTTGGTGGATAAAATAGCATAGATGATGTCCGGCAGCGGTTCTATTGAATCCAGCAAGATATCATTCAATTTATCTGCAGCGCGTTTCATTATCCCGATGCCAGAATACCTCCGAAATTAGTTAGCCCCGAAATACAGAATTTTTGAGAATCGGGCGAAATTTGACTAGCTAACCCGACGAGGAAATATCGTTAGGCTTGGACTTTCGTATGTTTTAAATTCTCAAATCAAATTAGCCTGATATTTGTCTCTTCATCCCTTCGTCACTTCAGCGGTAATATCCCAAGGCTTCTCAGTCTAAGATCACCTATTTATCTTAAGTTCGTCTTTAAAGTTTCAGGTACTTGCCCTAGCAATAAGCCTTTCCGTCAAAATCTCTAATAAGGCCGATGCAGCCACTACAATCAAATTTATTTCCCGAGTCTCCGCGTTTGAGCCGGGCCCGATACGATGATCATAACTCGCGGATTTTCCCTGACGAACTTTGTGATAGCAAGCTCGGCCTTTTGCTTTCAAGTTTTTGTCCTGTACCCTTGGCATCACCAATTGGATGATGAATTCAAGCAACTAAAGGCCGATCATCTCCGGCTACTGCAAGAGGGCGAGAGGAACCGATTGGAGGAGCTAAAGAGCATTCGCGAGCAGCTTGGCCTCCTGACAACCAAGAAGGAATAGTGGGCCCAAATTTGAATGGAATGAGTTTGTTTTAAGTGTCTTCAAGTTCTCAGGTGGAAACATCCAGCACTGGAGTTTATGCACAGTATTCTCTGTATTCTAATCCTGTATAGACCTATATTACCTCGATTGAATTTGCTCGATATTTGAATTTATATATGTGAGATATTTAAGTTTGATCACGCATTTCAATTAGTTGAGCTCGAGTATCTTGGTAGTGTTATGATATATGCGCTCTCTACCTAGCAGCGAGTGTTGTGGATAAATTAAATCCAGAGCATAGATCTTCATCGGCAAGTCCTGAAGATTAGACAATTTCGAGAAAGAAGGCCTAACTTCAAGTATATGAAGAAATAGAGAATTCATTGCCTATTTTCTGTACATCCCTACGTGTTTCCAGAAGATCAGAAATGCCATTTTGGAGGTTAGGAAAGTAAATGCAAAACGAAAGTATGCCTTCTTTGGTCGGCACGATTATAGCAAGGTCATTTTTCTCATGTTCTCGCCCAATAATACATTTTATCTTTTCTCTATTTAGCGGTTGTCTTGTATGGTTTTGTCCCAGCTGTTGTTGTTTAGGTTGCAACTTGCCCTCCCTCGTGTCTCTACTGTAAAGTTTGGAAAGCCCGAGGTTTCTCCGTTCAATTCCCCCGCAAATTCGCCCGATAATCCAACCGAGCACCATCACCCCAACTACTTCCTATTCACATTGACTAAATCGTGCAGAGTTCACTTTGATTGATACGTTGCCAGTCAAAGTAATTTATTTCTTCACAAAAGCCCCGGATCGACGTCCACTTGCTCTAAATGGCGAGGCCACGAGCATGTGACGCATGCTCCCTTCGCAAAGTCCGGTGCACAGGGTCACTACCTTGTCCGAATTGTTCAAAGGCCGGGTTCAAATGTTCCTTTAAAAAGACTCCTAGAAAATCGGGACCAAAGGGGCCTCGTCATGCAACTCGGGCTCGTGTGAGTGCCCAGTTACAAAGCCTGGGCAATAAAAGAAACACTACCCCATCTCCTTGCCCGTCACCCTTTGCGCCAAATGAGGGTACTGATTGGAGAATCAGGGACTTTTCGAATTCACCTTTATCATCATCCAATTCATTACATGAGACATGGAAGTTCGCCTTCTCGATACGCGATGTGTTTGCTTATCTGGAGATATACACGCAAAAAATGTACCCAGTGTGGCCGGTCATTGACAGCGATAAGCTGAGTTGCGCCATCAGTGCAGATGAAAATGACCACGAAGCATTTGCGCTAGCTTTCGCAGTATGTGCTGGAACGGGTGCACAGCTGCAACTAAAGTCGACCCTGCAAGAATGGGACGCATTCAATCTCCCAGGGGAAACGAGTCCAATCACCCTAGCGGACAGATTTGCAGCCGAGGCTGAAAAATGTCGGTCCAGATATGACTACCGCGAAAGCTCAACTACCGAGTCTATTTTGATTCCTCTATTTCTTCATTTCTACTACGGAGCAAAGGAGAAGAGGCTGACGGCTTCCTTCTTATTACGAGAATCTGTGTCGCTGTGCCAGATACATGCCTTGGATAAAGAAGAAACCTATCAAAATTTAGACTTTTCAGAGGAAAGCTACAGACGACGTACATTCTGGCTTTTATATGTGACTGAGAGGGGCCACGCAATGCAACATGGAACACCGATATGTCTCACGAAATCCATTTCCCTCCCCTCAAATGAAACTCAAGATTCGCAGCTGTTGGAGGCTTTTCACAGTTTGGTTGAACTATTTGCCTCTGTTGATGGCGTACTAGTGGATTCTGAAGCGGCTTCTGGGAAGCATAATCATCGATGCAGTCGAGAAAGACTTGTTCGAATACAGCATGAACTACGACGAAACGATCAATGGCCCATGGAGTGGAATGAAACCCAAAGGAGTGATGTTTCAGTTACGCAACAATGGTTGAGAATGCTTGTTTGGCAACTTTCTCTCAGCAATGTCACGATGTCAAGCGAGCCAGGAGATGATAGCATGTCATTTGCTTACCCAGCTCATGTATCAAGAGATGCACTACGCTCCATATCAACAGTTTCTTTCGATGCATTGGTTGCACATGGCCCGGGGATGGTAAGTATCAGCAACAACCAAATTCTAGTGCGTTTGTTGGGTGGTAACTAACTCTAATATAGCAAGTTAAAATATGCGACATCACTAATACTCTCCTTGACGTAATGACATGTGTGCATTCACTACCACAGGATATGTTCATCCAAACGCGTCAAATTCTTCACCAATTTTGCTGCTATCTTGCAAAATTAAACGGAAGCCAGGAGGGCTTGGTCCAGATCCGAAAGAGATTGATGGATTCAAATTTGATGCTTGAGCCAGTCCTCGAGCTCCGAGAAATATCTGAACTGCACTACGATGAGGATGAATTGATCAACGACAATGAAAGTATTTCTCATAATGGCCCCCGGGAGGAAAGCAGTTTTTACTAGATTATATTGACTTAAGCGGAAATGCTTTATTCGCCCTTGTGCACCACAAAAGCCTCGAAAGGCCTTAGCATGATGGCCTCTCCTTGGATATCTGTGACTTGAAGCTCTTCATAGTTGCCCACCAGGAGCTTTCCAGCAGCGAAAACCGATTTTACATCTGCTGGAATACTCCATTTCACATTTTCCTCGGAGAAATTTGAGACCACCACAGCTGTGCTCTCCCCAAATAACCTAGCATAGACGAAAAGATCGTCGTTGCTCTCATCAACAAGGGTATATGATCCATAAACAAAAAGATCAACCCACGTCTTTCGAAGTTTCAAAATACCTGCCCAGTAGTTGAAGATACTACTCGAATCAGAGACCTGAGATGACGCGTTCCAATTTTCATAATCATCATTGGTATCGATCCAAGGCGCGGTACTACCGGAAGAGAAATCGGCGAACTTTCCTGGTCCCCACTGCATTGGAAGGCGCCCGTTGTCTCGACACTTGAGGCGCATCTCTTTCATAGTTTGGCCATGGAGCTTTGTATCTCCGGGAGTTCTTTGAGTGAGCTCATTCCAGAAATTGATAGCTTCGAGGTCTCTGAGCTTCTCAACCTTCCAAGTCTCAGGCAAATTGGTCATTCCAATTTCCTGTCCTTGGTAAATGAAAGGAGTTCCGCTCTGGAGTCCCAGGAATGTGGCCAGCATTTTTCCAGAAAGGGAGCGAAATTCTGGCTTTTCAGAGCCAAACCGAGAAATACTACGCCCCTGGTCGTGGTTCTCCAGATATAGAGCATTCCATCCGTTATTGTCGTACATAAATGATTGCCACTTGCTGACGACCGACTTCAAGTTTTTCAACTGGAAGTTTCCGGGAGAAAATTTACCTTGAGGTCCATGGTCGATGTCCATAATCTCGAATTGGAATGCCATACCGAGCTCCTGTCTTTCGAACTCGACTGCTTTCAAGATCTCCTTGGGATCATAGACAGAAGGCATCTCGCCCACAGAAAAGGCATCGTATTCCTTCAAAATGCTCCCTAGCTCTTGTAGGTACTCGTGAATCCTTGGTCCACAGGCGTAGTACTTTGCGCCCTCTGGGTATGGCCTAGATGGATCAGTAACGGGAATGTCCGGGAAACGCTGGTCTTTGCTGATGAAGTTGATGACATCTAATCTGAATCCGCTGGCTCCCTTGTCGAGCCAATAGCGCATGATTTTGTGAACAGCCTCACGAACTATTGGATTCTCCCAATTGAGATCAGGCTGCTCTGAAGCAAAGAGATGGAGGTAATATTCCTCTGTTTGCTCATCATACGTCCAAGCAGGTCCTAGAGTATAGTATTGTTAGTGATCAGGGGCCTGGGAACAGTTGGACTTCATGGGAAGGAAGAACAAGACAAACCCGAGAAGTAAGAGCCCCAGTTATTTGGTGGATGTCGGACACCATCCGCGGTGTACCTTGGCTTTTTCCAGATATACCAATCGCGAAATTCGTTCGTTTTCGAACTTCGCGACTGTTTGAACCACTCGTGCTAATTTAACGATTAGAAGAGAATTTCTCGGTGAAGAAATTCAAGCTTGGGGACATACTTGATCGGATGTATGATTCACGACAAGATCCATAACGTATTTCATGCCGCGAGCCCGAATGCCTTTGATGAGCATTTCAACATCCTCCAAGGTTCCATACGGGGGATGGATTGCGTAATAGTCGGAGACATCATACCCCATATCCACCTGAGGGGATTGGGAAATAGGGGAAAGCCAGATTATGTCAACGCCTAGTGCCTTGATATAGTCAAGTTTTGATATAATACCCTGGATATCGCCAATCCCATCCCCATTTGAATCCTTGAAGGAAGCGGGATAAATTTGATAGACAGAAGATTCCTTCCACCAAGCTCTCCCGCTCGCCAGTTGATGCTGGGAGCGGGTTTGAACTTGTGTCTCGGTGCCACTCATTTCATGCGTCGGAAACTGGGTTATAATTTCTTAGAATCAAGTTAATGTACGCCATGGCCAGAGAACAGAAGTCAACAACTTATAACAATGCCGGGTTGCACATGCGGGCGATGTCTCAGAGCCCAAGCCCCGAGATTTCCCCCGACTATTTCCCCGAGAATCAATTGCACGCGGCGGGGAACCCGGTTCGAAATTGGATAGTATTCAACTTTAATCTTCTGGATTATCGACAACGCGGGGGGGGGTCAAATTAATATCACCGATAATTCTCCCGGTAATCTGGCCGAGAATTTCCCCACTTCGAATAGCCCCAACCCCAACATCTGGATCGACCCCGGAAAACTAAGGAGGTCAAATCTAGCGAAACGCTAATGAGGTGCCTGCGTACGATTGATCTTAGTTTCTCGGCTTGGACACGCCGATACCCCATCAATGCTTTACTTTTACCCCAGACCTTTTCGATTGAGGCCAGCCGCAATCGCGTGCATATAAAGTGCTCCATGGTTTCTACAAATCTCTTCGCCGTCAGCTAAGCATCTCAGGTTTTCCAGTCTTTTTTTCATTTATTTTTCATTCTGTCTTATTAAACATCATGGTTGCAAATACAGTCGTGACAACCTCCGGCGCGGATGCATACAATTCACTCTCAAACAATACCCATGAGCAGTGGACCAAGGATGCCGGTCTTCGTCGTCTGAACTTGGGTGTTGGGTTGATGTTTACATCGGCTGCTGCAAATGGGTATGATGGGAGCTTAATGAATGGTCTACTAGCCTTACCATTATGTGTGTCTCTCCAAATATACTGCTTTCAAAGCTCCCGCTGACCAGTCTACAGTCTTGAAAGACCTTGGCGACATCGATTCGAATGTGGAAGGACTCATCATCGCTGGTGTTTCTCTCGGTGGTACACCGAGCTTCATCCCTGCATCTTACTTTGCGGATGCCTTTGGGCGAAAGAAGTGTGTTGCCCTCGGTTCGACAATAATGGTATGTGCCTCAGTCATCCAGGCCGCTACAAACGGGCATTGGGCATTCTTTGGAACGCGTCTCATGATGGGTGTTGGATTGGGATTTGCACAAACAGCAGCTCCTCCTCTCACTACGGAGATTGCTCATCCGCGTCATCGTGGTACAATCACGGCTATATTCCAATCCACTTGGTACTGTGGAGCGGTACTGTCCGCAATCATCACCCTTGCAACCCTATACCTTTCTAGCTCTTGGTCATGGAGAATTCCATGCTTAATGCAAGCTTTCTTTCCCCTTCTCCAACTGTTTGGATTGCTTGTTGTCCCGGAAAGTCCGCGTTGGCTTATATTCAAAGGACGACGAGAGGAGGCCTTGGAGATTCTGGCTCGTTACCACGCGAATGGTGATCAGACTGATGAGCTCGTTTTGTTTGAATATCGCGAGATATGTGAAGCCATTGACCACGAGAAATCGATAGCGGAGAGTAGCGGATGGTCGGCATTCTTCGCTACCCGAGGTGCTATTCATCGCCTGATGATATGTGTTTTGGTTGGCTTTATGATCCAATGGGCTGGCAATGGTACGTTAACAGTCGGAATAATGCGACCCTCTACAAACAAAGAGTATTGCTAATTTTCTGAATAGGAATTGTTTCCTATTATCTCGCACCGATTCTCAAGACCGTTGGAATTACAAGCTCGAGTCAGCAAGCTGGCATCAATCTCGCATTGCAGGCCTGGAATGGCCTGTCTGCACTGGGCGGTGCTTTTGCAACGGAGAAATTTGGCCGTAGGCCACTGTGGTTGCTATCGACTGCCATGATGTTCGTCTTTTTCGGTCTGGTCACAGCGTTGTCGGGGATATTTGCGGAAAGACACATCAAGGCTGCCGGTAGCGCTTCCGTGGCAATGCTATTTCTATTCTTTGGCTCTTATGCTCTGGCCTATACTCCTCTCTCCATCGCATACCCGGTGGAAATTCTGCCGTACCACCTGCGAGCCAAAGGATTGTCTCTTTGCTTGACTGTGGTATTTGCTGCCGGATTCTTTAACCAATATGTCAACCCAATTGCCTTTGCTGCCCTTGCATGGAAGTTCTATTTTGTTTATGTGGCTTGCCTCGCTGTGTTTATCTTCATCATCTACTTCCTGTTTCCCGAGACGAAAGGTCGCACCCTGGAGGAAATTGCCGTTGTCTTTGATGGTGATTCCGTGCAGACAACCTCGGGGTTCGAATACGAGAAACAGGTACTCCCTCGCAAGGCGAAGTCGCCCAGCAAGACAGAGATAGAGCATGTGGCTTGAGATTTGAATAACAGGATACGTGTTCTGGAAAATGCGAGAGGGTCGTATGTAGTTTCAAAATACAACCAAATGTTAAAAAGTAGTGCGTCTATCTTACATTCAGCGAAACCATAGTAGAAAGCTCTGTACTGCCTCAGTTACTTGAGTGGATATTTAAGGCCTGTGTCGTGGAGAATGCGAAGAGAGTGTTAGTTTTCGAACGCACGAAGAACCGCAATGCCTGCGGCTGAGAATTGCGCGACATTATTGTGTCCTATTAGACGTTAGTTTGGTCACGCGAGAGCCTCGACGCCGGGAATATAGGGTATAACATACCGCCATATAGCACACGCTCCCACCTCACTGTCTTTACCGCATCTTTACCATTCTTTCCAGCCACTTTGTTTGCCCAAACCTTCACCTCCTTGCTTCGACCCGCTTCAATATTCTCATGGATCAGAGCACCTGGGGCGTTTGCAGTACCCTCCCCGGTAGCGGCAGCCCAGACACGTCGACCCTCATACCATGGAATTTCAAAATCGTTGAGAGCATGCACAACGGTGAGATCTAGATCCTTGTGAGAGTATTCCAAGCCTGATGCGTCGGGGTGAACAGAGCCAATACCCGTGAGACGTGCAACTCTTGCTGCCGTATCCCAGTAGTCCACTACATGGCTCATGACCCATTTTTGGAAGCGGGGATAACCAACTAGCGGCGATAGCATGGGGGGAGTGAGGCCTTTGATACTATATGATTGGATCAGATTCGGCAGGCTGCTGAAAGATGCAATTAAGATGACGCCTGCAAAGGGATCGGCATCTTTGATAGCTGGTTGGATAGCATTTGGGTCAGGGGACCCGAATGCAAATCTTTCAGCCACCGCCGCAGTGACAGCAGTGCCTAGGCTCTGCCCCACAATCACAATCCGAGACGGGGAGATCTTGTAAGGACCAGCTATGAGATAGTTCAGAAGCGATACAGCGTCGGTGATGACGCCCTCCTCCGTCGGGCTCCCGGTCGAAATCCCAAAGCCGCGGTAATCGATGGCGAAGATATGGACGGGATTAGTCGGAGTGGAAAGGGCCAACAGAGAGCTATATATCTGAGGCCGCGAGGCGGACGCAAGATGAGCAGCATTTCCGTGAACTATGATGTCAGTTAGTTCATGCTTACTCCCAGAAACCTCTTCACAATGTCTCTCTCCTTGACGTACAATAGACCACCACTCGAGCATTCGGATCGTTGGCCAATAGTTTGAATGCAGCTGTTTGCGTATAGTCCGCAGCGGGGCCAGAAGGGGGATTTTCGGAAAGCTCCTTCTCATTCTGATAGCAAAGATGCAGAGGCAACAGATGCCAGCCATATAAGGTCTCGTTATCTGGAGTCTTCAGATTGAATGGCTGGACCTGGGTATCTAGGAGAAGTCAGCAATTGCTCTCCGTCGGCTACATTTATGAATGGCATACTGAGAAACCCGAATTGTTCGACCTGGTTTACATCCTGCCACAGAGTCGGGTTGATCTTGTTGGCGTAAAGGAAACTGTTTATATGTCAGCGCAAAGCATCCGCACAAGCCCCAGAGTATCGTATCAGTACAGTCGTTGGACTTGGGTATATGTCAAAGAGTAGATAAAAAGCACATAGACCAGTCCGCCGGCCGCGAGAGACCAATAAGCCTTTTTGAAAATAGGTTTTAGTTCGACCATTGCTGTCAATTTCCCTGATTCACTAGGGAGTTGAGGAGGAATAAGTCGGGGTTACCCCAAGCGATGCGGTTGATGCGGCCCGCGGAGTTGCTGATAAGCCGCGACTTTATCGCGTCACGCTTTTCCTCCCTTCCACATCACTCCCATTCCCATTCCCAGCTACTACAACCACTACCACCACTACCACCACTACCACCTCCTCCTCCACTCCCCTCACAGGATCCTGCATCTTCTTTTCAGCCTTGGATGGACTAGTCTCAATGGCCGAGAAGCGCAAGTTGCCACCGCGCGGCGGGCGCGAGCCAGCGGCCAAACGACGAGTCTCCGAAGCCGTCACAGCAACACCCCAGTCGCAAAAGAAAAAAGCACCTACGCCTCGCGCTCCATCTCCTCCACCTCCGCCGCCACCGGAGCCAGTCGAACCGCCATTGCCTACGAAAGTGAAGGATGCGGAAGTCTTGCCGGTCACGCGCGTGCGCCAACCCGACAACTTATCGGACAAGGAGTATCAATCCATCGCAGAAAGGTTAGAACCCGGGATCGCACAATTCCTATCATACCTTCGAAGACTAACATTAGCCCATAAAACACAGCGCTGTTCTTCTCATCTCCTTGGAACGATCAAAGAAGAAGTGGCTTAGCGAAGGAATCTTGGTGAGATACTACACGAAACCGAAGAAGACGAAACGCGAACAAATCGAGAAGAACAACCCCCCGAAAGAATCCATGACCAGAATTGGACCCTGCGATGTCACCATCGGACCCCATCTATTTGACGCGATGATATATACCGTGAAAGACCCCACTGCACCGCCGCAGATTCAATATGCACCTCCGCAGCGGCCCATGGTCCATTATGGACACCCAAACTCATTCCAACAATACCAACCATATCCAAATCAACAAAAACGTCCCCCCCTACCCTTCCACTCCGACCGGTCGACCTGCGCAAGGATATCCGGGAAACCACCAACCGCCTAGTCAGCAACGTGGCCCACAAACTCCCTCAAATCAACCGGGACAGCGGCCTCCACAGACACAAAATGGCCAGCCCGGGCAGCCCGCAAAGCCAAGTCCAGATCCTGTCATTCAGATGCTTGCTACTAGGGCGGCCGCAGATCCTGAACTCAAGGCTTTGATGCGAGTGGTCGCTTCCAGCCAGGCTTCACAGGACCAACTACGCGCTTTTCAGGCTCACATCGATGAGCTCAATGCGATTATCAAGGCAAGAGAGCAGCAGGAGCAAAGACAGCAAGGTTCTATTGGTACACAAGGACGACCGCAGGCGGCAGCGGCGCAACCGGCAACCCCCGCGACACCCGGATCTCAAAACAAGCCTACCCCAGCGCCGCCCAACTCCCTACCCAAGCCTGCTGCGGAAGCAAATCCACTACCTCAGGCACAGACACCTAAACCACAACCACCTGCTCCATCACAAACTTCCTCGAAAGAGTCACAACAAATACCCTCCGCCTCCAAAACACCAGTGCCGACCACCACAACTACACCCAAGCCTGCATCCGAAGGGACACCGCAGGCTAGTGCCGAGCCTCAGAAACCGGGCCAAAATGAAAATTCTCAAGCCGCCAATGCTTCCCAAACCCCAGCTGCCACACCTGTGGTGAAACGTGAACCAGTTGTAGCGGGATCGAGTAATCTTCAAGCTACCCCTGCGGGGACAGCACAACCACCGCCTGCAGCATCTACTACTCCACCTATTACTCAAACCCCGACCCCCAATTCTGCTTTGGTAGGGACACCTCAACAACAAACCCCCCTCAGCTCGCCCTCCTCAACCTCCTGCAAACTACCAGCAGCCGCCACGTGCGGGACCGCCATACCCACCGCATCAACAGACGCCGTACACTCCCGGTGGAGCCCATGCCCCTCTTCAGTCACGGCCGCCTCAATATGGCTCGCCCACGCCTTATTATCGTCCACCAGGGCCACCCCCGCCCCCGGCGCGCATTGGTTACAAGTCTGTCGTGTTTGAGTTCACATCACCCTTGACTCCCTATGGAAGCAGTACCTCAGGTCACGCTGGATCTGGTGATCGCTATCTCTTCCCGGAACATACAATTCTCGATTGGCTTCCAAATGAATGCACTATTCTAGCTTCCTTTCTAGTTGTTCGCAAGGTTGATCCCAATACACCTTTCCCCATCGAATCTGCAACAGACAACACGACGAGCCGCAGCAAAGGAAAGGGGGCATCCAAGTCCAAGTCCAAGAAGAAGATCGAGAACGACAAGGACTCTAAAGACGTCCCTGGAACCCCGGTCCCTGCCCAATCTGCCAGTACGGACACACCTCAGAAGCAAGAGCCTTCTGACACGCCGGATGTCAAAGCCAACGGCGCCTCAACGGATACCCCTGGCACCCCCAAACCCGCTGTGAATGAAGCGAACCTCAAAGAATACTGGCAGCCAGTAACCTTCCGCATCCATGCTCCCAATCCCAAAATCCTCGAGCCATTGACTCGCGTCGTGAAGCCGGCGGAGGAGGTGCGCAAGTACATGAACGAAATTATGGACCGGGCGGAGCGCGCTCCGGATGGATTCCCTGCTTTGCGATTGCCGCGTGAAGAAGCGCGTGAGGCATTTGAGTCAGAGGGCACCCCAGCCTCTGGGACCAATAGTGCTGCCGGTCGCAGTCGCCCTTCGCGGGCGGTCCCTATCAAGATCGCAGAAGAAGAATCGGAAATCGAAAATCCTGCCGAGGCCGAGGAGGAAGAGGATCTTTTGGAGTTCTACGGTGCGCCTAGTGGGCTTCCTCCCCTGCGTGTCTAAACTGGTAGAAATTGGCAGATCAAGTTCGACTGGCCACCTGTACTTTATATCCAGGAGCATGAAGTTATACAACCAATACATCCATGCTTAATCGAGTATTAATCTCTTCCGGGATCTCTATGGGTTAAAAGAAACCCAAGCAAGAAGAACTGAGTATGATGAGTATGGGATATTAGTATTCAAAGAATTTCGCCTGTAGCAAACAACAAAAAAGCACCCAATTCTGTCTGGAACCCCAAGTCACTAGTTACTAACCAACTATCAAGCTGGTTACTGGTAGTTACTACTAGATAGGAGGCATCTACCCATCATGCTGTCCATGATCCGTAATAATCCCCGCCGTCTCCAACAACCACCTAGCACTCTCCTTAGCTGAATCACCACCCCCAGCCTTGATATTAACATTTCTCCTCCGCTCCGCCTCTCTAGCCTCAAATTCCCAGTTCGCACGCTGCATCTTCACAGCATCATCCTCAACACCCGATCCGTGTTGATTCTCTGGACCCGGCACAACCCCCCAAATCTCAAGGGTATAGATATCAATCTTGACCCTTGTCGCAGCCTCATTCGGCGAAGCCGTGGTACATGGCAAGAAAACACCCTCGTGTCCGACGGGCTCGGTGCAGAATTCCGCTGTTTCGAGATTCACGTCTATGAGGAGGCTTCCCGCACCGTGCGGTTTGGGAACTGTGTGGGTCGTGCGTGAGGATGGCGGGATTTGGCAGCCCAGGGCGATGCCGGAGGTTGTTGAGAACCAGGCTGCTGGGGTGTTTGGCTGTTTTTCTATGGATGGGGAGGGGTTTCCTGGTAGGACTTTGTGTTGGGGGGGATAGTTGGAAGAGGCATGGGAGAGGAGTGGAGGATGAAGATGACGATAAACCGTGCGAAGAAGGCGATTTCCAAGGGTAGGGGATGTAAGCGCCCAATGTTATTAGGTCTTTCTCCGAGTCTGAGTCTTCGGGGGCCCCTTGTAGAAGGAGGAGAGAGGGTGATTGCCAGGTCATGACGTTGTGTGAAAAGGAGGTCAGTGAAGATCCATGTGCGGCTGTTGAGAATACCGGATGTAGGCGGACACCGCTGCGGAATAGATCGATTGAGGGGGATGACGCTGGTAGGAAGAAGGAGATGTGGGAGATGAGGGTTGAGTTGAGAATAGATGACTCGAAGCTTCCCGGTAGCATGATCGAAGTTGGTGGATGTGTCTCTTCGGCCTTTTCACTTGTTTGTTGCTCAATGACAGCGTTGCTGTTTCGTTTTTGCGACAGATTTAGATTTCTGCTAAAGAGCATATGTTCGAATAGCGGAGTCAGGGGATCGAAGAGGTATGGCAAAGATGAGGATATCGTACGAGCAAATGCTCTGTATGAGATGCCACCATCGTTTTCTTCTGGACAAAATGCCGATATGACCCAATCTGCCTCTTTCTGGATCTCGGCTATCTTCTCATTGCTGAGATTAGACGTGTAGGTCTTGACAGACTCTGAAGATTTCAAGGGTGAAATAACGAGTAGCAGCATTAGAAGCCGATGGAATGTATCAAGCGAGATGCTTGTCTCATAGACTGTCCGATCCACCCGGTGATCATGTTTGAATACCTCAATCGCATCAAGTGACTCCAACGCGGCGAGGGCAAGGTCGTCATCTTCGTCTTCATCATAGTCGTCGTTTGCAGGCTCATCTATTGTAAAACCAGGGGCATGCGAGTTGAGATGTCGAGCGTCAGTCTCTTCTTCTTTTGGCGATTCCTCATCCTTCCCAGGAACTTGCTGGCCAATGGATTTTCTTCCAACATCTGCCAGACTACCGAATAGCAATTTAATTCGATCCTTTCGTCCTCTTCGCAGTGCTTTGCCATAACGCTCCGTCAACAACACAACCACTTTCACCATGGCTTCAAACGTCAAAACGCTTGGGGCGAGGGTATTTTGGAACGGGAATGCTCCCAAATACGAAACCATGCGAAAGATGACTGGCCCCGCATCTAAGGGGTATTCATGTGTTGCCGCAAAGCTGCCATCTGGGATACCAAGGAAATCGGAGAGTGTCTTCTCATTCCAATATCGGAGGCCCCCTTGCTCTAAAGTACGGGAGTAGAAGTTGTCTTTGAAATGGGTGAGTTCTAGTGGGGCGAAGCATTTCGTTGCAAACCGCTCCGCAAGCACGTAGCTTAGCTCCTCTATTGAAAGAGTCAGATAAAGTCTGGTAAGATGCGCGGGGGATAGGGGACAGCAGGGACAGTTGGTAGAGTACAAGCATAATCAGAGGATTCCCACCAAACATGCCATTTGGCCGGGGAGAAATCAACCATACTAACCTGGAGACGCTCCGCTATACTCGCTCGACTGACCCGCGCCCATTGTTGCGGAAGATGCAAATGCGGGAGAGTCGATCAACTGCCTCGACGTACTTGATAAACTGCAACTTAACCCTGGCAAAGAAGCGACGGGGCTAATACACTAATCGAAAAGGATGAAAACAACCGAAGAAGACCCCCAAACAAGTCAGGGCGCGAAGGGAAAGTGGAGAGAGGCACGACGTTTCAGATGACGACGTCAGATATTCGTGCCTGATTTGTAAGGTGTCAACATATTCTAGACTGGACTGAATGACATTGACATTGCGGGATGGACGCATTTCTCTCTGATTACGAAAAGAGTTCTTGTTTGCATGTTCATTTTGGTTTTTATTTTGAATATTTTTTGGATTTTTTAGAATATTTTTTAAGAAATTGATACCTCCATTTCCCGGGTATTCTCAATATCCATCGCGAATGGAGAGTGAGGTAGAGTTGCTAAAAATTTTAGCCTACAACATGACGACACCAACTCCACCCATTTGCTTCTCATCGGGCAGGTTCTTCTCGTTAATTCCACCAGGAACAGGGGCACAGCGGTAGTTGTACAGGTAAAAGTGAAGCTGTCCGTCACCGGCGCCGAACTTAAGCTGCTCAAGGAAGAGCGGGTTATCTTGCAGGGTGAGAGCGTTGAAGACATCGAAATTGGCCTAAAAATGAAGTTAGAGGGAAAGTGTTTCTCATGAAGCTATTTCTGGGGCGCTGGGCCAGTGCTTACCTGCTTAGCACAAATGAGGGCATCGTTCATCAAGACGAGCAGACGGTCCTTGAGGGCCTTCTGATCACCAGTAAAAGCAGTCTCGGTCGCATAGTAATAGAGGTATGCGGCACGGACCTTGTCGTGCTTGGGGTTGTCAATCACAGTAGACTCCAGGTTGTAAAAGGAAACGAAGTCGGTGATCTTGTGAGTCTGCGGGTCCTCAACAACATAAGACCACACGACTTGGTCCTTGCCGGGCTCCTCCTTATAGACCAACCAGTGCTCGATCTCCTCGCGGTTGAAAGCCTGGTTCATATCGTAGCGCAGCAGGTAGCGCTCCAGCAAGTCGAAGACAGCGTCGATATCCTTGACTTCCATCGGTCGCAGGCCAGGGGTAGCGGTGTGAGCAGGCAGGTGGTTCTTGGTAACTTGACGAGCCTTGGTCGAACCGTGAGGGAGAGGCGAGAAACCGCATTCGTAGAGCTTCAACCAATCCAACGAACGGTGATAGTAGCGGCATGAGCTGACGGGAGTGGGCAGGATAACACCGCCAGTGTAAATGGCCTGGAAGATGCCCTTGACGTAGCAGCGACGGGTAATCTCCTTAATCAAGACAGGGGCAAGACGCTTTGAGCGCAGCTTCTTGTGGATGCACAGGAAGTTGATCTCCGTCACCTTGAGTCGCTCGCCGCGAACACGAATATGGGTAGGGACACCGCAGATCGAGGCGACCAGCTTGCGCGACTTGGTGGCACGAACACCGACGTGCCACTCCTTCTGCCAACCGGGGGACATGAGGGCCCTATATCATATTGTAATTTGCAATGGTCAGCTAAAGTCCGGTGCGGAGAGATCGAGGGGATTGGGGTTGGATTGTCGTACCAGTGCAAGAAGGACTGCGAATAGGCGAAGCGGAACATGGCATTGTCATCTTCGACATAATGGTTATTCAATAGCTCGTACAGCTCCTGCAGTTCGGTAGGATCGGTCAAGTCCAGAGTACACCACTCGAAACCCTCGATAAGGTTGTCCGGGGTCTTGGAGACTTGGTCGGGGTCAATTCTCTTGATCGGGCCCTGCTCAACGGGCTTCTTGCTGGCATTGTCACCAAAGCTAGGGACGGGTTGGGTCTGCCAGAACTTGTATGAGGCCATGTCCTTTTGGTTCTTTCCACCCACCGAGAGACCCGTCAGCAATTGTGAGATATCCATTTGGGTCAGGGCTTGCGCAGCCTTTGCGGGGTCCATCGATGCAAGCTCGGCCTTGAGAGCAGGGTTCATTTCGAGAGCGGCTTCGACGGCCTTGCGGGGTACATTCTTCGATCCGGAGGAGCCTGCGTCATTTGGAATCAGTTTTGGGTCGTTGTGAGGTCGCGCTGCACAACCGGGGGAGGGGACATACTCTCGCCCTCACTGGGGTTCTGGGGGGCCTTGCCCTTGCCCTTGCCCTTACCCTTGTCCTGGGAGTCCGACATGTCCAATGATGATTATGTGGAGGGATTGTTGACGAAGGTGAGTGAGAAAGAGGGAGGATTTCGTTTGGGCCCCACGTTTAACCGCATGAAACGCGGATCGGTGGGGGGCGGAGGGGGGTTGCATTCTGCTGACTTCTCCCGAGGTTACGAGATGAACGAATATGGACATATCACAATAAAGAGATTGTACTAACTTCTTATTTATGGGATAAAAAGCAGAATCAATTGTTTGATAATTGAGAGTGAGTCTGATAGATACTGATTCAACCTGACACTGGCATCTCTTATAGTATCTAGTTATCTACCACACAACATTGTAGGAAGTGCGTATCACGTGTTGTTCAACAATACTTCAATGTTTATTTTTCAAGAAATATTAAACCGTTAGAGAAACTTGAATGAAATTGTTGACTTCTCTTCGGAGATAAAATCATCGTTCTACTGCTAAGCGGACTATCTATGGTCATACTTCACTCAACTGCCAAAACAGCGACAGCCCAAGGCGGCATCGTGACATTGTAGTTGCCTTTCCTTGCTCAATTTCAGCATGTTCAGTTTTCACATTGACCGAATATGGCTGATTTCCCTCATAGCGAGACCCTGAAAGCATCTTCAACTTTCCAGAGTCGGTTTTCGGGATCTTCACAGTGACATTTTGCTCATCAGGTCCGTAATTGGCCAATTTAACATAGTACTGAGTATCCGCCTTTGTGGCCACCCAATACAAGGGGCCAAATTCAGCCGACGAATTGACAGGGAGGACAGTATCCCCTTTGTTTGATGCAAACATCTGTTGGAGGAAGTATGATGTTGAGGGTGTGATTGATTCTGGGCTCGAGTTGAAGCCGTACATAGTTGGCTAGATGAAAGTTCACGGTCAGACATAAAGCACATTCAAGTCCTTCAGGGAGACTATACTTACCGACCAAGATTCAAATTCGAAATGTTCTAGCATGGGTGCATAAGCTGCCATTTTCACAATGTCGCTATTTCTCTCCATGCCCATCATGTACACTGCCTCGCTGCAAGTGCCCTGCATGAATGACCAATATGTCCCTTTGGCACTTGAGGTATTACGACAACCATATTCGCCGACCATGACAGGCTGATCTCGAGGCTGGTTATCGAATTGATCAAATAAGGCGACAAAGTCATTCGGCTTGCGGTACAAGTGCAGATCCAGAATGACGTTTTCGGGAACCGGTGATGGGAGACATGACAAATCCCCGTTTGAAGCAATTATTGTCATGTCCGGATATTTCTCATGAACAGCTTTGTATATCTGATTGAAGCGGTTTGGATACGTGTCGCATCCGCCCGTGAGATCATCTTCATTTCCGATTTCCAAATAGTCAATCTTCCAAGGCTTCTTGCGACCGTTTTCAGCTCGTACTTTTCCAAGGGTGGTGTTTGAGTCTCCAAGTAGATATTCAAGTTCGTTCATAATGTCTTCAACATATGGATGAAGCTCTGACCCTGAAATGATTTCGCCGTATGACTTTCCGGCCCAGACGGCCAGAACTGGGGACATCTTCATATCTTCGCACCACCAGAGGTACTCATCCAATCCAAGTGCGTCTGTATTTGGATAAAACCAGTCACTTTCTCTTCCTGGTCGGTCGACAAGTGGACCAATTGTTGTGTTCCATTTCCAACGGGTTTCAACTTGGAGACCTTCAAGGTTATTTCCTCCCGGGAATCGAAGGAATGTTAAATTGGTTTTCTCGAGTACGGTCGCAAGGTCTTCTCGGAGCCCATTCTCTCTTTCATTATAAGTCGGTGGGAAAAGTTGTATGTATCCGAAATTCAACGAAGTGCCAGCAGCCTTTGACCCGTCGAGGGTGAGGTGCCACTCATTCTCTCCATCAGGAGATCGAGTCGAGTTGAAAGATGTGTGAAACTGGCGAAAGTGAGAATCCGTGCTGTTAACGGTCAAATTATGATCGGCATAAACAATTCCGCTGTGCGACCCAACAAGCTGTAGGTTAATTGTTCCCGAGTATTCACCCATCATCCAGAACGAGCTGTTGTAGGTGCTGTTTGATACTGGGACTCCATTGTACCCCGTATTTGCGAATCCAAAATATCCGGTGGAATTTTTAGGTACATCCACACGCAGTGATGACTTGATTGCCTCGCTAACGGGCTTTGACGTGTCGCGAGATATGGTGACATTGCTAACGGGCGCATAGGAAGTCATTCCTAAACTTGACCCTTGAAAGCCATTGTTCTGAAGCAGCTGCCCATGTATACCTCCGTCGCCTGGATAGAAACTGTCAATATATCTTTTTCTAAAACTCTTCTTTTTAGCTGATAAGTACCTGAATGGTCCATCTCCTATTTTGATGAATTAGTTACTAGAAATTTGAGAAGGGAGGGGTTAAGAACGACCTCGAACATTATCCCGTACAACAATGGACTGGACTTATTTCCGCCATCTCTTGACACTTCTAAAGTCACCGGCTCAGATATGGAGTTATTTGCAATGGCCTTTGTGAATATAAATGTTGCTGCGATCAATATCGCTTTCTTCAAGCTTGGAGGCATGAGATCTGCAGCGAGACAAGGAACGCAATGGACGATAAGGTAATATGGACTTATAGGAAATATGTCGATTTGTCAATCTGACGCCTGGATGATGACGCTGTTTGGAAATATATGGAAGGAGAACAAAAAAGAAGGATTGATGTTTCATCTACCCTACTTTTAAGGTGAATTTTGAGTGATCGTGGGTCTTAATAATAAAGTAAGCCAAAGGGTGGAACAGGCCTGGCAAATGTCTGGATGATCAACGCTTTCGGAAAGCTTGATCAGGGTCCTTAATTTGTTATTCGCTAGACCCTGAGCTTTCAATTTGTCATGACACAATACTCGGGTTCCTGGTGGGGAAATTGATGTCGTGGCGCTCTTCCCGAAAGTCATGACGTCGAGGACAGATTATGCGAACTTCAATTTGGCCTTTGTGATCAGGGGTGTTAATTGACCCACCCTATATTAAATTTCGAAATGGATACCCTGATCCGAGAATATAAAAGATTCTTGATGTAATTTCAGAGCTCCATAGCGCCTCCGGTTCGGGTGAATGGTATTAGCAAGGTGCGTCGGTCCGGGCCTGTTCGTCTTCGGGCGCCACACCCAACTCTGGGAAGCCTGCTTTTCGAACGTCAGCCAATAGAGAAGGAAGAAGAGAGACCAGAAAGCCCAGGAAAGCTATTGATTCTGGCATATTCTTCGACTCGAGCTTTGCGGCGTATCTCATAGACTAAATATCCCGGCCTTTGGTGATAATAAATGACCGCTTCGGCATTTTTTGAGTCACAACTTCACATAAGGCCTTCTCGCTGGAACTCGGCAGAAGAAATGACCATTTCCTGCTTCTTGATAGCGGGTCGGGTATTAAATACTAGAACTACAGATTGCTGAATGCAAGCAAGTGGCCCAGATCTATTAGCTTCGAGATGGGTGGTGTCCTTGGCAGGGGATCAAGGACTTGACGAAATTTGAGGACGAGGTCTATCTGAAATGTGCTAAAGTACTTTTCGGCTAGTTTCATCTTAATTCTGGAGTCAGAAATGCTAGATAGAAAAGCGAACTTCCAAACACTCTTTGGCCAGTTACACTCAAGACTAGGAGGCGTTGCTAACGATCCCTACGTCACTTTCTACCTTCCTCGTCAGAACCCTTAACCAGTAACATCCAAGCCCCTGAGAATGTGCGCATTATCTGAAAATATACTTTGTGTTACCTTGAGTCCATATAGCGACGAGGTTATCCGCGTTAGATGTAGTGACCTAGAGGGCTAGAACACGAGTCTACTGGTACTTTCTTTTTCAATATTTGTCAATAGCGATGGTAATAATATTGTCCCATCAACTGAGGATATAGAAAGTCCAGTGACATCGGCATTCAATTGAAAGTAGCTACATAAAACGTCCAAAGGAGCTTTTAAGAACCGAATGAGTTTCAATGTGTCTCGCGCGTGACAACCCTAGGCCCTACGGCATTGTCTTCCACCATACTTGACATATCCGCTAAATAGATAATTAGAACTTCCAAAGTCATGAGAAATTCCATTGCTGAGGCCTTTCACGGAAACGCCCGGCTGACAACAAATTGCCGCGCTGCCTCCGGAGCCTGGCATCCGACGGAAAGGATGATCGGGTCCGACAATCGGACAGACATTTTCTATCTCTACCGATCTCCGATATGATGACGGCGGCTAACCTCGGTAGATTGACGATAATGCTGCGTGCTTGTGACTGTACACAAGATTGGGGCACGGATCACATTGTTAGTTCACTCGTGGCAGGAGACACGATTTTTAGCTGATCCTAGAGTTGGACTGTATCCCATCAAGGTGGTGCAATGGACTCCTTGGGGGTGACATACCGATCCGAGTTGGCAGTAAATGTCTTATTGAGGCCCCTGACGATCGGAAAAGAGTATTTGTTGAGTAGGTCGTACAGGTGTTCTTTCTTTGTGGTGTGTTTCGAGGATAAGCCTATGAGGCGAATGAACATCCTCAAGCCGGTTGCACAACTCTACGATGACCGAGCGAGCTCTCGGCAGAAGACTGGCCCAAGCTATCACAATGTGTGAGCATGAACGGAAAACAACTAGGCATCAAGTTGAAGATGACGAATTCATCCTAAACTCGAAGAATATCTTTGTCCAGTGCGTATATGGCTTGGGATATTCCTTTATGAGAAGTTTAACTCTTTAAAATAATTATTTATTGAATTCCATTTCTCTGTCGCTTTGTTTGTAGGTCATAGACAGTGAGTGGGATGACAGGAAATATTTAGTGTCAAGCTAGAAAGCTAGATGACATTTCTCTCGTCGGCGGCCGCTCTCAATGCAGTGTGGACCATGTCGTTTTGCCTAGTGATGAACAGGCTATGATCCGCGTCATATTCCTCAACTTTCACTTCAGCTCCCTGGTCCCGTAGTACCTTTGCAAGCATAATATTTTGGTACGTCTTGGGCACAGAATAGTCTTTGAGAGCGCTGGTATAGGTTGTCGGGACGGTCTTCCACGCAGAACCTGTTGTTTTCTCATGGAATACTGATGAGGGAAAACAAACCAAAGTTTGAAGTGCCCTATCAATGACAGCTTGATCTGCGCTGCCGCTGAAAAAGCCGAGTCCCGGGTCCTTCAGGGCTGTCGACCCATCTGGAGCTGTATCGATGTATTGGTCCCAGAGTTTATCGAAGCCGGCCTCTTGTACAATTCCCCAAATTGTAGATCCTGGTGCGAGTATGTAGGCGCATAGGTAGAGAAGGTGTATAACTCCACCCGAAAGCCCAGCTGCTTTCCTCTCGGAGAACGACAGGCCTTCGGCAGCCCCGGTCCCAACTGCACCTCCATACGAATGCATTATCATCAAAACTCGCTCACCCGCCTCGACTGCTGATTTAACAACTTCTTGAACATCGGCGACATCATTAAGAAGGGAGGCGGTTGGAGATGAGGCACCGCTGCATGTTGGAAGGTGGGGGCAGTGCATTTTGAACCCCTGCATCTGCAAAGCATCGGCGTAGCTCTTGTAATTCGGTGGGGTATGCCAGGCACCATGAACTAGGATAACCGTGGGTAAGTTGGACATTCTAGCATAGAAAGAAATTGAAAAGGTTACAGGTGTTCAGATTCTGGCCAGCTCACCTTGCCAGTGAATCCCAGGGGAGGGTGGGCTGGGAGCCAGCCTTGCCCCACCACCATCTCTCTCTCTTTCTCTTTTATTGACATCTGATACTAACCTGCTGATGCGTTAATTTCATCGGAAGTTGAATATGACCTGCACCCATATCAAATGTGAAGGTGTAGAAATTAGAGTTGAATAAATAATTCCTTGGTTCAAAGCTTCAACGTGTGACTAGCTCGAATTCAGCATGAGCTGACACATTGCCCTCGCGCCATATTGAATTGATTGCCCTTTGAAGCGGATGCCAGCGTATGATTTCAGTTGTCAACTGTAGCTGGACACAAAAACATCCTTCAATCAGTCCACCAATTGCCCCGCGAGAAAATTGCGTGATGAAAACAACCACCGAAATCGAGTCTGTGTCAAAATCGGGAGTTAATGGTGAGATTAAGGGCACATTGGAGGTAATTAAGTGTGATAGCGACTTGATTAGGTTTGCTTATGGCCTGACTTGGGATGCACAGACTGGCGGGAAGCGCCGGTCGAGCAGTAGGCTTGTTTTAAATTTATCACATACAACGTACAACACTTAGATTCAACTTCATTTTACTATTAAATGAATATTTTGATCATAAAATTATGAAATTCTAGGTCTTCAAGCTATAATTAGAGAGAGGCCAGAATCACAAACCAGCTCGCTGGGCCGATGCATTCTGCACTAATTTGATGTTGATGTAACAACTTGCAATGCCATACTGTGCAGTGATCCGATCGGCGGCGGCTGGTCTGCAGATGTATCTGGAGCTCAAAAAGATTCTCTAGCGTAGAATCATTATTTTCGAGCAGTTTGCCTGCATCCGAGAAGCAGATTGGTTACACAAATCTACTTGAAGGATAGCTGGGTCTCGAACTACCCCACAACGATTATTTCAATATGGTCGACGGTCATACCAGTACCATGCATCAAGGACCAGGTTCCCCTGCAGAGAGTAACATCTTATTCTGTGGATAAGCACGGCCCTGTTATCACGCGTAAGGTGCGCAATGTAACTGTAGAACAAACGGCAAACCGCTCAGTGGAGTAACTGAGACATCTGCAGTCACGATAGTCTAAATGAAGAAGAAAGACAGCTTATGGCATTTTCATGTCTTTCTCGGCCTTCATTTCCGCCTCGCTCAGTCAGCGGTTTGAAAGACAATCCCACCGACAACAGTGTAAAAGGGTTACAATGCAACAGGTGGCTGAATGCAACCGCAGTCACGGACCGTCAACATGATGTTTACCCAGAGCAACTTTCTATTGGAGTGGCAACTACGTTCTTGCAACGGTATTACAAGCTCACTTTAACTTATTTCAATTTACTAGGCTATCACACGGACTTATATCCCCGTGCCAGTGATCTATTCGGGAGGGTGGAATATAAATACCCGTGGTCACAACCAGGCAAAATTCATCCTTCCAAGCCAACAATCGGAAGAATCACACTCGCCAATCAACTCTTCTCGAAGAGAATCCATTATCTTAAAAAAAAGACAAAAATGCCCGCCGTATACTCAAAGATCTTCGTTTGGGGCCTGGGCCTTGCAAGTTTAAGCACCGCCGCTCCACTGGAAAACACTGTTCCTGCATCTGAGGTCTCGACACAGGACAAGCTTCAAATGAATCCTGCTTGTAAGTAAAAAACACTAGAAAAGTTTCGCGAGACTGACGGCGAAAACAAAAAGGCGACCTTTTCTATGAGGTGCAAAGCGGTGACACCTGCTGGGACATAATTAACCGAAACGAGAATAATTTCACCATTAAACAGCTCCTTTGCTGGAACCCAGATATCAACCCACGCTGCACGAACCTCATCCCCGGCCGAGATATCTGCGTGGGGGTTGCTTACCCCGCTGTGTGCTAGGAGACTCTGCGGCTATGAACACACATGCGAGGGGGATTTCGATAAGGAACATGCACGTTGGCAAACTGCTTGGAACTAATGTTTCTGCGTCAATGATGTGTACTCTTGGGGCTTCTTTGGGACTGATCGAGTATTGTCGTTCATTGTGATTGCTTGAAAGTATCTATTTAATCTATTTGAGGTGAATCTTGGTTCCTCCCCAAGAATCCTCCAAAAGCTTGCTCATCGTAAGGGCGTGGACGTCGGGAAAGAGAGAATTCAGTCGGTCCTCCTTAGGCAATTCAAAGACCCCGTTCACTGTAAGACGGCTGACTAGAGCAGTGGCGTCTGTAATCTCCTCTTGTGAGTAACCCAAATCGCTCGGCATGGGCGGGTTGGTGACATTTCCCGCTGCGATCTGGTCGACGCTGTCGTAGGTCACCTGGAATTTCTCTCCTGTTCGATGACCTCATTAGTATACATCTGAGACAAAGAAATACTCCTTCCAAGGTTATAATAAGGATATCACTCACCAAGAATTGTCTCGACGATCGCCAAAATTTGGTTGTAGGTGATTTGATCACCAACAACAATGCTGAACTCAGGCCACTCGTCAAGATCAAGGGCTTTGATCATATACTGAGCCATGTCGTATGTGTAGGTCATACATATCACATCATTCCCGTCTCCAGGAATGGCAGCTGTGCGGCTCGAAATGTCAATACCGAACCTGTATGGCTGAAGATTGGTTTTGACATGTGGCATTCCCCAGTAGTCCATGAAGAAACCAGGGATAACCCGGGTGTACTGGAGCGAGCTGTTTTTCAACTTATTTGCTGCATCGAGCCAGAATTGAATACTAGAATCGATCGGAAGAAGACTGTTCGGACAGATACGGCGATTAGTACACCTAGATAGCCATGTTGGGTGTCGGGCTCACTCGGCCGTTTGGATAAATGAATATTCGCTAGGAATAAATCGCTCCGTTACTTTAGATTTTTCTGCAGCTTCTATGAGATTCAATTGAGAATTGCAGGTTTCCTCAGAGGTAAGACCGATTGCGGAGATGATGGTGTGAATATTGTGGTGCTCAAGTTGTCTTGTAAGCCCAGGGACATCATTGTAATCAATTTGCACATATAAGCCCGAGGTGCCTGTCGCAGAATTTTCTTTTGATTCCTTCTGGCTCGTCAGCAAGCATGCAATTGAAATTGTTCGTCACGATCACTCACACTGCGCGACAACACAATGACACGGAATTTTGATTGTTGTTCAAGAGTCTCGACGAGAGTTTTACCCACACCTCCGGTGCCCCCGGCTACTGCGACAGTAGTCATGACGAAAAAGATAATTTATATCAGAGATCAAATTTAATTTAATCAATCGCGTGGCGATGGCGTGTCGTAGCCTCCCTGGTTGACCGGTGTTGTTGAAAGATGCAAGTTGGGTGAATTCTCCACGCTCTTGGAGCCCCGCTTGTATGCGGTCAGAGGCTCAATCGAGCAACACCGAGAGTGAATTTGATGAGAAATATCTAGGATTGACCTATTCAAATGTCGTGTATAGTAGCTGATAGGTTTCTGTCAGATGTTTCTAATTTCTAACCAAAATAAGCAAATACCGGGCCTTGTCGGGCTTTCGGGCTTCACTCCAAATCGCTCGGCCTTCTCTCGCCGAAGACACCGCCACGGCCCGTAAATGGTGTATTTCGGTTTGTTCTGCACATTGCAACACAGCTTATTTGTCTGAATGATCGCAAGCACCAGGAGATTCCCAAAATTGCCCAGATGATATAGCTCAATTTCGATGCTAGTAATTCTTTAAGCAGTCCAATATTTATTCAAGTTCCACTCCTACCTAGGTAGTAATATATTTATTTATGCATAATCATAGATGGTCGCCGACCAAGCGTCAAGTTAAAAATTCGCTGTTCGCTCCGGGCGTGAATGACTAATCCCCCCCGCGCGCGCCGCAAAAAAGTATATAAAACCTCCAGCCACCCGCGAACTTGAAAGAACTTGAACCCATCCAACATCAAATCAAACCTTGGAAACCCACACACACCGAGTCCAAGTTCCTAAAAGCACATCTGAAAACACAAATCACCCATCATGTGCATGAAAGCCCAGTGTTCTACCTGCAGTAAGTCACACCCTGGATCTCGGCCGTGGCGTTCATTCATTTGCTGATCGTATCAGACAAAACCACCTGGTGGGGCTGTGGCAGCCATATTCCTTCAGTGATGGACTCGATTCCCGAGACTGAGTGGTGCTCCTGTGAGCCTCAGGTCGAGAGAGAGGGAAAGAAATACCCTCCCAAGGCCGCACAGATCGCATGACTGCAAGGCTGTTCGATCCTTTGAGATTCAATTTCTGCGTTCTGCGTGCGGGCGACTCGGGGTGATGTGGTTGCATGGCATGGTGGTTGGTGATTCGGCGCTGTGGGGGTGAAGATTTTCTATGGGTTGCTACTGTCAAACATCAAATATTATTTTTTACACCTGGGCACGATTGCTCAAGGAGAAGAGTTCTCGGGTTTATTGAAATACATATTATGTTTCATCTATCGTGTATATTCAAGTAGGCCAGGCAATCGCCTGGACCGTAACCTGTTGCAGTAGATAATGTAGAAAGTAAAACAGTCAATATCACATATAAACCTCCATTTATGTTCGCTCCTATACATGTTCCACTGCAACACTGGAGCCTTCTTTCTCATCTCCTGTCTGCTCCGAGATAAGGTAGCCGTGAGCCTTGATCTCAGCGGCCATCAAACGGGCCTGCTTGACTGGGTCGCCACCACGAGAGAAAATCAGGTCCACATCCTCGAGGCGTAGGTTTCCAGTCTCCGGGTAGAAGAAATAAACGACAGGAATGAAAAGAAAGTTGGTAATCATGAAGATCAGATACGCCTTCCATTGAATACGGTTAATGATAACCGGCGTGATCATGACCACGGTGAAGTTCCACAGCCAGTTGGAGCTGATACCAATAGCTGTGCCCTTGGTGCGGGCCTCGAGGGGTAGGATCTCCGGTACATACACCCATGGCACGGAGTTAATCGACATGCCGTGGATAAGCATGAACAGGAAGAAGAATGATACCGATGCAGAAGCGTAGGTCGTTCCGTTGGGTTTATCAACCTGGGACAACAGTGCCGCAACCATCATCATGCAAACACCCAAGCCAAAAGAGCCAATCATCATGGTGCGACGACGGCCCATGCGATCGAGCATGAACGCTGGAAGGAGAGAACCAATCATGAACATTATTTGAATGCATCCACCGAGGATTTGGGACAGTTGGCTGTCAAGGCCAACGTTTCGTTTCAGAACAGCTGTCGAAAGAGTTTAGTCAGTTTGAAAAATCGGAATCGGAATTTGACGAGGAGTGGATCGGAGACTTACTCGGCACGAAATATACCACCAGGTTGATCCCGCCAACCTGATTCATGAGCTGCATGCCCACGCAAGAAGAACTCGCTGGCCGGTCTTAACTTCATCGTTGCGGAAGATTGACCAGAAAGACTTTTTGGTCGCGTTGCTCTCCAGCTCGATGGCAGAGATAATGGCTCGGCGCTCGTTGACGATGTATTCTTCATACTCCTGTTTGTCATAGACAGCACAAAGAACCTCTATGGCCTCCTTCTCTTGGCCATGATTCATGAGCCAACGAGGCGACTCGGGCAGACCAAATACTAAAACGATGACGAAAATCGCAAAGACGATTTGCATGGCGATAGGAAGTCGCCAGGCAATGGGGCCTCCAACAAAAGACATGCCAAAGTCGAACCAGTATGCCACAACAATGCCCACGGCAACGAAGAGGACTTCGGAAGCGATGAGACGACCGCGTGTTTTTCCGTCACACATCTCGGCTTGATACCTGAAACCAAGGGGTCAGTATTATATAGATCATTTGAGGTCAAAAAAAGGGCTTACATAGGGACGGTCGATGTTTTCAGGCCGGTGCCGGCTCCCGTTACCAATCGGCCGATGATAAGATGAGGTACAGTGAAAGCAGTGGTTTGCAAAACAGCACCGACAATTACCACGCCCATTGCCAACCAAATCGTCTTTCGGCGGCCGAGATATTCACCAATGAAGAAACTGACTACGCATCATGGTCAGTGGACGTTCAATCCTCGATTCAGGGTCACGAACTTAAGCATCCCGCCAAGCATCCCAGGTTGTAGCAACTGACGATAATGCCCTCCTCGGAGTCATTGGGATAACCAAACTGCTTCATCCAATCCTCATTGCCAACAATTCCACTGAAAACTCCCTGGTCATAACCAAATCTGCACGACACGCCACTCAATATACGATACACGATCCTGCAATCACCTCGCAAGGATTGAGCGTGGTATAGTGAGTGGAAGTAAGTCAGCAAGATACTCAACTCGAGTGATTGCTGATTGTGAGAACACATACAGAATGAAAGCAGCCAAGCAGCAAGCAGTGACAGCAACTTGAAGGGAGCGACCCCTTCCATACCAAGAACGCATAATGAAATAGTCTGCAATCAGATCAAGTGTAGTCTTTGCTAAGCCAGAAAGATGCTCAAGCGGGATGCGCTCAATTATAAGTGACTGTGCCGGCTTGGGTAGAGTGCGGTCCGCGCTTCGATCCCTGTTGTCCTGAGCCAGCATGCATCATTCCCGGCGATGAGATTGTGGCGCAAGCCAATGAGTGCCATGGATACAGGGTCTACGGCGGGCCTTCTCGTGCGGAATCTGGAATCTGGGGTCCCCGGGCGCTGCCATTCGCACGGAATCTGGGCGAGAGTGACGGCGCAGAGGAGGCGATAGGGTCCACTTCGACGGGGGCAACCGCTGCATTTGGCAACTCACGCGCAGCTGCCGAGCTCGGCTCTTGCTGGTGGTGGTTACGGCTGCCAAGTTGGACGAGGAGAGGATTAGGATTAACCATTTTCCGGGCGGCTAAACTGCCATGTTACAAAAGCTATCCTGATTAGGAAACTGGAACCACTCAGCATGGTTATTGACTACGAAGGTATAACGCGCGTATACACGAATCAGAAACTTATAGGTTGAACTTGCGTGAAAATTACTCAAGAAATACTCAAAGTGGAACTGTATTTACTGGATTGTTTGAAACAAATTTCACACCCAAAGAAAATATTGCGATTAATTTACGACGCAGACACCGAAAACCAACATCTAATTCGAGCTGAAACCGAAGGGACATTTGCAAAACCAAGAATTCCGTGGCCCTCCATTCGGTGTTACCTAGGGGAGATTTGTTAGCTATCGCTGAATGAAACAAAATCCTATGTGAGGGGCTTTTACCTCCTGGTCCAACCTCTGTTCGGCCTGCTGTTCGTGGTGCTGCTGTTCGTGGTGCTGCTGTTCGTGGTGCTGCTGTTCGTGGTGCTGCTGTTCGTGGTGCTGCTGTTCGTGGCGCTGCTGCTCGTGTATTTCACCATCCTGGGCTCCGGGTTCGATCATTTCGTTTTGATCAGGCAGCTCGATTTTCGACTGATTACGACGAAATTCGCCTGTCTCCATAGGCACGTAGCTGAGGATTCTATGGACATCCACATGGTGCGCCTTAGGGAAATATGCAAAGTTTAGTTGCCAGAATGGGGGATGGATATCAATTTCGAACGCCCAACTGAAATTGACACATTTTTTGTGCTTCCTTCTACAATTCTTGCACGCTGTGGGAGCAGGGCCAGGACGGCGAAGGACTTGGAGTTGTGGCTCACAGGGGGCATCGATTGTCGGCATTTTAAAAAAGCACCTCTTACAAGGAATGCCGTCTTGACTAAGAAGGCATGTAGTACGTGTTTTGGCGATGGTATCAGGAGTTTCCGTGCCTAACTCGGCGTCATATCCCGAGGTGCTAGCGTAGGAGTCGGCAGGGGTCTGGAGGTAATCGCTTCCGCTGTAGGTCGGTGCCATTGTAAGATCAGGAACTTGCTGGATAGTAGTAAACGATTGAAGAATTTACTCCTGCTTATCTGGCTCATGCATGTCATTTTATAAGTCGAGGATGTCCAGATGTACGCCTCCAGGTAGGACATAATTGAATGTGCCAAACTTGGTCACAAAGAAGCCTACAAGGTCTATGGACATTCCTTCTTGCCATTCCCGTTCTCAGTTCGAATCAAAACCTTTCCCCTCACTTCACAAAGAATTGTATATCAGAATTATGGATTGTCTTGGTTTCTACCGAGACGGTGATTCAAACTTCGCCGAAAATTTGCCTTGGTTCGAATTCATTGATTGCAAAGTGCCGGCCATAAAATCATGACTTTCTTCCAGCAATCGCAAGTTCTTTTTAACGCCCCATAAAATCATAATCCATGATTAAATCATCGTATAGTACCTTGTTATCAGTAACTTGCAGCGAAGGTAGGTAAATTACTAGTAGTATGTTGACACGGCGATAGATCTAGTATCTTGGTTATATCCACCTGCCATGAATACCAATCAAATCACCATGTCCTTCTCTACTAGAGACATGACAGAGTCGCAGATGAAAGGAAAGAAAGAAGGATTCACTAGCATGGCTGAGACAAGCTGGTATTCCCACCGTCATTCAAGTTTGCAATCTTCAGGGAGTTGAAGTTTGTTTTCACACTCTACTGACTCGGAGTTAGTTACTGTTTAGTATACCAAACATCAGGTGGTAAATATTTGAATACAAGGTCGTAATGGCAATATCACCGTCCTCTCTGGCCTAAGACTATAAATAGGCGCGATGTCTCAGTGATTGCCATTGCGCCAGTCCCAAAGGGGTTTAGCCTGACAATACATCTCAAACAAACTGGTCGGACTCGCTCAACTCAACTTTTGCCTTCCCCTCAGCAATCCTCCCTCTCGTCACTTCTGTCTTTGCTGTTGCTCTTGCTATTGCTCTTGCTTCACGTCACTCGTTTGACCTTGCTTGATTAATTCTCCTGCTTGCCATCATTCAAGACCCGCCCAGCCCCTCTCAGCTCCTCCCCGTCCCGACGAACCCACATTCCCGTGACCTGCAGACCTCAGGGTCCAGACTGGTCAACAGACACTGGGTGCCATTTTCTAGCATTCCACCGCGTTCTGCTTCTTCTTATCCTCCTCATAAGCCTCTGCGGAACGCCCTTTCGTGGCAAAAAAACGCCCCTGAGATACACCGGCTCCTCACAGAGGTGCTCTATCACTTCCCTCGGCGACTCCACTTCATCCGTTTGTGCAAGGGGGTTTGTTGATACGCCTTTTTTTTTCTGACCAGGGGATCTGAGTTCTCCTCATCTTCAATCCGCCACTTCCCACGACTCCACGACATCGACATCACCTGCCATCACCATGCGGTTCTTTGTATTCAGCGTTTTGTGCACCCTGCTGCTCCTGGGAACTCTGACCTCGGCCTGGTCATGGGACAACGTGGCGGTTGCCAGAGATTCTCTCAACAAGCGCGCAGGTAGCTAGCCCCCCCTCGCCCTCATCTGCCGTGTTCATGCTGACCTCCCATTCCAGACCAAACTACCGAAACCTCTGCGACCGAAACAGCCCACTCCACCACTGCCTCCGAAACCACCTCCGCGACCAAGACCGGAAAGGATGAGAAGACGACCAACTCCGACACCACTGACACCAATACCGACACCACAACGGATAGCAAGAGCAATACCAAGACCAAGAGCAAATCCGACAAGACAACCGCGACTACATCTATCTCGATCAACCCTGCCGCCGGTGCCGGTGGCATCTCGATGATCACCCCGGGCAGTACATCCACAACCTATTTCCGCATCGGTGAGAATGCGACCTTCGTCTGGAACTACACTTCACTATCCGTGACGCCCTCGCACGTCAACGTCGTCGCCTCTTGCAGTCTGAACAGTGCCACCTACACTCTCACCCACAACATGACTGTCAAGGAAACAGGAAAGGTTGTGTGGGATACCAACGCGACCCAGACCGTCCCACTTCTTTCCGCAACCTATACCCTGTTCGTTGTCGATTCCGAGAAGGAACTCGATGACACTGCCAGTGCAGGCCACCTGAGCTCCAACATCGGGTACAGCTTTGGCATGTACTTGTCTCAAGCCTACACTCCACTAAACGGTAAGTGCCCAATGGAGCCCGCCCAGTGTCACTTCCTCCCTCCCTTCCTTTACTAATCTTCTATAATCTACAGAATTCAAATGCGCGACATGCAACGGAGCATTGTCGGATGTTCAACGCCAGGGTCTCAAGTTCGCCGTCGGTATGGCTGCCATAACGGTTGTCTCATTTACCTGGTTCGTCGGCGGGTTGGGACTTTTCAATTAATGAGCAAATCTACCCCCGAAATGGGGTGGCTGCAATTGATCATTCTCATGGATATATTTGACACAAACGGAGTTCTTCATTCTTTGAAAGCGAAACTGGATTTTACGATAATAAGCAAGAAAAATGGCGTTACTTTGATATTTGCGGACATAGGTACTGACTGAATCATCTTTTCTGGGTTCTTCTTTTGGTTATTTTTATTTTATATTATTTTATTTGCATTTGATGTTTTTTTATGTGGCCAGCCGGTTGCTGAAAACCGTCAAAGGGCTTTGATAAGTTGTACTTTCGGATCGGTATTTAGGTACCATGCTTTAATCGATTGTATTTTCCAAGACAAACAAAACATCTGCCGATCCATGAGTTCTTACAAGATGAGGCTCATGTCTTATGGGAAATGCAGGGCAGGTGAGACATCTACTAAATGTAGGTAGTGCTGTCTTGGAATAGGTTTTTTGAGGCCACTCTCATTCCATGACTCCCGCGAAGAGGCTCTTGCCCAGGCGGTCTTTCAATCAATTGGAATCACTGGCAACTACTAGTGCCAATTCATTTTCAAGGGATTTCTCCATTATCAGCCCTGGAGGTTCAGGAGTGCCTACTACTTAAGTAGACTAGTACTAGTCCTCGCAATCACAACCCTTCAGATATCCTTGAGCTCTAATGAGCCTAAAGTAGAGTTCCAAACATAGTATTCCAAGCTTGCTTGCTACCTAGACACGGTAGAAGGGAGGGAGCTTTCTCGGAAAGTTTTGATTTAGGTACTTTTCAGGGCAATGCGGTGATGTTGATCCAAGGGGAATTTTACAATTACACTGGCACTTGACTTCAAGTTTGCCATGCAAACGGATGTCAATGATACCTAGGTACCTATCACGGCATGAAGGCCTAGATATTATATCTCATCTTGACTTGAATGAAAATAATCAATAGGGGGCTGCAGCAAAGGCGCATTCGGGTTTAGACAGCGGAGGGGAAAGCAATCAACCTTCAACTTGAAGCTGGGTACAGCAAGGCAAGACCAAATTAAAATTCAAATACTAGTATATAAAGCCAATTGATTGCCTTTCAACTGGCACTCTAAAGCATCATCCAAACTTGTCTCAATCAATCGCTCAGCTCAGAGGAAAGTCCAGTCTCATCAAACTTTGTGAAACTAGAAAGCACAACTCCCCATACTTCAAACAAAACAGACAATGCCATCAGACCCAGTGCTGGGCTGGATTTGGCCCAAAGATCCACGACCGGGAAATCCATCCCACTGGCGAAAACGTTGGCGTTTCTTCGACGTACTTCGCAACCAAGGACCAGATATATATGTTGGTGCCGTGCGACCCGCAAAAAGTACAACGACCAAAGCGAAAGTCTCGCTGAGAACGAATTGGGCGCGGTGGGAGGAGGAAGAACTAGATTCAAACGAGACGCCTTTCCGCTGGGCTCGACGTGGAGCCGAGAGGTACGATTTTCGCCGGCGGAAGTATTCCGTTCCGGACTATGGGACCTGGAGTCGGGTGGAATATTGTGATGGGCGGAAGAAGGTTGAGGGGAAATGGGTGTTAGGGAAGGAAGAGCGACATGCTATACCTCGGCGGTTTTGGGATAAGAATGGGGAATTGTATCCGTCGAATGAGTGGCACGATGCTTTTTATGGGCCGCATGAGGACCATCGACGGACTGGGAGAGATGATGGATGTTGTGGGAAGTAAATTTGGTTGTTTCCTTCTCCTCTAGATACAATGCAGTTGTCTTTGGAGTACTTCAATGAGTGCATGATAGCCTTGGTGGTTTCTTCTGCATTTCAGGCGCAGGAGAGATGGAGTGTGTCGAATGTAAATATGGGAGGGTTGTTCTGCGATGGTTGCGTTGATTGTACCCGGCGGATAGTAGGCAGCTGTGCGGAGTTGTCGGCTAAGCGGTTGCACTTGACACACGTCGTTTGCTTAATGTCTACATATGAGGATACCATGTCCTGTATAGATGTGAGTGTTCTGTCCATAACATAGAATAGAGTGGTAATCATACCAGTAAAAATGCAAGGTCCCATTTCCTTGTTCTCGAGTTCAGACAATCTTGAACAGCATGTTGAAGTTTTGACGGTGATCGACCTGGGGGTGGTTCACTGGACACCTGCCATTCAGAGACACCTGGAACACCGGGTTCTTGAAGGCCTTTAATTGAGAAGATCATCCCCGCCTTTGCAAGAACTGCCGACACCGAGAATGGATCCTGTCCCTTGACGACGCGCATACCGGGCACGTCCCGCTGAGTAAATCTCTCAACAATGGCTTGCCATTCTCCATCCGAAGATTGAGCCTTGGAGCGCTCGATTTGTTCTTGCTCCCGCTCGATGTCTTCTTTTTTTGTCTTTTCGGTCTTGATAAGCTCTTTGAGTAGTACATCGTAGTCCTTTTCCCACATGCCTGTCGGTTGAATGAGGTCGCCATTGGACTCTTTGATACGAGATTCCACGTGGCTCCACACGGGTTTCATCTCTGTGCCGCGCCAAAGAGACTGAAAGCTCTCGACTCCAGCTAATCGGGCGCGAGTTGCTTGTTCCAAGTCATTGCGTAGCTGAGCTGGCGAATCTGGCGCAGGCTTTTCTGGAACTAGGGGCTCTAGAAGTCCCTCGGGCAGGAATTGACGTAGCTCATGGACCTGGAAATTATCAGCTGGTTTGGCCAATCAATAACCAGAGGGAAAATGAAACAATCCCAGCTAGGATGAAAAAAGGGCTGACGGTGGGCGTCAAAACTCACTTTCCGTTCAAGTTCTTGAAGTTTCGCTAGGGATGATACAAGTTGAAGCTCAGACTCCCAATTGACTTGTTGCGCATCACTATTTTCAGAGCCTAGAACTTGGGAATTTTGATTTGAATGTTCTAATTTAGTCACGTCGCTATTGGGTGCGGAAGAAGTCCCTGAGGCGGGCACCGAAGCAGATGGAGCAGTCGACATGTCGAGCAACGAAGATGCGAAGCAGATAGGCGGTGGCTGCGCGGCTTGTGTTTCTGGGCGCAAGTTGATATGATTGCCAAACTCGATCCGCCACAGGGATGGAAAGAACGATCACAATATCTAGCTGATGACCAGTACAGCCAACAAAGGGCGAATATCGGGGTAGCCGTTGAGTGTTTGACGGCTATGCGGTGGTCTGTAAAATAAGACCGACCGAGACGTGGGAATGGAACGGTGATGCAGTCAAGCAGGATGAACGAGCCCAGCTCTCTTTAATCAATCGACTGTGGTTATTGCCAAGTTAAAGTTACTGAAGGAACGAAGCAACGAAGCAACGCGGACGGAGAAGCGGAAGACAAAAAACCAGCCACGGTGGCGCGTGCGGTGGCTGATGGAAATTGTTAACCACACCCCGTTTATATAAGCATTGCACTCCATCGAGATTTACTCTTCAACTGTCGAGGGCATTTAACTAGTCGTGCTAATCCAACCATGAATAATAAAACCATTTTGCAACAACGGGATTGAATAAGCAGTAACAACATCTACAAGCCTAAACTGTAAAAATAAAGGACATAATGCCCTGGTTTATCCAGAGTCTTCCAGGTTATGCGCCCTTTGAAGATCTAATCAGTCTCGATTTGTCGAATAGTAAAAAGGCCATATGATACTCCTTGCGAGCTGAGATACTAATTACCGTCATGACCAGTTGGGTCGGAAGCGAAAACTCCTGCCACTTGTAAAATTTGATAATTCGACAGGCTGCGTGAAGGGACTATACAAATAGGATTACCAAAGAATCCACTTCTACAAAAACTAAAAGGATTTGAAAACTCCCTGACTACTACTGGATTCATTCCAAGTCAGGCATGCTGTGGCAAACTTGCCTCAGAGACTTCCAAGGTTCTCGATCGCAGATGCAGCTATGACATGATGTCGGTGCGGAAGCTTGAACTCTCCCGATGCGAGTCATTGAAACCCGCAAACACGTTTCAACATTATCCCCAAAAACGGGTTGAACTCCAAAAGTAAAACTAAAGCCATATATTAGAATCGCATGATACCCCCAGGAATTAAACCAGCGGGAAAAATAGTAGACCAAAGATAAGGGTCGGAGTTGACCCTGCCAAATTCCTTCCCAGGCCAGCGATCTGGGGCGTTGCAATGTTTCAGGGAACTATCCACAATTTAGACAAGAATATCCATCGTGGCGTTCTCAGATCCTACATGCATCATCAGGGAGAAAATGGACTATGATCTGCAATGATTTCGTGAATCCTCCGCCCTCCAAATAGCCACCTTGGAAGTCGATGTCGATTGATGTTCTCGCCATGCGAGCAAAGCCTACAGCTTTCGTGACGTATGTGGAAATTATACTTGCCGTGCCCGGGTAAAAAAGGTATTCGAAGTTGTTTTTTGCTGCGCTCAGGTCACTGGAAACCTGGATGATTGGACAAGCGGATGCCCACCCCTGCAGGTCGCAAGGCCAAAGGAGCGCCATGGTCAGACTTGCGTGATCGTGGCTGGTCTACAACTTCTGTGACAGAATCTTGAAATGAAAGGATCTCAAGGTTGCGAATTTGAATAGTATTGGTGGTGGAGGTTGTCCTTATTGTGCCTATTTTTGGAATCCTCTCGCGGGGGTCCGGCCCGAAAGTGATGAAGCTCAATCTGCATCACGATATGTAGTTCGCAGTTTCAAGTTCATAGTAGGTAGCAATTTGTTCGGCAGTACTCCATAGCTAGCATACCAGCCAGACAATGGAAATTAAATCGAGAGCGCTTGGCCCCAAAAATCTATTCTGGGAGTTGATTATGCTTATCCCATCCCTAATGGAATTGGATTCGGGTTTGGTGTTGTTGGTTGGGAATCTTTTCCTATTGGCTCCCGAAATCTTGGCTAGACTAAATCCTGATATTGTACGGAGTAAAAGGGAGCAATCCAAGTACTAGTCTGATCCTTCGATCAGTCAACAATAGGATGCAAAGTTTTCCCGTGCGTCATAGAATATGACCCAGCGTTGTGAAAGCAAAAGCACAGCGGCACAAAGCGACCCTGATTACTACCGGAAAATGTCCTCTGGTTGAGAAAATCATGGTGTTGAAAAAAGTTGAAGAGCTACGAAGATTGGCTCACGTAATCTGTTTTGGTCCGAAATTTCTGCGTAATAAGTTTCGACCGGTCATGCTTTACAGTACTTTGTGAATATTCACAGTGTGAAAAGTGGCGAACTTTGTGATCAACTACTACTAGTACTAGTTGACTCGGAGATTGTTGAGCACAGTCCACATGGGTCGAACTAGGGCGTACCCGCCGAGAACACTGAGCCTTTTAGTGCAATTCATTCCGTGCCGCACTGGCCTTCCTGGCTTGGAAACTACCATTCCATTTTACATAAATAGAAATAGGTGGGGGCCATCAGCACCTTCTTTGGACGGAGTGGGAGTTCATAAGATTGCGTACTGTGCGAACAGATGCCTGCATATGCTTTAGACCGGTGAAGAAAGTTTGCTCAGATCAAAGAATCAACGCGTGATAAACGTAGCACTAAGAGTTGAATCAATTTCCAAGGTTATGCTCACTAACCATCCTTCCAAATCATTTCACAACGACCTGGCCCAGAACGCCTGAAGAGCTTGAACCCCATCCCAATCCCCCACTCGTACACTCAATCGCGTGAGAGAAATGTGGAGAAGATTTTTCGCCTTTGCATTTCAAATTTTTTTAGACTTTGGCTTCCCCATACTACTATCTCACATCTCCTTCACCTGTACTCCGTACTCCATACTCCACAAGAGGTAACTATGGACTATGCACAACAAGTCTATTTCAAGTCGATATCAAAAGTGTATGAAGGAGTCGAGGTATCCCGCCAGCATTGCCTCAAGCGCAGCATACTATTGCATAGAAAATAAATTTGCAATTAACTGTAGATGGTGTTCTATGGGGAAAGACTTCATGATCTAGGGCAATACTTGATGTCCATTTCCATGCACAGGGTAGGCCTATGACGTTGCGCACAGGATGATCCAAAATTACAAAGAAAGGGACAACCGAGATCAGGAAAAGGCCAAAATTAATGAACAGTGTTGCATCCGAATGAAAATGCAGAATGATGGCGACGTGGGGGCTGGGGGGGAAGGGGGGGGGCCACCACAGCGGGAAGAAGAGAACTCTGAGTGGATCTGAGCACTTGGGTAGCATGGGAAGCGAGAGCCTCCGATGATCATACTGGGGCATCTTAGGGCGAGTGGTCGGACAAGAGATCGCAGGTGGAAATTGGTTTTCTCTGTCGATCACCTCGAACAACGGAATATCCTTGTTCTCCATCCGCTACAAAAACCACTAGTGGCCCCGAGTCCTTGAAGTACCTGCGTGCTGCTAACCTAATGGGGCTATCAAGCCATTGATCGTGACTCGAAGTGGGTCAACATGATCAATGCTCGCTCTTCATCCGAGCCGTCACAGCTTCGCTTGAGTGGTTCATTTCAACAAAGGTGATGTTTGGGTTGATTTTCGATCCGCTCAGGATATCCACTTTACCCACTCTAGTCAGGAATCAGGGTGAGATCCATGTGTTGGTCGCAACGAGAATTACAAGCTCGGGCCTATTGCTCAACCTCACCGCAACGGCTAGCCATGCGCAGGACATTGTTGGTTTTTTCCGGGGGCTTGATTCGTCCTCATTCCGCCCCCACCAACACCAACCCTACTAAGTCCTAGGGCAACCCTCGTCTTGGTTTCTCATAGGGGTCGGAGACTTTAATGAAGAGGCTCGTCATTCTCTCTTGCCCTAATTCGCCGATTTATCCGGTAACTTTTCCACTTCAGAACCTTTTTGGGAAGCCTACGGAGTAATAAAAACTAACACTCATAATGGAAAAAAAGGGGGAAACCCCAAATACGGAAAACCAACACTCCAGCTGCTTTTTTGACTGGTTTAAACTTGAAACCCTCAAGCAGTGCTGAAGGTCTGCCCCATCAAATGCTGTGTTTGCGCCCTAAATCGCCAGTAGGTTGAAAGCCGTGGAGGGTTTGTAGACTCAAAAACATTCAAACAGTAATTGCGATTTGAATATACAAAAGCTTCCTCTTCTTCTCTCTGTATGTGTGAAATAAGTTACGGAATGATTTCACCTGTCAGTTCACAACTTGAAATTGGTGGTGGGGTCGCAAGCTCATGAAGTTGGGGGCGGATGGGTCGATCAGCATGGCACTCCGGATACCCAACCGACACCTCAGTGATTTTCTACAGTCGTTTCAGATATTTTTATTTTTATCTCTCGTCTCTAGTCAAACGCCAATAATTCAAATTATATTTAATTCATTCCTGCCGATCTCAACTTGAATGATTCACGGCAGAGCATTTATAAAGACCATTCCCCGCAAGATCTGCCTCTCGAAATTGCAACATGCACCTCATCCTGCAACAATAACTCCACCACTAGTCACCCATCCTGCCGAGTCTCCTTTTCAGTCCCACCTCCTTTAACTCTTGCACCATATAATATCTCGCATTCCAGTCACCTGCCAGTGATTCCTTGGGGGTTCGCGTTCAAAGTCATGTCGATTACCTGCAGCATGTCAGAATACAACTTTCCATTCACGACCTCTGTGGCGCCATACATGGACCAACACTATGTCTCACCCGGCCCGACACCTACCATGAACGGCTCTTCTCCTTCTCTCATGGACATCAACCGTCCTACCTATCAGGCCTTTCCCCCTTCTCCTTCCTCTTCAACGGGATCCAACCGTGTGAGCAAAGCGAAAAAGGGCAAGCGTGTACATGAGTGCGAGTATCCCGGTTGTAGCAAGGTAAGCCGCAATGAGCAGTATCGGACAAAATAGCATTGGAATTCTCCGTGCTAACATAAAACAGGTTTTCACGAGAGCTGAGCATCGCCGGAGGCATGAGCTGAGCCACAAAAACAATAAGATCTACGCATGCACATTTGAAGGTTGCTCAAAGGCGTTCCATCGTTCTGACTACCTCACTCAGCACCTGTCGAGACAGTATGTATATCGACTATTTTGCTGAATAAAAGAATCTTATAGCTGATCAAACATCAGTGATACCCGCACGTCAGTGGTTAGAAGACCATCTTCCCGTTGCAACTCTGTTTCATCCCCCTCTCAATATCCACCTGGATCTCCTGGAACTTCCGTACCACCTATCTTCCAGTCTATCGAGGAAAACACCCAAGTCGAACCAAAGAGTACTCCCGGATCGTCTCTAGCTGCCTGCTCAAACTGTTTCAGCTGCCAGAGCGGCACTGGACCTTGCACAAATGACCAGCCCATGTATTCCTACTCCAATACAGGCCAGGAAGCTCTATCAAGTGCTCCTCTTATTTCTCCGCAATGTGTGACCTCGGAACTGCCCGCCGGTTTCGAGACTATAATCGATCAATATATGCACCGCGTTCTCAGGCCGGATGCTTTCCTTGTATATTCCCAATCGATTCCACCGCAATCATCAGGGACGCTCAGTTCTTCATACTGGTCACCAAACATTGACCCACAACTGCCTCCTTTGCATTCGATGGTATGTGGGAAAAGCGATTCTTCCGGAAAGAGAAAGCAGAATAAGTTCACAGCTAACTTTTCTCTAGGTGTTTGAAAATTCCACCTCTTACCCATGGACTTCTGGTGTTGAAAGCTTCCCACTGCCGCCCCTGTTCAATCGATAAGGGATCTCGCAGATACCCCACGGTATTCAAGGAGCTCATAAAACAACATCATGGTGGTATATCTCTATTTACAAAGTTCTTCCATTTTTGCTTCTTGTCTTTATATCTTAGCCCAATGTTTTGGTTTTCTTTTTGTTTCTTCCTCCTGTTTTATGGATGATCCATGGCGAATGACCAGGTTAGCACTATATACCATTTTATACCATAGGAGTTAGTTATGATTTACAAGTTTACTATTGCTTTTCTCCGTCAATTTGAACAAACAAATTCTTTTCTTTAATCAATTTCATACTGCGATTCTATGTTTACAACAGAGATGTTACTGTGACTGTGACTGTGACTGTGACTGTGACTGCGAATGCGAATGCGAATGCGAATGTGACGGCCGACTTTTGAACGTTGGCCTAAAAATGTCACGGTCAAACCACAAGCTTATTGGGGGCCATGCTACTTAGAATACTGAAGAGATTGCTCCTATTGGGGATTTGTTTCATCGTCAGTTCTCAGAATCTAATTTTAGTCTGCTTGAGCTTATTTGGGAAAAAGACGAGGGAAATTAAGATTTGATTTAACCGTGCGGCATTTTGCAGATTATTGAGTTAGCTGTCGGCATACGTCTGGGTTAAATTTTGAATGATGTTGAACGATCAAATCATGCCCAGGAATGTAGATCTAACTAGAATTAGGCTAGCGGCGGGAATTTGGCTAAAAATAATATAGGCTCCATGGTGAAACGCCGGCGCCATATCCAGATCCACCGTTCCTGGAACCGGAAACCCGCCCGCATTGCTGAAAACCAGCGAAGATCTGGAGGTGGCAGTGACTGTCTAGGGAATAGGTTATTTGTAATTGGTACAGTGAAGAAAACATTAATGCTGGTTTTATTTCTCACTGCAGATAGGTATGATTTCCATGGGTAGAGAGATACTAGTAGTACTAGTATCATCGTTTCAGCCATCCTGATCCCCGTGAAACTCCTTCGCGACTATCCCGAGGTCCCCACCGGCAAATGCGACTTCAAAAAATATCTAAATATAGTAGGGTCAAAAATGTCGCCATCTGGCTGGATTCGACCCGTTTTTCAAAATAATCAACTCCTCACAACGCTTGTTGTTACTGAATCTCCACTCTGGGGCCATCGTAGATGTGGCGTGCCCGTGCGACGTAGTAGATCAAACTGAGGAGTACCACGCCCACAGTTCCAACAACGCTAAAGTTCATTGAGTCGACAGTGACCATCCAAGACGGGGGCCAGAAACTGAAGAATATCGCAATACTCATGTAGATGAGCGCAAATGTGTTGACAAGAACGCCCCAAACTCCAGCAATGTGGAATGGCCCCCAAACCAGCTTTGCGCCAGCTGTATTCACCATCTCGACGTCGCCATCATCGGAGGAACTGATTTGTCCGGTACAACGGCGATAGAGAAGGAGGCCTGCTACGGTCATATATGACAGGTAGAGCCCAGAAATGGACATTGCTACTAAATCATTGAAGGCGACCGATGAGCCAATGTTTATGAGGGCAAGCAGACAAGCAACACATGCTGAAAGTAAGATCGAATAAACTGGCACTGCATTTTTACCGTGAACCTGAAGTTGACCATGAGCATGATTCAAGGACAGACTTGCCTCAAAGAGAAGCTAAACGAAAATTAAAACCTACCTGACTCCAGACTCGCCAGCCTGGAATACCTCGATCGCGAGCGAAAGACCAAAATTGGCGCGATGTTGTTGCCAACATGCCAACCGATGTACTGATGCCCATGGTAGTGATGATCGAGCCCATGATAGCAGTGCCTGCAACGGAACCGGTGGCTTGGAGGAAGATAGACATGAATGGGTACCCCGTCGGAGACTTGAGGGCCGCTTCAATGTCCCCGAGACAGAAGAGCATAGCGATCAGCATTCCAAACCCAAGGAATCCATTGATGAGCACGCTGAGCATAATTGAAGCAGGCACAGCGGTTGATGCATTCTTGATTTCCTCGGACATCTAGGAGATTAATTTCCGGGATTAGCGAATTCTCCGACTTTGAAGATGGTGATACGTCAAACATACATGAACAGCAGCATCGCCTCCAGCAAATGCAAATATACACCCAACCATCCCAACGAAGAATGATAGACCTTGAGAGGGGAAGCCTCCAAGGTTCAGAAATTCAGTGAAGACTTCATTCCCACTCCCATGATCAGCCGTCGTGACTAGAGGGATGAGAATGGCGAAGAAGCCCAAGATATGAAGCACAAGAATGAAGACTTCAAGTCGTGGCAACAAATTACCACCAACAAGGTTGATAGCCAGAGAGAATACAGCAACAGCCCAAAATAGAAGCGTTCCATGCCAATTTTGAGGCTGGTAATTGCTATGAGTCAGGGCGATGAGGCCTTGGATGAGAGTGCCGACTAGATAGCATGATGTTGCAAACGTTGCTTGCCATCCAATGACAGTAAGCCAACCTAAATTCTTCTCCTCGGATCAGCCGCTTTATCTTCTTGTCCTAAGTCAAGTATAGACGTGCCTGTCAAATAGCTGATGAGTTTCATTGTGGACCTTGGAGCCAACATTGAGCACCAGTGATATTGCCCGCCTGAGGTGGGAGCCCTGGCGATCTTTTAGCTTTTGTCTTAAACCAATTGAATTCTAGGGACTGATACATTGACGCCAACTCGGATAGAACTGCAAATGTCGATGCGACACCAATCCAGACGAAGATGAAACCATACACAGCGCCTGCTGGTCCACCACTTGGAACTGTCAGTATACGGGACTGCATGAAACTCGGTGAATGATGGGGCTCATACTTCTCATATGCTTGTAGGAAAAGTCTACGATAAAGGTGAGTTTCCGATCGCATCAAATAAGCTGCAGTGGCACAGCAAACTCGACTCACACAACAATGCCCTCCCAAGTAATCAGAATTGTACAGCTGAATCCTAAAATCGACCACAGCCCGAAGTTCCGCTGCTATTATTTAGTCACCTGGATCCCAATCACTCCGCAGATAGATGCTCTCCTACCTTCAACACAGGTCGCTTGCCCATCTGGGCCAATTTCGCATCGTCGATTTCGATTGAGGGAGATCAACCCCACGCACGCCGGTCGCATTTTCCTGCTTCAGCCCCTGCGAATACATGACTGTGCGGCTCAACTAGGGAAAATATGAAGATCTCCCGAAGATCCGAAATCAGGATGCGAACTGGTTCTGCGAGTGTGAAAGGGGGGAGGTGGTTGGTGGTGCAACCATGTCAAAAGTTGGGTGCCACGAGTTGATTAATCGCCCAGACTAACTAATGCACGCGAAATGGGCTGCTAAACGAAGTCTCCCCAATAGGAGACAAGATAAAGTTTGATAAATGATCGCCAAGATGTTCTCGCTTTTTTTCCACTTGTTGACCTATTGATGTTGTGACCTTTTAATACTGAGATACGCGACTTAAGAAGTTCGCCCAGTCACCTGAGTCTTCACCTCCCTACATTCCAAAGAGGCTCACCAGTGATATTCACAATTTACCAGAGGAGATCCGCAAGGACTTCCACGATCAGCCCTAAACCTCGGTCTCATCGGATGCCTCACGAGGTTACATCCCCTAAACCCTAGCTCCACCTTGAAAGCGAAAGGGTAAAGCCACAAAATGGTTGTATTTGTGATTGTTCATGCATGTTACCTGAAGATAAAGAGTAAATCAAGCTGATGTGCCATCTAATTGTTTGGGTTGAGACGCTCTTATTGAGCTTCGCCGGAGCAGTCTGGTCCCCTGGTCCGCCATAAGCGGACCGAGCCTTGCATGATCTCAATTTTTTTTTTCAGAGTGGTGAAATTGTTTCACGTCAATACAACCACTACTAGTGAACCAGGCACAGATATCACGTGGCGTGAGTCAATTCACAATTTTTCATTCTTCAATGGATAATTGTGACTTAAATATAGTACTCCAGGGCTCCAACGTTGAAAAATGAGTTTTGAACGGCGCTATATTTGATTTGGCATACATCTACCTCGGGCGCTTAATTTGCTTCTTGGAAGTATTGGCTAGGTGAATGAGTTACATTAGCATCCTGAGTCTATTATAGGCCCAAGAATTTAACTCAAGTGATATATCGATAGATAGGGTGGCAATTCCATCTCGTCGCCAACTGGTGACTCTCCAAGCCTTCGGTTGTTGGGTCAATCCCGGCAGCAACATCTGCATCTGCCGCTTTGTTTAGTCGATTATTTCTCCAGCGCAGAGTGAATTTCAGCACCGTGGCCATCAGGATACACATTCCTGAAAAGGCCACGTTAGCCACATTAGCCTGCCAGTATCTAGGTCCTTGTGATTCGGGATAGAAGTAGCTGGCGTAGATAGAGGCGAAGTTAGATCCCGCATTTACCACCGCATATGCGACCGCGCGCTTTGAGCGTGGCCTCGGAAGTGAAGTGGAAACCCAAGAAAGGATGCATCCAAAAGAGCCATAAATCGACATCATCATGAAAGTGGATATGTATCGAGTTGGGACATTTAGGGTCACGGCACTCAGGATGAATCCAATCATACTGAAGACTTGTGGCCAAACAATGTGTAGCCATCGCTCACTGACACGATCGCTGTGGAGTGAATTGGAGACGCTGAGAATAGCAGCGAAAATGTAAGGCGGTGCTGAGAGCAGTAAAGTCTTGGTGGTGTCATAACCTAGTGTTGCAACAATTGTCGGGAAAAAGTTTGTAAAGCAAGCTGCAGTATTTAGGCCAAGCTGCATCATCCATATGATGTAGAGAACTGGATCGGTAAAAGCGAGTTTCAGTCCTTCCCAGTTGCTGTTCGTTTCACCATTATCGTTCTCGCTTGCATCTTCCGCTAGACGTGCAATAGCCAGAATACGTTCCTCGTCTGTAAGCCATTTCGTGGTCGCTGGATAATCTGGCAAGGTGAACATCGCGACAACTGCAACAGGTATTGTGGCGCTTCCTTCAATGATAACTTTATAGCGTAATAATCAGCAAACTTGTATAAATATCAAGAAAGGAACCGTAGATTTGAACATACACAGCCATCTCCACGCTGGAATTCCGGCCTTTCCATCCATTCCCGACATAATCGCACTTCCCAAGAGACCGCCAAAGGCACCTGATATTTGAGCAGCAACGTAAAGAATCGAAATACGAGCAGCAAGCTCTTTTTTTGTGTACCAGGAGGAGAAGAGAAACAATGCGCCAGCTAGATGTAGGTGTTAGAGGCGTTCATTATCAAAAGACATTTTATATCCACTCACGAAAAAATGGAGCCTCTACAAAACCGAGTATGAACCGTAAAGCGAGAAGTCCTTGGTAGTTCTGAACAGCCCCTGTAGCTGCACTAACAATGGCCCATCCACACATCACAGCTGGCTAATAAGTAGAATTAGTTACGATTCGTCTCAAACTTCATCTTCTTAAATCTAACTCACTAGAAACAGCGATGGCCTCATTTTGTTCAAAATCATATTCGTAGGAATTTGAGTGAGAATATATCCGACAAAGAAGAGACCTTCAGGCAATTAGCTCTAGCTTTTCTCCAACTGGAAACAATGCAGGATCTCACTGATGATGGTGTTATACTGATTGCCATGAATCCCCAGATCCTTCTCAAGTGTCCCTAAACGAGCAGTTGCAATGTTATTTCGATCCAGATAATTCAAAACATCTAGTTTTCAACAGTTAGCATTTTATTCCATCCAACACAGAGTCTGATTCCTATAATACACACAGATCAACATCATCAATGGCAAGAGGCGAAGATCAAGCTTGCGGACAAACTTTTTCTCAAATTCATCACGATTGGGAATAAGCAAGTTAGTCACTGCCACCTCTGGAATTTTGTTTTCATCCTGGCGAAAAGTAGCCAGTCCTTCAGCTGTAGCATTCTTGCCGGACTGGCTGACACTGGAATTCGTTTCAGTTCCCATCGTTGTCTCGAATTCCATGGAATTATGGGATAGAGTCACAGTGATCTGGAGAAGCCCAGTTAAAAATTGAAGTAATCACCGAGGACGGCTGATCTATCTGATATTTAAATGGGGCCCCGCATTCCCCCGCTTTCTCCATAGCTTTCTCCAGGTTGTGGAATTGGAGGTGGGTTTTAGAGATCACCGGAATTTAATCCTGGCTGGAGAAGCGTGCCTAGCTCCTTCGGGAAAGTTGGCGACCCGTCATTTCTCGGCGCCATCGGCAGATCGCCCAAACTGGAGCCAGATTTTCGGTTTGCAAGTGGCATGAGGGATCATACCAAGCGTTAAAGTTGCTTGTGCTACCCTCATACGAACCTGGCTTTTCGGATAATTACAATAACGGATAAGTACAACGACCTAGCGAACCATACTCCCCACCTTGCAATCCTTCTTCGTTCATTGCCTTTTGTGGGATTATTTTCAAGCGAAACACTAACTTGAACTGTGTGAGATAATAATTGGGAGTAGGGATTGCAAGCTGAAGATATTTGAAAGGAATGGAAGCTTGGAATGGTTGATGCATCTATATTCACGAATATAACATCACGTAAAGCGTACAGGCATTATCACTTGTAGGGAATGCTTCTTTAAAGTTGGAGAGCACCAACAGCAAAGGCGACCATGGCAGTGGCAAAAATGAATGAATACGTCGAGAGGGAGGCAGCAGAGGTCATGTTCGACGAAGCAGATGCGCTAGCAGCAGAAGAGCTAGAGGCCTTGGAAGCAGAGCTGGATGATGCGACGCTAGCAGAGACGGAGCTCGATGTCGTGCCGGACAGGTTGGTTAAAGAGGTTCCGTTGGAAGCCTTAATGCTAGTATAGGCGCCGGTCTTGTCGGTGTACTTGTAGGCCTGGGCGGGATTGTAGTTGGTGATGTTGACGGAATCGACGTACATGGTGAAGGGACCGTCGGTGTAGTCAGTCTCACCACCAGCCCACTCAATGGTACCCTCACTGTTGTCAGGGTCACCGCCAGCCCAGATACCGATCTTGATGCGCATGGGAGTTTGGGGGTAGTTTGTGCCGGAGACAGCATCGGCGTATTCCAAAGTACGGACGACATCGCCGTCTAGTAGCCACTCGATACGGCTGGAGGTCCAGTCAACACTGTAGGTGTGGAAAGTCTCTTCAGGGGTGGAAACTGTGACAGTGGTACCGCGATCGTAGGAGGTAGTGTTGCCCTTGCCGAAATAGTCGGTCTCAATGGAAGTATCGTAGGTGCTGATTTGCTCCTATCGAATATGTTAGACAACTTGAACTTGAGCCCCGACCCTGATTGGAATCTATCCATGAGTCACTTACCCAGTCAATCTCATCAAGATCATCAGACTCCATTACCATGGTGCTGATGATTCCAGTACCATTGGCGGCTCTGAAATTGACATCAACGCGACCGAAGAAAATATAGAATTCACTCTCGATGGTGGGGGCATCTCCCTGCTCGGAAATACTGAACTTCGCTCCGAGTGAAGTGCTCTCAACGGTACCCGCGGTGACATTCCACTTGCTAAAGGAAGACGAGCCCGAAGTGAAGTCAGTATCGAATTGCCATATGTTCAGACCGGTGTCGGCAGGGCAGGTTTCTGGAAGAGAATGTATGTTAGATGTCGACAGGCCATTCTTGAATAGAGAAGGAGGGTATTGACTAACTCTTCGTCGGGTTGCAAGATGAATAGGTCTGGGCAGCACCGAGCTGGGCAGTGGCCAAACCGATTGCAGCCCATTTCAAATAGGAGTCGACGAACATGATGATATTGAATGGTGATTTTCTGGAGAGGCTGAATGATAAATGCCCTGGCGAGTGAAACAATAGCGAGGTGAGTCCAAAATGAGTGGAGAGACGACGACAGCAGACGCTTTAGTTTATAGGGCTTGAAGCAAACGTGTCGTAGACCAGGAAACCAGGCAATGGCATTGTCATGAAAAATATCTATTTATATTAAGCGACTCCATCCACGAACTGAGTACGCCATTCTCCTCCGCCATGGAGCAGCACCTCCACCGACACAGACAATGATTCAGGAGTACAGACAGTGTGATTGGTCTAGAAAACCATTGCAGTGGAGAAAGACCAAGC